TCGTCTGGATATCTCCAAAAAGAGTCTAGTTACCTACCCTCTAGAACAGTGTTTCTTAACCTGGGGGTCGGGACCCCTGGGAGGGTCGTGAGGGGGTTTCCAAAGGGTTGCCAAAGAACACCAAAAACACATTTTCTGCTGGTCATGGGGGTTCTATGTAGGAAGTTTGGCCCAATTCTATTCATGGTGGGGTGAACTATAAATCCCAGCAATTACAACTCCCAAATGTCAAGGTCTATTTTCCCCAAACTCCACCAATGGTCATATTTGGACATATTGAGTATCCGTGTTGAGTTGATCCAGATCTATCACAGTGCTCTCTGGATGTAGGTGAACTACAACTTCAAAACTCAATCCCAATGCCCACCAAACCCTTCCGGTATTTTCTGTTGGTTATAGGAGTTCTGTGTTCCAACTTTGGTTCAATTCCATCATTGGTGGAGTTCAGAATGCTCTTTGATTGTAGGTGAACTATAAATCCTATCAACTACAACTCCCAAATGACAAAATAACCCCCCCCCCCCCCCACCCCCCCCGTATTCAAATTCGGGCATATCAGGAATTTGTGCTGAATTTGGTCCAGTGAATGACAATGCATCCTGCATATCACATATTTACATGACGGTTCATAACAGTAGCAAAATTAGAGTTATGAAGTAGCAATGAAACTGAGATTTCTGGAGGTGAACATGAGACTCTTCTGTTGTGAAATCTGTGTCCTATCATGTAGGATAAGGACTTTCATATCACCCTCTTTTTTACAAGGCTATATTTTAGTTTTCAATGATGTTTGCCAAGGGCAGGATTTGAAGTAAAAGAGCTGAACTTCAAAAGAAGCGATCAATATCAGTGATTAGTCATATATTGCCTCTGGTATCAGAGATAATACCTTGGAGAACACAAGTGGGAGGCTGCCGTGGCATTGTAGGGTGCCTACACAGAGCTTGTTAGTGCTGATAGATAAATTGGTAATGCAAATTAATCTGGTTCCATTAAAACACTGAGTGGGAGGTTATAACATTCATTCTTGCCTAACTACATTAATTAGATTATTGAAAACTGTTTACATTGATTAGGAACGGAACGGAGTTCAGAAAAGGCTCAAAATGGTGAGAATCAAAACGAAGTGAATCAAAAAATAATGTTGGCATTTAGTGTCTAAAATAATTAATTTTAGAAATTTATGTATTTATTTATTTACAATATTTATATTCCGTCCATCTCACCCCGCATGGGATTAATGTCGGATCACAATAAACTTATACATGGCAAACATTCAATGGTATAGACATACAACATATATAGACAGACTCACAGAGGTTATTTAACTTTCCAGCTTCATGAGGGTATGCTTTTTGAATTCTGGCCACCGGGGGAGCTGTTGCTTCACCATCCACTTGTGACACTGATGGAGTACTTCCTCATTCTTTTGCACGCAGCTGGAGAGTTTTATGGTGTCATAAATTAGTTAAATTAGCCTCCCCGGATAAGTGGTACCTAAATTTCCTACTTGACAGATGCAACTGTATTTCTGGCTGCAAAGGTCGACGGCAAGCTAGACAAATGGTCYGGAGCTTACTCCAACCRAGGCTGGCTTTGAACTCATGACCTTTTGGTCAGTAGTAAWTTTAATGCAGCTGACTCCTAACCAGCTGCACCACAGCCTGYGCTGTATCYATCATATACATATTGATCTATTTTTGTTTATTTACATAGCACCWGGAYAAACMTATTTATTTATTTATTTACAGTATTTATAMTRRGRKCTTCTCACCCRYCAGGYGACTCAGGGCGGATTYCAATGTACACATATATGGCAAACATTCAYTGCCAAGACACACAACWTAGACAAGACAGTCAGAGGCTATTTAACTTTTTCTAGCCGCCAGGGGAGCTGTCGCTTTCATTGTCCATCTYCGACACTGATGAAGTACTTCCGCATTCCCCGCATGCTTTTGCTGGAGTGCATTGCTGGAGTCTTTTTATGGCCTCGTAAATTTTGTTAAATTAGCCTCTCAACACATAGATGGTACCTAAATTTCCTACTTGACAGATGCAACTGTCTTTCGGGTTGCAAAGGTCGACAACAAGCTACACAATTGGTTGGATGCTCACTCCGACCCAGGCTGGCTTCAAACTCATGACTCATGATCTTAATGCAGCTGACACTCAGCCAGCTGCGCCACAATCCCAGTGCACAATCCAACTTCATTGGCTGAAGTTGGATTTTAATGCAACTGATTTCCAACCAGCTGTGCCACAAGCCGGTCCTTCATTAAATGATATTTCATGACTGAAATAACAGATGGAATCATAGATAAAAGGTTTTGTTAAAAAAGGGGCTAACAAATCAATTTTAAGTAGTTATTCCAGATGTACCTGATGGGATACAGTGTTGGACTTCTTTAGTCCCATCCAGCAGGGCTCTTTGATTGCTTTTATGGATGGAGGTAGGACAACAAGGGTGAAGGTGGTAAGTTAGAGAAGTAAACCTCTTACACTTCGACATTCATATCACAGGTAGGATATGAAAAAAAATATATTAAGAACTGCTTTAGCCATTCTGTACTTTGGACGTAAAACCGATGAGATTGTTCCAGACCCATGACTGGGCAAGATAGTGGCAGAAGGAATTAAATACAAAAACTGGTAACGTTTTTTCCAAAACCAAAGTGGGACCATGGAGCCCTACAAAAGTTGAGGCACAACTCTCAGCATTTCCAACAGTTGGCTATGCCAGCTAGAGCTCAAATACTAACTCATTGACTATTCCTTAAGTTAGTTTGGAATAATTTCTACAGTGAGGTGCATCATTTCAGCATTTTCAACAAGTGCATTCCTTAAACACCTTTCACCCAAACCCTCCTTTTCTTCTTCTTCTTGTGGTGAAGGCCTTTTTTCCAATAGTTCTTCAGCTTTGGTGGCCGTGATGTTGGTGACGGACTCTCTCTTTCTCTCTATTCACATTGCTGAAACAAAATCACAGCTTCTGTTCTTGGTGATTGGGATGAATTCAGCAGATCCAGATTTCCAGAAAGGGATGCTCTTGTGGGAATCCCCATTAAGGGTTCCCTTGTGATGGAGTCTCCCTACCTCCTGTTTTGTTTTCAATGAGGGCTGTTGAAGGAGATGCTTCCAGGTATTGATCAAAGTCATTCACTCAAAGAGAGTTTCTACCAAGGCAAGAGATGGGGAAAATATCTGGCATTATGTTTATTAAATGTGGATCTGAATATTTTTTAGTTCAGTGACTTACAAATGCTTTATTGAGGTCCCCAAGATTCTTCACAAGATAGGTAGTACTAACCTCTTCTCTCTCCCCAAAAATTAGCCAGAAGGATATCAAGGTCTTTTGTAGACTATGTTTTGTTTTCATATAAACCAGTGGTTCCCAACCTTTGATCCTCTAGGTGTTTTGGACTTCAGTTTCCACAATTTCTAACAATTCCTAACAGCTGGGATTTCTTGGAGTTGAAGTCCAAAACACCTGAAAGACAAAAGGTTGGGAACCACTGTTATAGACCCAAGTCTCATTGCTAGCTCCAACTATAGTCAACTTACTGAACCAGTGGGAGTTGTCTTATTATTTAGCTATCAATTCATTGGGCCTAAATTAGTTGGGACTAGCAGTTTGGCTTTGGTCCTGGTGTTAAGGTAAAGGATCTCAGCAGGCCTTGGATAACCAATTTGTGTTTATTCTTGGACAGCATTTTCCACCATTATATGGTCCAGATGTTTTGGACTGGAGCACCCAATATTTCCAGATATCCATAGGCCAGCACATTGGGAAGGCAGGATTGTTGCAGAATCTGGTTCATTCTAATGTTTTCATGATAAAAGGAGTCCCTTAAGAAGGAGGCTTTCCCACTACTTCATGATCAGGCTTCATGCCTTGAGTTTGGGATGCTAGCATCCTCTGAAACAGTGGTTCCCAAATTTGGTCCTTCAAACGATGAAAGACTTCAGCTCCTAAAATTGCTTCTAGGAGTTGAAGTTCCAAAACCATCTAGAGCAGTGGTTCTCAACCTGTGAGTCCCCAGATGTTTTGGCCTTCAACTCCCAGAAATCCCAGACAGTTTACCAGCTGTTAGGATTTCTGGAAGTTGAAGGCCAAAACATCTGGAGACCCACAGGTTGAGAACCAAAGGCCTAGAGGATCGATGTTTGGGAATCACTGTTCTAAAAAAGCAACTTGAGTATAAATAAATATATTACTATACCAATGGAGGCTAGTAGTTCTGAAGCATTGCAACCTCTCCAGCATTCTGGACTTCAACTCCCAGAATCCCTGACCATTAACTATGTTGGTGATTTAAGAAGCTAAAATTAAGAACATCCAAAAGATCAAGGTTTGAAATTTGCCTGGCCCCAAATGGTGTCTCTCAAATATTTTAAGGATGCTAGGTGAGCTTCCGCTGTCAGCCCCAGCTTCTGCCAACCTAGCAGTTTGAAAACATCCAAATGTGAGTAGATCAGTAGGAATCACTCCAGCAGGAAGGTAACGGCGCTCCATGCAGTCCTGCTGGCCACATGACCTTGGAGGTGTCTACGGACACCTTTGGCTTAGAAATGGAGATGAGCACCACCCCCCAGAGTCAGACATGACTGGACTATCAGGGGAAAACCTTTGCCTTACCTTTTTACTAGGTCCCACCTGTGCTGGTCAGCATGGCCAGCATGGCCAATGATCAGAGATTATGGGAGTTGTAGTTGAAGGCACCAAGTTGGGCGCATCTGGTAGTTGAAGGCACCAAGTTGGCATTGGCTCTAGGGACTATATACTTAAAGAAAGGATAAAAACCATAGCCCAGTAGTAAGGAATACTAGGTGATGATTCCCACATCTAGTCCAAAGTGTGAGAGACTAGGTATGCCTTCCCTTTGTGCTTCTCTCAAAATTGTCATTGCTAAATTCAGATTTTTCCCGAGTCTTTGCGAGCTCCATCTTCACTCCCTGGTTAACGAAAGCCAACATTAAAGGAGTTGTGTTTTACAATGCAGAGAGTGGAGGATGCTTTTTATACATTGGTGCGAGAGATCCGTCAATACAGATTGAGAAAAATCAACACAGAAGAAAAGACTCCTGGGTGCGTGAAAATTAAAAAATGCCTTTTAATGTGAGAGGGTAAGTTTGAGTTTTTTTAAAGCAAAAGATATTTGACAGGGGGAAAAAACCTGATCAACAACACAAATCAATTTTAAACTTGCAACTTCTCTACGATGATTCCAGTAAATTCAAAATGATTGTAAGTACCAGTCCGTCTGTTGTCCTGTCGGAATTCTGCTATAAATATGGAAGGAGTTTTCTCTGCAACAGAGAACAGTGTAAGTTCATTCAGGTTCTTAACTGGTTTTCTCTGTCCATTTCTGTTAGGTTCAACATCTTAGAATATGTAAAGTCATAGAATCATAGAATCAAAGAGTTGGAAGAGACCTCATGGGCCATGCAGTCCAACCCCATTCTGCCAAGAAGCAGGAATATTGCATTCAAATCACCCCTGACAGATGGCCATCCAGCCCTGTTTAAAAGCTTCCAAAGAAGGAGCCTCCACCACACTCCGGGGCAGAGTTCCACTGCTGAACGGCTCTCACAGTCAGGAAGTTCTTCCTCATGTTCAGATGGAATCTCCTCTCTTGTAGTTTGAAGCCATTGTTCCGCGTCCTAGTCTCCAGAAGCAGAAAACAAGCTTGCTCCCTCCTCCCTGTGGCTTCCTCTCACATATTTATACATGGCTATCATATCTCCTCTCAGCCTTCTCTTCTTCAGGCTAAACATGCCCAGCTCCTTAAGCCGCTCCTCATTGGGCTTGTTCTCCAGACCCTTGATCATTTTAGTCGCCCTCCTCTGGACACATTCCAGCTTGTCAATATCTCTCTTGAATTGTGGTGCCCAGAATTGGACACAATATTCCAGATGTGGTCTAACCAAAGCAGAATAGAGGGATAGCATCACTTCCCTAGATCTAGACACTATGCTCCTATTAATGCAGGCCAAAATCCCATTGGCTTTTTTTGCCGCCACATCACATTGTTGGCTCATGTTTAACTTGTTGTCCTCGAGGACTCCAAGATCTTTTTCACACGTACTGCTCTCGAGCCAGGCATCCCCCATTCTATATCTTCGCATTTCGTTTTTCCTGCCAAAGTGGAGTATCTTGCATTTGTCACTGTTAAACTTCATTTTGTCGGAACCCAGAAGTAACAGGATTGGGCTTGTTTAGTATTTTGGTGAGAGACCTCTAAGGAATATTAGAGATCTATATGGTGAAAAACATCCTATTTTAAGCCTTGGGGAATGGCTGCAGTCAAAGCTGATTGAACTCAAGATAATGAACCTTCTTTATGTTAGTAGTTTAGAAATATGGGTCTAAATCTATTTGGATCTAAATCTAACATTGTTCTGTCACGCACTGGGTCTGAACAAATTGTCTTTATTCTATAGGACGTACACTTTAAACCCAGTGGGAAGCCGGGGTGCCTCAAAGAGAGATTCTTAGGGATTTCCTGAAGTGAAGGTCTTTAGTCTTTAATGGTACAACAAAGTCTTTATTAAGGAACAAATAAAAAATCTTCAAACAACACTTTAAGGCTTTCTTATTCTAGTCTTTAAGAGACTGGCACTGACTTGGATTAACTGTACTTTCTCAGCATGAGGAAGAACCCTTTATAATCTCTCCCAGGCTGTCTATCATCTGGGCCTTGCTGGTCTGGGTTTTACTACCGATCCCAAATGCATCTGGACATCAAGTAAACCTACCAGCCAAGGCTTGAAGATGTTTCATCTAGAATTCCGTGGTTCTGTAATGCTGTCCTGTGGGAACTTAAGGGCTGTTTTCCCCTCTGGTGCTGTGAGGCTGAGAGGCTGTGAGCTCTCAGCCAGAGTCTTTGGGATCTTTTCCTTCTATTTCCCTGAATGATCTCCAGATGATCACAGGATGGTCCCCGGATGATCTTAAGGAATGAAGCTTTTCCTATGGGACGAGCTGTCTGCGTCCTATAGACTAGCTTCCTTGTGTGTGACTGACTGAAATGGCTCCCTTCCCTCCAAAACCCAAAAAGGGGGTGGAACTGGGGAACCTAATGATAATTGACAGGTCATTGACCCAATAACTGCAAAGTAAGGAAAGCCATCTAACTGCAAAAGCATAGAACTTTAAAAAACATGCAACACTCAACAAATAGCAAGGTAAGCTGGAGCTCCTGGTACGGCCGTACCAGAACAAACATTCCGATTTCATTGATATCATCCCACCCACCATCTGCATGTGTTGTGTTTACATCTGAATCTACAGGGTTCTTATTATGGCCTCCAGGACCCTCCTGAGATATTGTTATCTAGAAGAGTTGGGAACTGTTTTGCCACATGCCCACCAACTTTGAGAAGGAAGTTCCTAAATAATCTACCATCTCATTTTTTTCAGATGCCTTTTTAAGTTCCCCATTTTTCCATGACTTGCTTCAATTGCTGCAAACAATGTGTGAAAGGCTGTGCTGGCACGGCTGTGAAATCAGATTTGAATTCCTTTTCTTGCACTGTTAGTTTACATGAATCTATTTGGGCCTTGCATTTTGCAATTGGGTAGCTTTCCCCAGGTTGCAGTCATAGGGCCAACAACCTATCAATCATCTTTAGAGCCTTTAGATCCGCCCCTTTCCCCAGGTTTGGAGGGAAAGGGGGACTTTTAGTTCAGTCTCACAGTTTGGAGCCTTACAGCAGGACGTGTGGGCTTTCTCTGTCCCACCTGTAAAAAGCTTCACTTCCACAGCCTTTGCTGGGGGGAAAGGAAAACCTCTACAGCTTTGCTGGGGAGTAAAGTTACAGTTCCACAGCCTTTGCTGGAGGAATACAGCCAGCCTTTGCTGGGGCAAAAGTAAGAGTTCCTACAGCCTTTGTGGAGAAATTAAAGGACGCCAGCTTGGCAGATCTACAGCAACCATTGCCTGGTAAGAGACCACTCAAGCTATCCATAATGCAGCTTGGAGCCGGGAGTTGGGGCCTCACACCAGCAGGTTAAAGAAAGATTGCCCAAGGAGGGGTCAGCAGATCGAGAAAGCTACCAGTTTTTCAAGATTATATAGCATTTAATTCATTTGTTCAAAGATTTAAGCCTTCATAAAGAACTTTGTTGAACCTAGTTTGAGCCTCTACAGTACTTTGTGTTGGGAAGCCTATGGGACCCTTTAGCTGAGGCACCCCGGCGTCCCGTTGGGGATACAGAAAGCACGTCCTGTAAACAGACGTTGTCATAGGCCCAGCGTTAACTCAGCAGGTGGGAAAATCAGAATCTTAACATTCTTCTCCATAGTAGCTCAATTGTATTTTGCAGACAGATCTTGCCATCCATGTTCTGGAAATTGGGAATGCAATTAGATCTTGGGATGTTTGGATAACTAGACCAATATCTCAATGAGGCAGAGGTAATTTAGCTTCTTGCATCTCTTGAGATTATGAAATCAGATAGCGAAGAGGCTAATTTAGAGCCATTGCAGCTGAAGGTCATGGCAAATCAATGCAAGTGTATAAAGATGATTGAATGTTGTCAGCCAAAGAGGATAAATTAAAGACATGTGTTGTCAAAGGCTTTCACGGCCAGAATCACTGGGTTGCTGTGGGTTTTCCGGGCTGTATAACCATGTTCCAGAAGCATTCTCCCCTTATGTTTCGCTCACCTCTATGATAGGCATCCTCAGAGGTTGTGAGGTATTTTGGAAACAAAGCAAGAAAGGGTTTCTATATCTGTGGAAGGTCCAGGGTGGGAGAAAGAACTCTTGTCTGCTTGAGTCAGTGCTAATCACCTTGATTAGCTTTGCAAAGCCTTGCAGCTTCTAGGCCTGGCTAATTCCTGCCTGGGGGAATCCTTTGTTGGGAGGTGTTAGGTGGCCCTGATTGTTTCATGTCTGGAATTCCCCAGTTTTCAAGCTTTTGTTCTTTATTTACTGTCCTGATTTTTTAAATACTGGTAGCCAAATTTTGTTAATCTTCATGGTTTCCTCCTTTCTGTTGAAATTGTCCACATGCTTGTGGGTTTCAATGGCTTCTCTGTGTAGCCTGGCATGGCGGTTGCTAGGGTAGTTCAGCATTTCTGTGTTCTCAAATAATATGCTGTGTCCAGGTTGTTTCATCAAGTGTTCTGCTATAGCTGACTTATCCGGTTGAATTAGTCTGCAGTGAATGGTTGAATGGTTGGAGAGTTTGGTATTGCTTTAAAGAAGCAATGCCAACATGTTCTCCGTTCCTTAAATTACCTCTCTTTGAGCACTTACTTACGTGATCCCTCGTAGTCCGAGAATGATGGTCCTCCAAGTGTAGTATCCTGGTGGTGGGTCCGTAGGTGGCTGTGGATCTACATCTATTCTTGATCTACATCTTCTCCCACAGTGAGGGCATCGGTTTCCAAGTAGAAGGCAGTCCCGGTCGGGGTTGGCTTGACGCGCCTTCCTCTTGGCATGTTTCTCTCTTTTGCTCTGCATTCGTACCTCTTCAAATTCTGCAGCACTGCTGGTCACAGCTGACCTCCAACTGGAGCTCTCAAGGGCCAGAGCTTCTGTCATATGTTCTGCAGTTGATGGTTGGTGATGGAAGGGTTAATGTATTAGTTCTAGAGGGTTTGGTAATCTGTAAGTGGGAGCTCATGGGTGAAAACAATTAAGGGTGGAGGTGTGCAGGAGATGGGTTGCAGCTTGGTGTTACTGGATTTAAGGAGCTAACTTTGAGAGTTATCCTTGGGGAGAAAATTATTTGTTGCATTTTGGTGGTGGTTGCTGCTGGTTTTTCCCCCCAGGTCTGTTGGATTTTCAGTATCCTGACCTGTCTCCTGTAATCTTGGAATCCTGGAACCTTGAACCTTTGGACTGGCTTTTGACTACGGTATAGACTCTGGATCCCTGGACTTTGTTTATTGAACTCTCGGCATTTGACCATTGGACTGGACCCTTTTGAGTTCTTTTTGCTATCAGTTTTGGTTTATTCTGTAGCTGCGTGCTATCTTTGTGTTTTATATTTTGGACTATAAAAACAGCCAGCAAGTAAGTGCTGTTTTAATTAAACTGTTAAAACTGGGAGTTTTGATTCATCTCTACCTAAACAAGATAGAGCCCTGGCAACATGACAGCTTCCCAGTTCTCAGTGTCTATGCCAGAGTTTTTAAGGTTGGCTATGAGCCCATCTTTAAATCTCTTTTCCTGTCCTCTAACATTCCGTTTTCCGTTCTTGAGTTCGAGTAGAGCAACTGCTTCGGGAGACGGTGGTCGGGCATCCGGACAACATGGCCAGTCCAGCGGAGTTGATGGTGGAGGACCATCGCTTCAATGCTGGTGGTCTTTGTTTCTTCCAGCATGCTGACATTTGTCCACTTGTCTCTCCAAGAGATTTACAGGATTTTTCAGAGGCAGCGCTGATGGAATCGTTCCAGGAGTTGCATGTGACGTCTTTAGATTGTCCACGTCTCGCAGGCATATAGCAGAGTTGGGAGGACAATAGCTTTATAAACAAGCACCTTGGTATCCCTAGGATGTCCCAGTCCTCTCTTTGAGTAATATGGTTATGAACAATGGGATATTAGGATGAATAGACACGGGAAATATTAGAAATGGTAGATTTGTAGGACAGGTTCAGGCAGGAGTCAGGAGTAATGGAAAAGCCCCACTTGCACAGTAAATTTGCTTTTTTAGGAGATCAAATAGGAACAAATGGGTTTTTATATTTGTTGATGTGGGACAGACAATCTATTCGTTTTAGTCTTCCCTTCCCTTTGCTTGATTGTTCCATCAGTGCTAAGTAAGTATGCTCTTTCTTACAGTCATTTGCCTTGCCTACTCTTTACTTGTGATTTAAGATGGATAGAAACATCTAGCATGATTTTTCGGATGTAGAGGATTTCATTCTATACGTCCAGTGGTTAAATTATTGAAAGCAATCCCTGTTCTTTTGGTGGAATTCTCACCCGTTGCAGATTTGCCTCCTTTTTGTCCAGTTGAATTGTGCTTTTGACTATTAAAGTCTTTAAAAGTCGATTTTGTAGAAATCTCAGGCTGTTAAGCATGCTTATTTCAGGATGTTTTAGGTCATCTGATAAGTGTGTGTGTTCATAGTTTGATCGTCTCACTTTCTTGGCCCAAATAATTCACAGTGGTAATTCCCATCACATATGGTACAGTACTAGCGCTTAATAGATACATGCACAGTGGTGAAAATGCAGCTTCAGAAATATTATTTCACTAGAGGGACCTGGCAACATGCCGAAGGAGGACAATTCAGTGTAAAGTACATGGAAGACCTATTAAAACTCTCGTGTCAATAAACAAAACTTGGGAGGGAAATATTCTTGAAGACTTGCTGCACACATTTTGCCCCACCTATTTTAGTTTTCATATTTGGAATGTTCTCATGAATGATTTAATATTTAATTTTGAGTCACACTAATTTTTTTTTTAGAAATACCAAAAATTGGTTTGTGTTGCTACTTAAAGTTAGGAGAGCAGTTTACTATGGAGATCCTCAAAGAAAGTAGGACCGTTGAGTAAGCATCAACATTTTCCTTGCAAATTATTTTCAGACTGAATTTTCCGCCTTGGTAAGCTCTCTAGAAAGAAATTACCTGAAAAATGCAGAAGTGATAAATGGGAGAAATAGAAGCTTTGTTCAAGGAAATGATCTCATTTAAAGGTATTAAAGGTGCCGTATTTCTTCACAGGGTGTCGACGATGCCTTCTACACATTAGTTCGGGAAATCCGAAAGCACAAAGAGAAGATGAGCAAAGATGGCAAAAAGAAGAAAAAGAAGACAAAGACAAAGTGTATAATTCTGTAAATGCAATTTATTCTTTACCCTTACGGTATGCATTGGTAAACATGATTCATTTTTGTACCATTACACTAAATTATTTGCACCCACCTTTTGAGCATTATGTTAAAACTTCCTTTCTTCTTGCTGATCCTTCCAGCCTTTTTGGCCCTCTGGACGCTTGCTTATAAACAACAGTGGAAACCATTCCCCTTAAATGCCAGTTTATCCTTGAGTGTTGGTCCTTGAAACTAGCTATGCCTGTGAAAAACATAATAATGTATCTAAAATATATTCTTTTCTCCCCTTCAAGGATATTCTGGTGCATGCAAAACTTGCTAATGTCTTTCCCCCACTTTTTTTTCTTAGAAAATTCTGAATTTGTTTATTTGCAGGACCAGCTTTGTGATGCTGTTTAGGTGGGGTTCCCCCACCCCAAAAAAAAAGTCAGGCAATTGTCCTTCAGACATAGCAGTGGATACGAGTTATTTGCCTCTTTTTAAAATTGCTCCATGCCCAAGTAAGGAACAGATAAGATGGGTGGTGATTTTTCAAGCTTATCATGAATCTCGGATTCTTTTAATCAGGGAAAAGTTAAGTTCAAGATATGCTAGAATTATAATTTAGGTGAAACAGGAAGGTATCCCACTGAATTTGGATAGATCTGGATTTTGTTTAGGGTTTACATCCCATTTAGGGCAATCCCATCAGTTCAGCGGGATTTGCAAATGTTGATCTATGGGTTGATTCTAGTTATATCTACTCAATAGGTGGGGACAGTGTTAGCACTACCATTAAGTGCAGTATGTAGATACAGTAGAGTCTCTCTTATCCAAACTTTGCTTATCCAACATTCCGTATTATCCAACACACCTTGGCTGCTTCTGGCTTGGAAGAATAAAAACCAGACTCTTCCTCTTGCTTAGAGAATTGCAACCAGGCTCCTCTTCCTTCCTTCCTCTCTTCCTTCTCTGGCTCCTTCTCCAGACTCCACTTCCATCTATGCTGTGTCTCTCCTCCCTAGGACCTCGCATTCAGCTCAGGCGAGGCTTCATGGAAGCGGCCTCTGCACAGGTAAAAGGGGAGCCCCACCAAGGCTGCCTGCTGCCCTGGCTGATCTGCCAGCCTTGCTATCTGGTGCTCTTGATCTCGGCGCCCATCCTCCTCGCCTCACCCCCCCCCCCCCCGCAGCCCCACTCTCTCTCAGCACCCATTCTTGCCTGCCCCCCCCCCTCCCTGCAGCCCGGCCCGGCTCTCTCTCGGCATCCAATCTCACCTCACCCCCCCCCCTCTGCAACCCCAGCCCAGCTCTCTCGGCACCCATCCTCGCCTTGCCCCCCTCCCTGCAGCACTGGCCCTGCTCTCTCTTGGCGCCCGTCTTCACCTGGCCCCCCTCCCTGCAGCACTGGTCCAGCTCTCTCTCAGCGCCCACTCTCATCTCACCCCCCTCCCTGGAGGCCGGCCCGGCTCTCTCTCGGCGCCCATTCTCGCCTCGCCCCCCACCCTGCATCCCTGGCCCAGCTCTCTCTCGGCACCCATTCTCTTGTCACCCCCCTCCTTGCAGCCCCGGTCTGGCTCTCTCTCAGCACCCATTCTCTTGTCGCCCCCCTCCCTTCAGCCATGGCCAAGCTCTCTTTCTTGCTATCAGCAGAAATGTTTGCTTTATGGAAGAGGGAGGGAAAGAAAAAAAGAAAGAGAGCCAGCACTGAAGGTGGGAGACAAGGAAGGGGGGGGGGGGTCACGCGTGGGAGGAGCCTGGGAGTGATGTCAAGTGCCTCCGCTCCCTCCATCCTGCCTTTGCTCAGGTTTAATAGGCTTTTCCTTAATAGCTCCGTATTATCTGACATTTTCGCTTATCCAACGTTCTGATGGCCCGCTTATGTCGGATAAGCAAGACTCTACTGCATGCAAAGAATTATTATCTTCTCAAGGCCTCCTTAAGGCTGAACATCAGAAGAAGTAGTGGTTGAAGGGAGGCTCTTTTCAGATAGAGGCAGTGAGAACCAGATTGCAACAGAATGGCCCCAGATGGTTGATTGGTGAGGATCTTTCAGCGATGATGGTAGATTTTCCCACTTTGGATTACAATTCTTGAGAATCCTTCCACTAGCATATCTCTGGTCATAGGAGTTTTAGTCCAACAGATAAGGTTTATAAGCATCTCCAGACTACCACGTTGCCTACAACTGACCACCGAAGCTTTGTACAACATTAGCATCACCAGCTCAGTTTCTGCTTTCTAGGTTCATGACATGAAATCTTGGTTGAAATCTTGGTTAAGTTCCACTCGTCATAGAATCATAGTTAATTTGCATTTGTAGGCATCCCTTTCTTGTAGCATTTCCAATCAACTTGACTGAATGTAAATATATAAATATATATTGTAGAATTCTCACAAAGATGTCTTTCCCACTGCCGTTGGTCGCGGCTATTTTTTCTATTAAAAATTAAAAAGTTCCTAAAAAAAACAACAACAGCGGAATTTGTAATTTGGGTTGGCGTCCTCTAATGAACTTCTTAACACTTCACAAAAACGACTGTTTCTAAAGGGGGTTTGGCGTTAAGGGTCTTCTGGTTAGGAAGAAGTCTTTCCTACTGAAACAAATACAAGAAGGTCTGTTTGTTTCAACATAAGAGAAGTCCTGTGGATTCTGGCTTTTGACTTCTCTTCACAGTAGTCTAATCCAAAACGAGCCCAATATCTACCATGGGGAACACTTTCCTGAATGTAGTGTGGATCATAGCGAACTCTATGGAAATGAATGGCTTCCATTGGACCTAGAACAGTATTGCAGATTTTATTTATTTGTTGTGTCAGAAGCAAATTGAGAATACAGTTGTAATGTATAAAAAAAACCACAAACAAAATTAAAAACTTGGTATTATATTAAATGTCCTTTGACCAGAAGCTGGCCACTTGGAGTGCCTCCTAGTGTTGTTATAAGAAGGTCCTCCATTGCGCATGTGGCTAGGTTCAGGTTGCATTGTAGTAGGTGGTCTGTGGTTTGCTCTACTCCACGCTTGCATGTTGTGGACTCCACTTCATAGGCCCATTTCTTAATGTTGACACTGCATCTCGTGGTGCCAGAATGCAGTCTGTTCAGCACTTTCCAAGTCTCCCAGGAGAGAGTTTCTCATCTGGTATCAGCCACTGATTGAGGATCCAGGTTTTAGCCTGCCACTTTTGGACTCTTGCTTGCTGAGGTGTTCCTGCAAATATCTCTGTAGGTCTTAGAAAGCTATTTCTTGATTTAAGGCGTTGGCGTGCTGGCCGATATCCGAACAGGGGATGGGCCGGAGATGTCACTACCTTGGTCCTTTCTTTACGGGTTGCTACTTCCCGATGGATGTCAGGTGATACAATACCAGCTAAACAGAATCATTTCTCCAGTGGTGTAGGACTGATGCCTAACTCTTATTCGGTGACAGATGCTGTTTAACTCAAATTTTTGATCCAAGGTGGAAAATGTAAACACTCCAATTAAGCACAGATCTCACCATTTTCCATATAACTTTGGGAATGTATTAAGTAGATCTCCTAATTTCACACTTAAAAATAAGTTGAAAATACACTCTTCATTGTTATTTCCCTTGAGTCAGGTCACGTTCCAAAATATATAAGTTCTGAACATTTGAAGGCACACAATGATAATAAATAATAATAAATTTGTAATAAATTGCAAAGCTCGGTCAGTCTCGTCTCCTGTTTCACATTTGGAGCTGTACTATATAGAGATATACTCATCACCACTAAAGGATGTTTTTAATGTTGAGCTATTTGTTGAGAAGGACTAGTGTGAAGAGCATGTGCATAGAACCTACTACATAAGAATACATTCACAAAACACGGAAGTGAACTGCTTTCCCCTTTACTTTGCCTTGTAGAAGTCTATTCCAAAATGTCTCAGTGTTGGATGGATAGACTACACCTTTACCTGTACCTTCCCCCCCCCCCCTTAAATCTGCTTTATGGTTTAATTCCACTGTTGTCCTTACGTTAAAGTAACCTTTTTACACATACCCCTGCCCGCCTTTCGAGTGCCAAATCTCTTACTTGGGACTATTTCTTAAAATGCATTGTGTTTACCTAGAAATGTATTTTAACTATTTTTGTATAATATAAACTAAACATACATGTTTTGTACATTGTGTTATTTGTTTTTATTTTTTAAGGCGAAACAAATGCAAATGTGATCCAGGTGACTCTCAATAATTTTTTTTGTTTGCCCACGTTTTATTTCCGTCGTGTTCCCACAGAATGTTGGGCCACAGACATTAACACCCGGCGAATGACCACTGCTCCTTGAAACTTTTACAAACGTTTTACTAGCAGCATGTGCTGTCAAGTGATAAGAACACTGTACGTCACAAACAGTACAACTCCTGTTGTAATTAATACTGATAATAAAAAGAAAATCTGTGTTTCTGCTGTTTGTTATTTTCCTCAAAAGGCGGAATTGGTTTCTTGCGTTTTAGGCTCCTTGCTGCTTATTGTTTTTGGATATTGTTACTTCAGTCTTTTTAAGAAGCTGAGTGATGTGAGTGTAGACCCCAACTTCCCAGCGATCAGTTCTGGTATTATCTTTACTAGTGTGCCACGTATCTGAGGAAGTGCAAACTGTAATATCAGTCATCTTTTCACAACCCAAGTAAATCTGGAGGAGGCTTTGGGAACTGCGGGAGGAAAGAAACAGCAACTATCTCAGTTTCCCCAAAAGCTATAAGGTAAAGGTTTCCCCATAACATTAAATCTAGTCGTGTCCAATTCATCTCCATTTCTAAGCCGAAGATACCTCCAAGGTAATGTGGCTGGCATGACTGCATGGAACACCGTTACCATCCCGCCGAAGCAGTACCTATTAATCTACTCACATTTGCATGTTTTCGAACTGCTAGGTGATATGCATTAGATACTACTCACCAGGTAAAGGTTGTCCCCTGACGTTAAGTCCATTTGTGTCCAAACTCTGGGGTTGGTGCTCATCTCCATTTCTAAGCCAAAGAGCCAGCGTTGTCCATAGACACCTCCAAGGTCATGTGGCCGGCATGACTGCATGGAGCGCCCTTACCTTCCCGCCAGAGCAGTACCTATTGATCTACTCACATTTGCATGTTTTCGAACTGCTAGGTGATATGCATTAGATATTACTCACCAGGTAAAGGTTGTCCCCTGACGTTAAGTCCATTTGTGTCCAACTCTTGGGGTTGGTGCTCATCTACATTTCTAAGCCAAACAGCCAGCGTTGTCAGTAGACACCTCCATGGTCATGTGGCCGACATGACTGCCTACCTTTCCGCCAGAGCAGTACCTATTGATCTACTCACATTTGCATGTTTTCGAACTGCTAGGTGATATGCATTAGATATTACTCACCAGGTAAAGGTTGTCCCCTGACGTTAAGTCCATTTGTGTCCAACTCTTGGGGTTGGTGCTCATCTACATTTCTAAGCCAAAGAGCCAGCATTGTCCGTAGACACCTCCATGGTCATGTGGCCGGCATGACTGCATGGAGCGCCTACCTTTCCGCCGGAGCAGTACCTATTGATCTACTCACATTTGTATGTTTTTGAACTGCTAGGTTGGCAGAAGCTGGGGCTAACAGTGGGAGCTCGGAGCTCACCCCGCTCTCCGGATTTGAACCACTAACCTTTTGGTCAGTAAGTTCAGCAGCTCAGCAGTTTAACCCGCTGCACCATCAGGGACTCCCCAAAAGCTATACACTGATGTAAACAAAGCCAATAATTTCAGTCCCACTGTATTCCTTCCCACCATAAAAGGAAAAGCTTGAGGTACAAGTTCCTCAATACTCTTCGAAGCCTTGTATTTTAACATTTTAAGGGCAGACTGGCAATGAAAGAAACAGGAAAGCATTGCAACAACCAGGGCCGTAGCCAGAAAAAAAATTCGGGGAGGGTTGACAATTTCGGTGGGGGGGGTTGAAAATTTCGGTGAGGGTTGATAATTGCCGGGGGGGGGGGGTGAAACCTGCCTCCTAGCTCACACTGAAGTAAAGAGCACAGCAGCCTTCAATAGCCTGCAGCTCCGCCCCTGTCAACCACCTCCACCAAGTCTGGCCTCCTTAATGAGAGCATTCAACAGACACACACCCAACTTGGTTGCTTCACTACATCGGCTATTGCTGCAAGTAATGACAGTGTGAATAAATTGTCAATATTTGCTTGAGATAGTGCTTGCAGTTCTGGAGGGACTCTTAATTTTTTGCATCTCATAGACTTAGCATGGGGATTTGGTTAACCAGTTAAAATTCATGAGTAAACCAGTTTTTTTTAAAAAAAATCTGAAACATTTCGGGGGGGGGTTGAACCCCTAAAACCACCCCCTCGCTACAGGCCTGGCAACAACATATTGTAGGAAGTCAGTGGCACTGAGCCTCTCCTTTCTAGAGAAGGAGACATTCCTCCATCTGGCGGGGATGAGAGACAGGGCCTTCTCACTGGTGGCCCCTTGGCTATGGAACTCCCTCCCTAGGGACATTAGATCGGCCCCCTCCCTCCTGACTTTCGAAAAACAGTGAAAACCTGGCACTTTGAGCAAGCGTTTGGAACTTCAGCATGACCAGGCAAACTCAAATTGGAATATGAACTAGGAACGGCTAAGACGATGGAATGGTTGAGGATTTGAACAAGAAGACATAGTTTTATGATTTTTATTGCTATTGCTTTTACGGTTTTTTAAATGTATTGTAATGTGATTATTTATTTATTTATTTATTTTGCTTTTAACCGATGTATTTTTATATGGCATCTAATTGTGCTGATTTGTACGCTGCCCCGAGACACCTTCAGGCTGATATGGGTGGGATAAAAGTGACGTAAATAAAATAAAATAAAATAAAATATAGAAGTTTATAACAATGTCTGCGCAGCACACCAAGCTAGTGGTTCCCAGATACCATCATGCGGTGTCTGCTCCCATGTGAGGTTATCTGTGATACGTATTTACAAAACCCTACTTATCCAGCTACAGAACAGGAGATTCCACCTGAACATTAGGAAGAACTTCCTAACTGTGAGAGCTGTTCAGCAGTGGAACTCTCTGTGCCGGACTGTGGTGGAGGCTTCTTCTTTGGAGGCTTTAAAACAGCCTGGATGAATGTGATTTTCCTGCTTCTAGGCAGAGGGTTGGACTGGATGGCCCACGAGGTCTCTTCCAACTATAATTCTATGATTAAGATAAGATAGACACTTTTGAACTGTGATGTTGGAGGAAAATTCTGAGAGTGCCTTGGATTGCAAGAAGATCAAATCAGTCCATCCTCCAGGAAATAAAGCCCAACTGCTCACTGGAGGGAAGGATATTCGAGGCAAAGATGAAGTACTTTGGCCACATAATGAGAAGACAGGAAAGCTTGGAGACGACAATAATGCTGGGGAAAATGGAACGAAAAAGGAAGAGGGGCCAACCAAGGGCAAGATGGATGGATGGTATCCTTGAAGTGACTGGCTTGACCTTGAAGGAGCTGGGGGTGGCGATGGTGAACAGGGAGTTCTGGTGTGGGCTGGGCCAGGAGGTCATGAAGAGTTGGAAATGACTGAATGAATAAACAACAAATGTATAGGATGTGGCTAGAGAGGACGCTTCCTTCTTGTAAGAACTTCAGGTAGTTCAATGATGTTGAGTGGCAGGCCCCAGACAGACATCCAAAATGCTTTCTTTATATCACCCTTAACACAGGTATGGAGACAACCTGACTCTCCAGATTTTATTGAACTGCAGTTCTCATCATCCTTAACAGTTATGGCTGAGGAGAGTTGTAGTCCAGTATCATCATTCTATCAAGACACCATTGTCCACCCAATGACAGATATACTGAATTTGATGCCATAAGACAGTTAAACAGGTGACTTCTAAAAGGCAGAAGAGTATCAGTTAGAACAACCTCTTGAGTCTTTATGCCAAAATAAGAGCACTTTGAACCTCCCAGTGTTTTAATTACAACTCCAATAACTCCTTCTCTCTTTCTGTGTTGGGTGAATCTGACTGAGAGCAAAAGTAGAAAGCTCCTCCAGTCTTGCTTTACATTGAATTTGGCACCAAATATCGGTTGGTAGATCCCACATTTTCCTAGAGCTGGGATATGCAACTTCAAACCTTCAAGATGGATCGCACGTCCCATCTTCCCTACACAGCATAGCCAGTGATGGAAAGTAGTGGGAGATGTAGTGCCAATAACACAGAAACTGGCTTGCTGTGAGTTTTCCAGGCTGAATGGCCATGTTCCAGAAGAATTTTCTCCTGACGTTTTGCCTGCATATATGGCAGTCATCCTCAGTGGTGGTGAGGTACATTGGAAACTAAGCTAGGGAGGTCTACATATAAGTGGAAGGTCCAGGGTGGGAGAAAGAACTCTTGTCTGTTGGAGGCAACTGTGAATGCAATTAATCACCTTGATTAGCATCGCAAAGCCTTGCAGCTTCAAGGCCTGGCTAATTCTTGCTGGCGGAATGTTTTATTGCAGTGGTTCTCAACCTTCCTAACACCGTGACCCCTTAATACAGCTCTTCATGTTGTGGTAACCCCCAACCATATAATTATTTTTGTTGCTACTTCACAACTGTAATTTTGCTATTGTTATGAATCGTAATATAAATATCTGATATGCAGGATGTATATTCACTGGACCAAATTTGGCACAAATACCCAATACGCCCAAATTTGAATACTGGTGGGGTTGGATGCAGATTGATTTTGGCATTTGGGAGTTGTAGGTGCTGGGATTTATAGTTCACCTACAATCAAAGAGCATTCCGAACTCCGCCAATGATGGAATTAAATCAAACTTGGCACACAGAACTCCCATGACCAACAGAAAATACTGGAAGGGTTTGGTAGGCATTGACCTTAAGTTTTGGAGTTGTATTTCACCTACTTCCAGAGAGCACTGTGGAATCAAACAATGGTGGATCTGGAGCAAACCTGGCACAAATACTCAGTATGTTGAAATGTGAACACTTGTGGAGTTTGGGGAAAATAGACCTTGACAGTTGGGAGTTGTAGTTGCTGGGATTTATAGTTCAAAGAGCATTCTGAACCCCACCAACAATAGAATTGGGCTAAACTTCCCACACATAACCCCCATCACCAAGAGAAAATACTGTGTTTTCTGATGGTCTTTGGTGACCCCTCTGACACCCCCTCGTGACCCCCACAGGGGTCCCGACCCACAGGTTGAGAAACACTGCTTTATTGGGAGGTGTTAACTGGACCTGATTGTTTCATTATCTGGAATTCCCCTGTTTTCAGAGTGTTGTTCTTTATTTACTGTCCTAATTTTAGAGTTTTTTAAAATACTAGTAGCCAGAAATAAGACCAAAGTTTTATTATGACCAAAGCTATCCATGTGCAAGCATCTCTGGCTGTGCCGTAGGATCACTTGCTGTCGTCCTCATAGTAGCGTTGTTTCAGAGCCCGGTATTTTCGGAGGAAGTATAATGCCTCCAGCTCTTTCATCACAAACTCTCCTCGTGCAATGAGCTGCTTGATTTCCTCAGGATCCGTCACTCCTTTGTTTTTCAAGAAAGCCTTCTTCAGCCTGGCTCGAAAGTAGTCCGCTCCTTTCGGATACTCCTTCCCAAGATACAGCAGCTTCAACAAAACACACACAAAATAGTGGAATATGTCACGTGTCCCATAGTAAACGGCAAAGAGCTTCTGCATCGGTCCAGCTCATCCTCACCAAACTTACATTTTTGTAAAGATTCAACACTTCATATCTTAAAGGGTTGGTCATGTTCAGAGTTTCCACACAGGCCCACTTTGTTCATATGCACTGGCATTTACCTAAAGGACAATCATTTTAGCATTAGCTGCATAATATGACCTGGTATACAACAATTACCTATGATTATTTAATGATCGGCAATGCTTGGCTTTTGGCTCCTTTCCAATCATGTAATCATTTTTTCAGGATTAGCCATGATACGCAGAAATTATTTCCAGAACACATGTTGGGATTCTACCTGGAATAGATTACTGCAACACACTCTACGTGGGGTTGCCTTTGAAGACTGTTTGGAAACTTCAATTAATCCAACTGGCGGCAGCCAGATTGCTCACTGGAGTGCCATACAGGGAGCCCCCCCCCCCCCCCCCCCCCCCCCCCCCCCGTTATGTCAACTCCACTGGCTGCCGGTCCATTTCTGAGAACAATTCGAAGTGCTGGTCTTGGCCTATACAGCCCTGTACGACTCTGGCCCAGCTTACTTGTCCGAATGTATCTCCCTCCATGTTCCGCCTCGTAGTTTAAGATCCACCGGAGAGGCCCTGCTCTCAGTCCCACCAGCCTTGCAAACATGTCTGGTGGGGATGAGGGACAGGGCCTCCTCAGTGGTGACCCCCCACTTGTGGAATTCCCTCCCCAGTGAGATTACATCAGTGCCCTCCCTCCTTTCCTTTAGGAAAAAACTGAAATCGTGGTTTTGGAAGCAGGCTTTTAGGTAGCAGACACAACGGCACTTTGGACATTGAATTGGACCATATGATGATTGTTATGATAATGGAAACGGCAATGATTGTATAATTAATGTTATTGTTTTAATCTATTGTGTTTTTATGGTTTTATGTTGTTATATTGTGATATTGCGGCATCGAATGGAATGGGAAATGGAACATTGGTGGACAGGAAAAGAGATTTAAAAATGGGCTCAAAGCCAACCTTAAAAGCTCTGGCATAGACACTGAGAACTGGGAAGCCCTGGCCAGTGAGTGCTCCAGCTGGAGGTCAGCTGTGACCAGCAGTGCTGCAGAATTTGAAGAGGCACAAATGGAGGGCAAAAGCGAGAAACGTAACCAAGAGGAAGGCGCGTCAATCCAACCCCGACAGGGACCACCTTCCACTTGGAAACCAATGCCCTCACTGTGGGAGACGATGCAGATCAAGAATAGGGCTCCATAGTCACCTACGGACCCACCCTGGAGGATTATCCTACTCGGACAACGAGGGATTGCCTAAGTAAATAAAAAAAATTTCAGCATCGAATTCTTGCTAGTGTTAGCTGCTCTGAGTCCCCCCTCGGGGGTTGAGAAGGGTAGAAATGTTGTAAATAATAAATAAATAAATAAAGCTACTACAGGTTGAGCATCCCTCATCCAGAACACCAAAATCCCAAAATACTCCAAAATTGTCGAAATGGGTGGCCGAGCTAGTAGCCCATTTGCTTTAAATAAAAGTTATTTCAAAACATTGCATAAAATTATATTTAGGTATCAGGTCTGAATTTCATGTATCAGCTTGGGTCCCATCTCCATGGTTTCTCATTATGGACCTCATCACACTAGAGAATGAATCCACTTTAAATCCGGTTGCTGCCTCCTGCAGAATTCTGGGGTTTGTTGTTTACAAAGGAGCCTTTAACAGCCTCACTAAATTACAAACCCCTGGATTCTGCAGGAGGCAGAAACTAGATTTAAAGTTGATTCATTCTCTAGTGTGATGAGGTAGATGTGTACAGGCAATCCAAAACACAAATACATAACACTTTTGGACACATTTTATGTATTTGCCTGAATTGAGTACAAGCATGGGAAAACTTCAGTCCTCCCAAGTATTTTGGACAATTTATTTATTTATTTATTTATTTACTTACTTACTTACTGTATTTGTATACCGCCTTTCTCAGCCCACAGGCAACTCAAGGTGGTTTACAGGACAACATTCAATGTCCACAATATCATAAATACAATTAAAAACATGAACATATAATAAAAACCATAACAAAATCAATAAAACATAAATCCATAGTATCTCCTTGTTAAAAACATTGTCCAGCCCACCGTCTAATCGTTCCATTTTCCTGTGTCAAGTTACTCTGCATTTGCAAACGCTTGCTCAAAAAGCCACGTCTTGACTTTTCTCTGGAATGTTAAAAGGGAAGGGGCTGATCTGATATCCCTAGGGAGGGCGTTCCACAGCCAAGGGGACACCACCGAGAAGGCCCTGTCTCTCATCTCTGCCAAACGTACTTGTGACAAAGGCGGGATTGAGAGCAGGGCAGATGATCTTAAGGTCCTAGATGGTTCATAAGGGGAGATGTGTTCGGACAGGTAAGTTGGGCCAGAACCGTTTAGGGCTTTATAGGCTAAAGCCAGCACTTTGAATTGTGCCCAGTAGCAAACTGGCAGCTAGTGGAGCTGACGCAGCAGAGGAGTTGTATGCTCCCTGAGTGCTGCTCCTGTTAGCAATCTGGCTACCATCCGTTGGACCATGTGAAGCTTCCAGACAGTCTTCAAAGGCAACTCCACGTAGAGAGTGTTGCAGTAGTCTATACGGGATGCAACCAGAGCGTGGACTACTGTGGCTAAGTCAGACTTCCCAAGGTACGGGCGCAGCTGGCTATGACTCTCACAATTCCCAACAGCCTACTGGATTCCTCACACCAGAAGCGACTTGCAGTTTCTCAAGTCGCTTCTGACACGAAAAAAAAGAAAAGACCAAAACCCCAGATTCCTACAATTCCTAACAGCCTAACAAAGGATTACCCCAAGCAGCAATCAGCCAGGCACTGAAGCTACAAGGCCATTAAATGCTAATCAAGGTGGACCTTTGCAACATTCATACCTGCCTCAAGCAGATAAGAGTTCTTTCTCCCACCATGGCCATTCCACAGATATATAAATCTCACTTGCCTAGTTTCCCACAGATCCCTTAACCTCTGAGGAGGTCTGCCATATATGTGGGCAAAACGTCAGGAGAGAATGCTTTTGGAACATGACCACACAGCCTGGAATACTCACAGCAACCCAGTCTACTGACTGTTAGGAATTGTGGGAGTTGCAGTCCAAAACACCTGGAGGGCTGAAGGTTTCCCATGCCTGGTAGAGACCAAAGCTATGAATTCAGAACTGGCCAAATACATATGAGGCCAAATACATATAAATCATGCCTCAACAAACGATCCTTGGCGAGAGAGGCTTTATATAGACCTCACAATCTCTTTAGAGCCGAGAGAAGGAAAAGAGGGCATCAGCAGCACTCAGCAGACGGACGCCTTCGGAGGTCACTTTGCTGCCTATTAACTGCTCGGTGGTGAGGATGGCTAGCATCTGCTCTTTGCAAAAGTGGGAGCAAGCCATGTGCACCACAGTCTTGATACTAGAGCAATTGGTACACAGCAAAAATGGCTTCAGAAGAGCCAAATATAGGAGTGATTTAAGCATGAGGCTGTGGCTACAGAACCCAGGGTTTGAATCCCTGCTCAGCCATGAAACCCACTGGGTGTTCTTGAGAGCTGTTCAGCAGTGGAACTCTCTGCCCTGGAATGTAGTGGAGGCTCCTTCATTGGAGGCTGTTAAGCAGAGGCTGGATAGCTATCTGTCGGGGGTGCTTTGAATGTGATTTTCCTGCTTCTTGGCAGGATGAGGTTGGACTGGATGGCCCACGAGATCTCTTCCAACTCTATTATTCTAAGTCACACTGTCTCAGCCTCAGATGAATGCTATATATATGAATGCAGACACACACACACACATTATATATTATATTATTAGCATAGTACAATATCAGAATTATATAATACTATATTGTACTATACCATTATATTGTAATAATATTAGTAATATTACATGTAATATAAAATATATAATTATAGTATCATATTATTAGTAGTAGTATTATATTGTATTACATTATAATATTATAAATATCATATGCATATACAATATATTATATTATTAGGATAGCACAGGAGACAAGGTGGAACTTGTCTTTTAAGTTTATATTTGTCAAAATTGTTCATTTTAATTATTGTGTTGTTTTAAAGTGTTTTTTTGCACTACAAAATAAGATATGTGCAGTGTTCATAGGAATTCATTCATTTTTTTTTTCCAAATTATAATCCGGCTCTCAAACAGTTTGAGGGACTGTGACCTGGCCCTCTGTTTAAAAAGTTTGAGGACCCCTGCTGTAATGTATTGTTGGGCTTGGCCTCATGTAAGCCACTCCGAATTCCCTTTGGGGAGATGGTGGCGGGGTATAAATAAAGTTTATTATTGTTGTTATTATCTGAACAACCTGTTAGGAATTGTGGGAGTTGCAATCCAAAACACCTGGAGGGCCCAAGTTTACCCGTGCTTGAGCTATACTGTACTTACTTTGGCGATCCCTCGTAGTCCGAGGATGATGGTCCTCCAAGTGTAGTATCCTGGGGGTGGGTAAAACTAATGCAGTTTGATGCAACTCCAAATGCCCTGGATCCATACTATGGGATTGGTAGCTTGGCAAGACATTTAGCCTTTTCTGCCAAGGAGAGACGGTGTCTCACCAAAGTACAAATCCCAAGGTGGTGCAGCATTTGGCAATTACAGTTAAAGTGGTATCAAACTGTATTAATTCTACAGTGTAGATGCATCTATCACTTTAAATGCCCTGGCTCAAGGCTAAGATTTGTAGTTGTAGGTTTTTTCGGGCTATATGGCCATGGTCTGGAGGCATTCTCTCCTGACGTTTCGCCTGCATCTATGGCAAGCATCCTCAGAGGTAGTGAGGTCATCACTACCTCTGAGGATGCTTGCCATAGATGCAGGCGAAACGTCAGGAGAGAATGCCTCTAGACCATGGCCATATAGTCCAAAAAATCCTACAACAACCAGGGATTCCGGCCATGAAAGCCTTCGACAATACTAAGATTTGTAGTTTGGGGAGGCCCTAAAAGTCTTTGGAAAGAGGAATCTTGCAAAACTACCAATCCCAGGGCACTTAAAGCGATAGGTGCATCTACACTGCAGGATTAACGCAGTTTGATAGGGCTCTAACTGTCGTTGCTGCGTTCATTTTACAGTGTTATAGATGCACACTAAGGAATATACCAAACTACAAACTCCAAAGTGGCGTAGCATTCGGCAATTATAGTTAAAGCGGCATCAAACTGTATTAATTCTACAGTGTAGATGCACCTATCACTTTAAATTCCTTGGCTCAAGGCTGAGATTTGTAGTTTGGGAAGGCCCTAACAATGGCTTCAAACTACAAGAAAGGAGATTCCACCTGAACATGAGAAAGAACTTCCTGACTGTGAGAGCCGTTCAGCAGTGGAACTCTCTGCCCCGGAGAGTGGTGGAGGCTCCTTCTTTGGAAGCTTTTAAACAGAGGCTGGATGGCCACCTGTCAGGGGTGATTTGAATGCAATATTCCTGCTTCTTGGCAGGGGGTTGGACTGGATGGCCCATGAGGTCTCTTCCAACTCTTTGATTCTATGATTCTATGTTATAGATGCACACTCAGAATACACCAAACTACAAACTACACAGTGGCGTAGCATTCGGCAATTTACAGTTAAAGCGGTATCAAACTGCATTAATTCTACAGTGTAGATGCACCTATCACTTTAAATGCCTTGGCTCAAGGTTATATAATTCAGAGATTTGTAGTTTGGGGAGGCCCTAACACTCTTTGGCAGGAGGAATCTTGCAAAACTACCAATCCCAAGGCTCTTAAAGTGATAGGTGCATCTACACTGCAGGATTAACTCAGTTTGATAGTGCTCTAACGGTCATTGCTGCGATCATTTTACAGTGTTATAGATGCACACTCAGAATACACCAAACTACAAACTACACAGTGGCGTAGCATTCGGCAATTTACAGTTAAAGAGGTATCAAACTGCATTAATTCTACAGTGTAGATGCACCTATCACTTTAAATTCCTTGGCTCAACGCTGAGATTTGTACTTTGGGAAGGCCCTAATACTTGCAAGAAGAATCTTGCAAAACTACCTATCCCAGGGCACTTAAAGTGATCGGTGCATCTACACTGCAGGATTAACGCAGTTTTATACCGCTCTAACTGTCGTTGCTGCATTCATTTTACAGTGTTATAGACACAGCCTTAAAATACAGGAAAATCAGAAGAAAAAACAAGGGAAGTTTGTCAAATTTTGCAAGCACTACAACCCCATTATTATTATTATTATTATTATTATTATTATTATTATTATTATTGATAATAATAATAATAATATTGTCATATCTACCACCAACTCTTCCCAAAACTTTTGGGAAGGAGGGCAAAAACTGTAAGGAAATCTATGAGATTCTGGGTTTAGGATGGTCACAAGAAGTCCAAATTCCCAACCCACCAAAAGTCAGTTCTGTACCTTGAGCTCCCATAGCTTCCTGCTCTTGCCAGCTGTTTGGGAGGAGAATGAGCATTGCGCCTGCGCAAAAGGGGCTGGGCTCTGCTTGCTCTTAGTGCGCATGCGCAGGATTCTAGAAATAGAGACTTTGACTCTATATTTGTGAATAGCTACTAAATGTCTAGTATTGCTGCATATCATGAATTTCAATCTTATTTATTATTATTTTTAAGCCAATTATATATCCATCTACCGTATTTCTGTACATTAATTTCCCTTTTCTCATTTTTTTTTTGAAAAAATCTTATTTTCCCACCAACACAAAATGTGTCAATTTGAATCCGGAAGTGTGAGGCCGAATTTCGTTCGACCTCTATACCAAAATGTAAATAGATGTATAAGGGGCGGGGACTCGTTGCCTAGGAGACCGCCTTGTGGGCGGGGCTCGTTTCCTAGGTTACCTGGAGGGGCGGGGCGTAAACAGTTTTGCAGCCTAGTGATCCAAAAAGGAAGCAAGATGGTGAGAGAGGATTATTACCTTATCATATGTTTTGTCACTTTGCAATTAAAAAAATACTGCATAAATTTGCATATGCAGAGTATGCATAATACCTGGTAGTTTAAACCCCATATTAGCATGTTTTTAATATTATTATATTAAATATAATATATAATTTATATTAAATATAATATAATTTAATATTATGTATTATGATCCTAATCACATTCTAGCTTTTAGGCCCTGTTCAGTCCCAATCTTGAGTAAAAGATAAGTTGTTGTTGTTGTTGTTATTTAAAAGAGAGAAAAAGCAACACTACTGGTTGCTAATTTATTATTATATTATTGCACTCAGTGATACAAGTGTTCAATATTATTGTTATATTATTATTATTATCGGCGGTGACCAGGGGAGCATTTGCACAGCTAAAGCTTGTGCGCCAGCTGCGCCCGTACCTTGGGAAGTCTGACTTGGCCACGGTAGTCCACGCTCTGGTTACATCCCGCTTAGACTATTGCAACGCTCTCTACGTGGGGTTGCCTTTGAAGACGGCCCGGAAGCTCCAACTGATCCAACGTGCGGCAGCCATGATACTAACAGGAGCGGGACGCAGGGAGCATACAACCCCCCTGCTGTACCAGCTCCACTGGCTGCCGATCTGCTACCGGGCTCAATTCAAGGTGCTGGCATTGGCCTATAAAGCCCTAAACGGTTCCGGCCCAAGATACCTAACTGACCGCCTCTCGACCTATGAGCCCACGAGGACTTTGAGATCTTCCGGGGAGGCTCTGCTCTCGATCCCGCCTGCTTCACAGGCACGGCTGGCGGGGACGAGAGATAGGGCCTTCTCGGTGGTGGCTCCTCGGCTGTGGAACACCCTCCCCGTGGACATCAGACTAGCTCCCTCCCTGCTGATATTCCGCAGGAAATTAAAGACCTGGCTGTTTAAGAAGGCGTTTGAACAAGAAGTGCAATGATTGGTAATTGACCATAGGAATGAACAACAGAAATTGATACTGGATTGTGGTTTTGGCGATGAGACGACACGGAATGGCTTTTGTAGTAATGATGATGTTTTTGATGAAGATGTTTTCTGATGATGTTGAATTGTGGATTATTTTATACTGTGTCTTATATTTTGCACCTTGTTTTTTGCTATGTTGTACACCGCAGTGAGTCGCCCCTGGGCTGAGAACTGCGGTATATAAGCGAAGCAAATAAATAAATAAATAAATAAATTTGACTGACACAAAAACACAGTTTGTCACAGCAAACAAAATCTATATGCCGGATTTCGTATCACAAAATCACAAGTCGAACACTTCCCAAGCGTCTAGGACTGTGCAATTATTATTATTGTTGTTGTTGTTGTTGTTGTTGTTTTATTATTATTGTTATAAAACCCAATAATAGAATCCTAGAGTTTGAAGAGACCTCGTGGGTCATCCAGTCCAACCCCATTCTACCAAGAAGCAGGAAAGTCGCATTCAAAGCACCACCAACAGATGGCCATCCAGCCTCTGTTTAAAAGCTTCCAAAGAAGGAGCTTCCACCACACTCAGGGGCAGAGAGTTCCACTGCTGAACAGCTCTGTCTCACAGTTAGGAAGTTCTTCCTAATGTTCAGGGAGAATCTCCTTTCTTGTAGTTTGAAGCCATTATTCCGTTGCGTCCTAGTATCCAGGGCAGCAGAAAACAAGCCTACTCCCTTCTCCCTGTGACTTCCCCTCACATCTTGATACATGGCCCTCATTATGTCTCCTCTCAGCCTTCTCTTCTGCAGGCTAAACATGCCCAGCTCTTTAAGCCGCTCCTCATAGGGCTTGTTCTCCAGACCTTTGATCCTTTTAGTCGCCCTCCTCTGGACACATTCCAGCTTGTCAACCTTGTGGCATAATGTAAAATAAACCACATGTAGTTCATCTTTGATCAGCCTACACACTGCCTTGCCAGAGAAAGAAAATATGCCACGCAGATGAACAATGAATAACAAGTAGTTTAACTCTTTGTAGTTCAGAACATCACATGTACAATATGATCAGCTGTATCAACTCACGAGCACACTCCAAACTCTGTCTCTCTCTGCTTGCTTCTCTCTACTTTCAAAGGAAGAACTGCACAATTAAACAGGAAATAACACTTCAAACCAGGAACAGAAAAACTTTCAAGTTTTGTTACATAATGTAATTCAAACCAAAAGTGACAAGATCGTTTTATTTTTCTCACAAAAAGTCTATAAGCGGTTTCCAGTCTTTTAAGAAATGGCATGGTAATGTGAGAACAGCAACTTAGGGCCCATGACATGAGTTGTATAGACCCCACCTTGAAAATGTAATTATAACTATTGCATCTTTTCTGACTTTCTCTATTTTTTCCTTTCAATCTTTAGGGTCCAAAAAAGAAAAAGGTAGGTAGGTTTGTAGGTAGGTAGATAGATAGGCAGATAGATAGACCACAGAGAATCTGCTGTGTACTCATTCGTATAGCTATTGTATGGTAGTCTGAGCATGAGCATTGGTTTTAATATTTCAATTTGTATCTCACATTTCTATAAGGAATTATCATAGAAATTGCTTAGATATTGGTAAACAAAATACGTTAAGTCGAAGAGACATTAGATTAAATGTGATTGTATGTGTGTATACACACACGTTCATTTCAAACTAAGTAATCTATTACATTTTTCAACAATTCACAACCTCCTGAGCTATAACAGAGCTAGTGAAACTGTAATTATCCAGATGTTGTTACACTCCTTTACACATTAGCCATAGCCAACCTGGGCAATGGAAAAGCATGACGGGAATAATAGTTCTCCAACGTCTGGAAAGTTCAAGGTCCCACAACTCAAATATTTGATTGATAGAGTTTTTGTTTTATCTCCATCTAGTAAAGATAAGTTTCTTAGTCCAGGTCACCTGCTCCTTCCGACAACAATAATTGGAAGTTAAATGAGAAATGGAGTATAGGCTAAAGCAGGCCTGGGCAAACTTTGGCTCTCCAGGTGTTTTGGACTTCAACTCCCACAATTCCTAACAGCCTACTGGTGATAGTTATAATTGGTGTGCATTTCTGACTTGATATTTTTCTCCTTTATGTTTCTTTATATAGACCTATATCAATATCTTTTCAGATGTATTGTCGAAGGCTTTCATGGCCGGAAGCACTGGGTTGTTGTAGGTTTTTTCGGGCTATATGGCCATGTTCTAGAGGCATTCTTTCCTGACGTTTCACCTGCATCTATGGCAAACATCCTCAGAGGTAGTGAGGCAAGCATCTATGGCAAGCATACTCACTACCTCTGAGGATGCTTGCCATAGATGCAGGCGAAACGTCAGGAGAGAATGCCTCTAGAACATGGCCATATAGCCCGAAAAAACCTACAACAAGTCATCTTTTCAGATCTTTCCATTTTGAAAGCGATATGATGACTAAAGACTTGGACAATTGCTTTCATTCATGCAAAGAAGTGTCTTGTTTATGCCTTCTCTCTGGAAAGCCAAGACTTTGTGCCTTCTAAATCTTTCACTTTCATCAACAGCATCTACCTATTTTCGTTTGACCTCACCTGAAAGTTCTCCTAGAATAGTGATTCCCAAACTTTGGTCTTCCAAGTGTTTTGGACTTAACTCCCAGAACTCTTAGCCAGCTTGGCCAACTATGAGAAATTTAGGAAGATGTAGTTCATAACATCTGGAAGACCAAGGTTTGGGAAACAGTGTTCTAGATCATTCTAGACAATAGTAATTCCTGTCATTTGGTCCTACAGGTGTTTGGGACTTCAGCTCCCACGATAACTTACAGATTGTAAGCTGCCTGGGATTTTTGGGAGTTGAAGTCCAAAACACCCAAAGAACCAAAGGTTGGGAACCATGGTCTAGAACAGTGGTTCTCAACCTGTGGGTCCCCAGGTGTTTTGGCCTACAACTCCCAGAAATCCCAGCCAGTTTATCAGCTGTTAGGATTTCTGGGAGTTAAAGGCCAAAACATCTGGAGACCCACAGGTTGAGAACCACAAGTCTAGAACATAGGGTCCCTCTTAGTCAACACAACCAGGCCGCTGTACTTGCCTGTTATATTTAGGATAGGGTTCATGAGCATGTGGTCCTCTGGATATTTAAATATTCCATCTCAAATCATCCTAAAGACAGGATGGGAATGGTAATGAATGAATGGAGTTGGAATTCCTCAACAGCTAGAGAGATTCCCTATGCTTGCTCTAGTGATGCTTTATGTTGGCTTTTGTCATGATGGTGCCCTTCACTTCCCATAGACCCAACCAGGAGGATTGGTATAGAGAAGACCAGAATGACATACACAGCCCATATTTTCTGATCTAATTCAAATGTTGCCATTTGGGTGGAAAGACCACAAGACAGAATGGGTGTTTACTCCTCATCCACACTACTTGCCTGACCTTCTTCACTTAGAAACACAATGTACTGTGTTTGGGACTCCTTGGTCATACTGGATCTGAACAGAAGTGGAAGAGGTTTTGACCATGATTGTAAACCATTTGGTAGAGGCCGACACCTTGGTGTTTAGAACAGGGATAGGCAAATATGGAAGGTCTTGGGAGGTATTTTCAAAATTTCCTCCATTCTTTAGTGGGCCGCAATTACCCCTGATCTTCACGTGTGTCTCAGTTGTGTAGGTGGAGGAATATTCAGTCCCGTGAGCTGAATTCCAACCAGATGTTGCCACCCACAAAGAGTTACTAGCTCATTTTCTATTTTGAGATAACAAAATAGGAAATTGGTCGGAATTGTTCTGCTACTCACTCGCAACTTTTATAGTCAGAACTTGGGGAAAAGAGGAAACCCTTTTGGCTACTACTCCCATAATCCCTCAGCCTGTTATTGGCTAGGAAATGCTGGGAGCTGTAGTCAAAAAGTGCAGCTTCTAAGCAGTCCCTATGGTACTTTGTAGTAACATGACTGAAACTCCCAGCTTGGAGCAGAAGCCCTTGTGAGTTTTCTACACAACGGAAGTATAACTCCTTTGAGTTCCTTTAGATGGTTGGTAGATTTTACTTAGCATTCAGTATGGATGTGTAAAGCTTGGTCTGTGAAAGAAGCTGAAAGTTACCCCAGCTGTTACACTTAGGCCCCCATCTACACTGCCATATAATCCAGTTTCAAAAGTCAGATTAATTGCATTGAACAGGATCATATGGCAGTATCGACTCAGGCCCCTTATGCACTGCCATATAATCCATACTCTCAAAGCCGATAATCCACATTATGAGTCTACACTGCCATATAATCCAGTTCAAAGAAGATAATCTGGATTTTATAAGGCAGCGTAGAAGGGGCCTCAGATAATCCAGTTTAGTGTGCTTCTATCTGCATTATATGAGTCTCTACACTGGCCATTATAATGCAGTATACATTATAATTCAGATGGGGTCTCAGAGAATTCCAAGTATCTCACCAAACTACAGATCCCAGAATTCTATAGGGCACATCTCATTGTGAAAGTGGCATCAAACTGCTATAACTTTGTGTTGTGCAAAATATATTCTGAGAGCAAGGCATTACCTTGGAGGTTCAGCACAACTCAGAAAAAATGAGACTAAAGTTGGTCTCTTGTAAATCAATTGTTTTTAAAAAGAAATATTACGTGTTCTACTTTGGGAGGGAAAAGGTTTTGTAGTAAAAAATGTGCAGCATTATTTGAGATGTGTGTTTTGAGAGTTAATTGGTCACCTCCTTGTTTTCTACTGATTTTTTTTAAAATGTAACTCAGTTGCCTTTGTAACTCACTATTTGTGTTCAGTCTGCTGGTGGTAAAAAGAAGAAACCCAGTAAAGCTGAAAGGCTGAGGCTCCAGAGAGAAGAGGAAGAGAGAAGATTGTTTGAGGAAGGTAGGATACATTTTACTCCATCTTACACCATACATTTTCGACTGATGGAAGCAGAACTTGGGAAAGGTATCTTTTAGCAGGTAACTCCCAAATCACAAAGACGGGTGATTTTGAGAAGTATCACCTGGAAAAGAAACTTTTCCATACATTATACATTACAATGCAGATAGGGCCTCAGAGAATTCCAAGTATCCAAACTACAGATCTTTTAGCAGGTAACTTTTTCATGTGCCAGATAATTATACAGTGTTTTCTTGCTATTTCGTGGTTTGCTTTTGCTTTTCAATAACTTTTATTGAAAATTTTCAAGGGTGAGCATTAAAAGGATAAGGGATTAGAACCATAAAAGGGGTGTGGATAGGGTTAGGATATGGATCGGGGTTAGGGCTTAGGTATTGGAGCAGGTTAGGGTTGGGGTTCTAGTTTGGGATTGGAGAAAAAACCAGGAAACCTGAATGGGAAATTTTAAAAAAGAAAGAAAAGAAAGAAAAAAGAGGGACTTCGCGGTTTGCTTTTAGCGGACTTGTTGTTTCACGGGTTTTTGAAAATATTAATAAAAATATTAAATATTAAATATTTATGTCAAGTGGAAGCCAGGAACCCCAGAAGTGCAGCAGCCTGAAGCACGTCAGGGAATGCCTGCCCCCGTGGTCCCCACAGACCCCAGAAATGCGGGGGCCTGAGGTGCGGCGGGAAATGCCCGCCTCCCTGGCCTTCTGCTGCTTGCGTGGCTCTGGAGGCTCTGCAGAGGCCAAGGAGGCAGGCAGGTGTCCTTGGGATGGGCTGGGAGGTGGATAAAGAAGCATGGGTAAGAAAATAATATATAAAATATATAAAATAATGCATAAATATTAAAATTAATATGACATCCCTACTTTGTGGATTTTCACTTATTGCGGTGGTCCTGGAACAGAACCCCCGCGATAAGTGAGAGAACACTGTAGACTCATACAAATACTGATAAATGCCTTCATGGGAAAAACAGCTCTGCGTGGCCAAGGTACATGTGGGGAGTACTTTTGCATCTACAGTAAAGTCTCCCTTATCCGAACTTCGCTCATCCAACATTCTGTATTATTCAACACAATCTGCCTCCCGCTCGGATTCACAGCTTTTTCAATACACTGCGATGTTTTGGTGCTAAATTTGTAAATATAGTAATTGCTACATAACATTACCGTTTATTGAATTGCTTTTTCTGTCGATTTGTTGCAAAATAAGTTGTTTTAGTGCTCCATTTGTAAAATCATAACGTAATTTGACATTTAAAAGGCTTTTCCTTAATCCCTCCTTATTATCCAACATTTTCACTTAATCCAACATTCTGCTGGCCCATTTATGTTTATGTATTTATTTATTTACAGTATTTATATTCCACCCTTCTCACCCCGCAGGGGACTCAGGGCAGATTACAATGTACACATATATGGCAAACATTCAATGCCAAAGACATACAACACATATAGACAGACAGTCAGAGGCTATTTAACATTCCACTTTCCTGGCCACCAGGGGAGCTGTCGCTTTCATTGTCCATTTGTGACACTGATGAAGTACTTCCACATTTCCCACATGCTTTGCTGGAGTCTTTTTTATGGCCTCGTAAATTAGTTAAATTAGCTTCCCCACACATAGGTGGTACCTAATTTTCCAACTTGACAGATGTAACAGTCTTTCGGGTTGCAAAGGTCGACAACAAGCTACACAATTGGTTGGAAGCTCACTCCAACCCAGGCTTCGAACTTATGACCTTTCAGTCAGAAGTGATCTTAATGCAGTTGACACTCAGCCAGCTGCACCACAGTTCCGGTGTTGGATAAGCAAGACTCTACTGTATATGTACGGTAGTGGCATGGAATCTCAAGTAGTTCTGGATTGCTGTGAGTTTTCTGGGCTGTATGGCCATGTTCCAGAAGCATTCTCTCCTGACGTTTCACCCACATCTATGGCAGGCGTCCTCAGACCTCACAACCTCTGAGGATGCCTGCCATAGATGTGAATGAAACGTCAGGAGATAATGTTTCTGGAACATGGCCAGACAGCCTGGAAAATTCACAGCAACCCAGTGATTCCAGCCATGAAAGCCTTCACACACATTGAACATCTAGTAGTTCTATTTGTTAAATCCTATTTATATATTATTTAACTGATTTTAATCGCATTGAATGGGAAAACATCTCTTTGGCAGAGCAAGCACGAATCCGTGCTGAGCTAGAAGAAGCTGCAAGGCTTGAAAAGGAAAGGATCGAAAGAGAGAAGAGAGAACGCTTGGAAGCCAAGGTTAGATCTCACACACCTTGCCATGGTGTTAATGAAATCTCAGGTGGACCATGCTTTGAAATGGCTGTTTGCAGAATAAAATGACAGCAAGCCACCTGGTTTTGTCCCATGCAGGATCAAGAACGCAGAGGGGTTGAACTTGCTGAACTTGCTGTTCTCGAAGAAAGCTTTTTAACCGCAAGCCAATGTAAGGCTAAATTTAGAGCTCTTGCAAAGGTACACTTGGTTTTCAATACATCTCATTTTATAGCCATAGATGACTTAAGTGTTGGTTTCCTTAAATAAAAGTGGAATCAAAAATGTATTGGATATCCTATGCAACATCTACTACTCTAAAGTTACAGAGAAGTTCAGCACAGAAAGGATATAGACTTTCTGTGGGTAGTTGCAATTGTGAATAATAGAGAACCCTATATATTTACTATACTTGGACCAGAAGCAAACCATAGAGTCACACTGGAATGTGGCCTGCAAACACCTTTGGAGGGGGGTAATATTTTTTGGAATGTGGGTAACTGAAATCATGGACATTGTATCCACGTATAAGCGGGGTGTGTGTGTGTCTTATGGTACTAGAGATCTGCTAGGAATACTCTGTCCAATTCTGGGCACAAACTGGAAGGGAGATGTTAACAAGCTGGAATGGGTCCAGAGGTTGATAACACAAATGATCAAGGGTCTGGAGAACAAGCCCTATGAGGAGCGGCTTAAAGAGCTGAGCATGTTTAGCCTGCAGCAGAGAAGGCTGAGAGGAGACATGATGATGGCCATGCATCAAAATGTGAGGGGAAGTCCTAGGAGGAGGGAGCAAGCTTGTTTTCTGCTGTCCTGGAGACTAGGATGTGGAAAAATCGCTCCAAACTTCAGGAAAGGAAATTCCACCTGAACATTAGGAAGAACTTCCTAACTGTGAGAAGGGCTGTTCAGCAGTGGAACTCTCTGCCCCGGAGTTGGTGGAGGCTCCGTCTTTGGAGGCTTTCAAACAGAGGCTGGGTGGCCATCTGTCGGGGATGCTTTGAATGTGATTTTCCTGCTTCTTGGGAGGGGGTTGGACTGCATGACCCACCAGGTCTCTTCCAAGTCAATCATTCTATGTTTCTATGAAAGATATATAAAAAGTAACTGTTCCTAGTTTTGAATGACATTAATTTTTTTTATCTCCATCAATCCACTATCCTTTCTTAATTTGAAGTGAGTATTTCATTGATCTATTTCTGTTCAGTGGGAACACTACACTGGCTGTGATGGAACTCCAGACCCAATGATTCTGCAGGAAATCAATACTTTCATGAGCCTATGGAAGGAGGATACCAACAATGATATCTTTACCATTATTGAGAAAGGCAACAGGGTATTGGATGTAAGTTAGTGACATTACATTCCACTTTAAACATTGTATTCATTATTTAGGATGTAGAGTCATAGGTGGTTCCAGACAGCACTAAATCGTGCTCTTTAGTTAAGGGCAAAAAAACCTGGGACCTGAGATGTCCAGATACAGACCTGTTGGTGCCAGAATTTCTGCCTCCATTGTCTACACTTGTTGCTTTGTCACAGGATTTTGCAGTCCCCAAGATGGCCAGCACAGAACTTCCACCAGAAATTTTGGCTTAAAAAAAAAAAAACTTAAGATGCAAAGATGCAAATCATTGTATAAGTTCCATTCCTGGGTTATATAAGCTGCAGGGTCATCTGTGCAGACAGGGTGTTGTTCCTGGGTTATACATGTCTGTTCCTGATTGCTCTTATTGTAAAAATATGTACAACTGGGTTGTTGTAGGGTTTTTTTTGGGCTATATGGCCATGTTCTAGAAGCATTCTCTCCTGACGTTTTGCCTGCACCTATGGCAAGCATCCTCAGAGGTTGTGAGGACCTCACAACATCTGAGGATGCTTGCTATAGATGCAGGCAAAACGTCAGGAGAGAATGCTTCTAGAACATGGCCATATAGCTTGAAAAACCTACAACAACCCAGTGATTCTGGCCATGAAAGCCTTCGACAGTACAATATGTACAACGTTGACTACAGGGCCACAACTTCGTCCTGGCCAGAGAAAATGTGCCTTCCATACGTTTCATGAAGTTTCTGGCACACAAACAAAGTTTTCCCCTTCTACTCAACTGTCACCTACTTTTTAGGAACCAACCAACCAGAAACAAACATCTAAAACCCAGGAACAAACCCAGATGAAAATTCCTGTGATTTCCGAGTGCAGGAACATACGGACATTTGAAGAGGCAGATTTTTGGCTCAGAACTGGGGTATTTCTGCACCTGAAAATTTCGTGCTTTTTGCTGTTTGTAGCTATTGCTTCTGTGTTTACAGATAATGGCTTTTGGCCACCCTCCTGTTTGTGCAGGAGCTCCTGGGATAGAGGTAATGTCTGGACGGGCCCATAGACTGATACCATTTCAGATAAGGGATACTCAGCCTGTGCCAAACCTAGCAACCTGCCAATCTAGGAGTTCGAAAACACGCAAATGTGAGTAGATCAATAGGTGCCGCTCTTGCAGGAAGGTAACGGCGCTCCATGCAGTCATGCTGGCCACATGACCTTGGAGGTGTCTATGGACAACGCTGGCTCTTCGGCTTATAAATGGAGATGAGCACCACACCCCAGAGTCAGACATGACTGGACTTAATGTCAGGGGACAACCTTTACCTTTACTTTTTATCAAAATGGGTTCTTAGCTGCTAGGCCACTAATATTTTCTTTTCCTTACTGCTGAAGATACTGACTTTTGGGACAGAATGGCAAAGGTGGAAATGTTTTAATAAGTGAATTAACATTTTGCTTTGAGTTGACCTTTGTTTCCTGTGTAGTGTCATTGGTTGACTAATAAATACTGGTTGGTTGACTGCCTGTCTGACTGACCGACTGAATAAATAGAGGGTTTGGCATTTTCCATCTCTGGTAGTTTATAACTTTATTGTTTATTCAATATAATGATTTCTGTGATGTGGTCCTTCCAAATGTCATTTGCGGCATCTTGACAAGATTCCATTAAAAACATGGAAGAGTCATAAAAAATGTAAAAGATAACATCAGACAAAACAGAGATACTTCAGATATAACAACAACAACAACAACAACACTGTATTTATATTCTGCCCTATTTTCACAAAAGGACTCAGGGCGGATTCCAATCACAAAAAAGGCAAAAAAGGCAAACATTCAATTTTTTTTTGTCGTGTCAGGAGCAACTTGAGAAACTGCAAGTCGCTTCTGGTGTGAGAGAATTGGCCACCTGCAAGGACGTTGCTCAGGGATGCCTGGATGATTTGATGTTTTTATCATCCTTGTGGGAGGCTTCTCTCGTGTCCCCACATGAGGAGCTGGAGCTGATAGAGGGAGCTCATCCGCCTCTTCCAGGATTCGAACCTGTGACCTGTCGGTCTTCAGTCCTGCCAGCACAGGGCTTTAACCCACTGCGCCACCGGGGGCTCATTCAATGCCTGAACATAACAACTAATATACACATAACAAAAATTAAACTCCACAGCATATAAAAACAAATTATAACTTCACAAATTAGAATAAAATTTAAGCAGCCTATTATATCAGACATAAAACAAACATAAAACATAAAAACAGAAGCATTAATTTCCCAGAGGCAACAGATTTCCTTTGGTGCATATAAATTGATCACTGATATTGATATATTGCTTTTAATTCTATTAGTAGTTCTATTGGTAGTTAAGTTATATTTTAAATTATGAGATGTGAACTTGTAGTTGTGTGTGTTTTAATTCTTTGTAATCCACCTTTGAGTCCCAGAGCTGGGAAAAAGATGAAGCACAAAATCATTGTTGTCATAATTTCTTCTTTCAGTTAATTGACAAATTAGAAATGTGTATACTGGATACACCTTTCCATGAGCTGTCTCCAAAAGATGTTACTCAATACCACGAAACCATTTTGCAACTCCAGGCACTTCTGCATCACAAGTACAATGAGGCAACGGAACATCTGCTAAAGGTACGCAGATACTGGGACTGTTTTCACATTGCACAAAGGACCGATTAACACATTCTTGTTTGTTTTCATGCATGTTTACTAGTGCATATATGTATGCACATAAACTAGACTGAATTTGGTGTATGTGGGGAGTAATTTGACAAGTTTACTACTAACCAACACGAACAAGTTTACTACGAACCAACATGAGCCCCAAGATCATCTGGGGAGGCCTTCTCTCGCTTCCACCTCTGTCTCAAGTGCGGTTGGTGAGGACAAGGGAGAGGGCCTTCTTGGTGGTGGTCCCCTGGCTCTGAAACTCTATTCCTAGGGAGATTAGACTGGCACCTACCCTGTCCACCTTCCACAAGAACCTAAAAACATGTATGTTCTGCTGTGCCTTTGACTAGGCAGTTCCAAAGAATTTGGCCAATGTTACCTAAGTTCCAGCACTTTAGCATGGCCCTCCACTTTACAATCCTGACATTTTAATGCCTCCCAGCCCTGCCTTCTGAATTTTGCACTTTCCCTTAGCTCTATCTAGGAATTTGCACAAACCCAGAACCCTCTGAATTCAGCACTTTTATCGTTCTGTATGGTACTGTTTTTATGATGTTATGCTTTATTCTGATATGTTTTTATTTGGTTTTGTTTTGATGCTATTTTATTGTGTTATGTTTTTAACTTTGTGCTCTCTGGGCTTGTCCCTTTGTAAGTCCCTTAGGGGAGATGGAGGCGGGGTATAATAATAAAGTTGTTATTATTATTTTTATTGTTATTATTATTATTATTATTATTATTATTATTATTATTATTAGTAGCAGCAGCAGTAGTAATAGTAGTAGTAGTAGTAGTAGTAGATGAGTTCAGAAATTCTTTCTTTGACTGAAATTTTGACAAATATGGGAAGCACCTACCTATTATTATCCATAATAATAATTGCAACAATTCCTAGACGACACAACCAGACTAGATCCCTTCCAGTCCGGCTTCCATGCGGGGCACGGGACAGAGACTGTGCTGGTCTCCATCACGGATCACCTTCGATGCCAGCTTGACCAGGGCGGGTCAGCGCTGCTTGTGTTATTGGATCTCACAGCAGCATTTGACACAGTCGACCACAATCTTTTGACCCACCGCCTTGCTGTTGCTGGAGTCAGGGGGACAGCTTTAAACTGGCTGTCCTCCTTTCTTCACAACTGTGGACAGCGAGTGGAGAGGGGAGGCCTGGTCTCTGAGAGGTCCCCTCTATCTTGTGGGGTTCCTCAGGGGGCCATTCTCTCCCCTCTGTTGTTTAACATCTATATGCGACCACTTGCTCAGCTGGTTCGAGGTTTTGGGCTTGAGTGTTATCAGTACGCCAATGACACTCAGCTGGTGCTGAAGATGGAAGGCCGACCGGACTCTGTACCCGATTGTTTCCATCAGTGCCTCGAGGCCGTTACTGGATGGCTGCGTGCCAGCAGGTTGAGGGTGAATCCAGCAAAGACGGAGATCCTATGGCTGGGTCGACCGGGCAGTGGGGATATCCAGCTGCCTACCCTGGATGGCGAGGCGCTACGCCCGTCATCATTGGTAAAGAGTCTGGGAGTCCTTTTGGACCCTCTGCTGACGATGGAGGCCCAGGTCTCCACCGTTAGCAGAACCGCCTTCTTCCATCTGCGGCAGGCTAGACGGCTGGCCCCCTCCCTGTCCAGGGACGACCTAGCTACGGTGATCCAGGCTACAGTCATCTCAAGACTGGACTACTGTAACGCCCTCTACATTGGCCTTCCTCTGTCGGTGATCCGGAAGCTCAAGTTGGTACAAAATGCAGCTGCTTGGCTTCTTGCGGGAATTCCGATGAGATGCCACATAACCCCAATCTTACTACAGCTGCATTGGTTACCAATTGAGCACCGGATCACTTTCAAAGTGATGGTACTCACCTTTAAGGCCTTGCATGGTCTGGGGCCGATGTACCTGAGGGACCGCCTCACCCCCTACCAACCCCAGAGATCCCTCCGTTCTGAGGACCAAGATCTATTGGAAATTCCCAGTGTCAAGACCTTGCGTCTAACAGCAACCAGACGCAGAGCCTTCACAGCAGTGGCACCATCACTCTGGAATACTCTGCCACCTGAAGTCCGTGCCTTGCGGGACTTACCAGCTTTCCGCAGGGCATGTAAGACATACCTGTTTCGACAGGCTTTTAATGTTTGATATTGCTGTTTTTAAATTGTTTTAAATTGCTTTTAAATTTTAGATTTTAGCTATTCTTGTAAGCCGCTCCGAGCCCCAGGGGAATGGCGGCATATAAGTTTAAATAATAAATAAATAAATAAAATAATGCTATAAAACACTTAACATCTAATTGTGGGGATGGTCACAGAGAGAGTAAGATAGTCCTCTGTTTATGTTGACTGACCCTGCATAGATCTGGTTAAATATTATTTTCAGGCAGTGAAGAGTTGCCATTGTTTGATAAAACCTGAGAGCTAGGGAAAGACAACATCATAGTTGAATATGGTCGCCTCATGAAGAGTTCTCCCCGCATGTACCTTTGCATTGACCCAAATTGTAGCACCACATTGTGAGATCTCCTTTGTCCACAGTTTGTATCATAAACCACCAGTGATGGTGGGACAAGAACAGAGAATTTTACACATCACATGTAGCTATTAGGCATGTGCAATCCATGATTCTAAATGGTTATAAAGTACTTACAAAACTAAAGTTCTGGTGATGAAAACTAAGGGGCGTTGGTGCTTTGCTTCTACAGTGTTGCTAAAGTTCTGGCGGTGAAACTTTCAAAACTCTAACACAACTTTCAAAATGTCATTATAAATGGCAGTTCCTAATAGGTTCTGTCATAAAAATCACCAATAATGAAATAATAATGAAATTTTGAAAGTTTTGTTAGAGTTCTGAAATTTTCACCACCAGAATTGTATAAGCAAAGCACCAGCGCCCCCTAGTTTTCACAACCAGAACTTTAGTTTTGTAAGTACTTTAGAACCATTTAGAACCGTGGATTGCACATGCCTAGAGTATGCCACCATGCCTTTCAATGCAGTCTTCTTTTAAGCAAGATATATTCTTCAATCCCAGGTTTACCATCAGCTTGCAGATAAACTAACTCTACTCTTCAAACAGCTTAATACTTTCTCTTTCTATATTTTCTGCAGCAAGCCAGCAGTTATGCAGAATCTGAGAGCGGAAACATGGAAGTTGTCATTAAAAGGCAGAACATCACGCTATGTGTTTGGGCAAACCTCAAGAAGAATCCAAAGTACAATGCTTGAAGACGTTGTTGTCTTGGGAGTGCTTCACATTTACCCTTGTGACATACATGATTTAGTAATATATTCAATGTAACTTTTGTTAAGGAAACAAACAAAAATATTGGGTTATTATAATTGCTAGATGATGGCACCACGTAGGAATGGCAGGCTCACAGAAGTATTTTGGATTTTTTAGATTTAGAAATACCTGTATTTGCATATATGAATATTGCCCTGTGGTGCAATGGGTTAGATCTTTGTGCCAGCAGGACTGCTGACCGAAAGGTTGGCGATTTGAATCCAGGGAATGGAGTGAGCTCCCTTCTGTCAGCTCCAGCTTCTCATGCAGGGGCTTGAGAGAAGCCTCCCACAGGATGGTAAAACATCCAGGTGTCCTCTGGGCAATGTCCTTGCAGACAGCCAGTTATCTCAAACCAGAAGCGACTTGCAGTTTCTCAAGTCACTCCTCACACACACACAAAAAGAGAAATCTGGGATTAGTCTTTCAGTTTAGGAAGAGGGAAAGTGCATCGTAGGGGCAACTTGTAAGGGATAAGGGATGCACAACGTGTATAAGACCTTTTAAGAACATGTACTATCAGTGGAAATTTAGTTCATAGAATATTGTTTTGCTTCCACTCCTCCCAACCAGGTTCCGCAGCCAGTGCTTTTATGATGACCAGAAGAAGCCGTGCAATGGGTTTGACCTCCCCAAACCACTGGCCATTTGTGATGTTGCTGTACGCATCTTGCACACCCATTATGACCACGTTTCCCCCTCTCAGGCGTACCCCAAAGAGCCGCCCGCACTGGAAATGCCAATACAAAAACCAGTGACTCCTGTGAGCAGTGTGGAAGCGAAAGCCACAAAGAGTCAAATGAGTCCAGCCAATCTGGAGACCCGGTCAGAGCACTCCACAATTAGAAGCAAGGTAAGGCAGGGCAGCAGAGACAAGGGTGGCATTAGCAAGCTGCATAGATGAGAGGTTTTTAATGCAGATAGCACCTGGTTGCCCCTACAAAATGAACATTGGAACAGATTTTTTTTAAATGTAGTAATGAATTGCCTAGTTCAGCATCTTATTTTCCATAGACATATCTCCCTGGAGAAACTGTAGTCTGTGCTGTCTGAAAATGGTGATGATTAGACTTCCATTTTTAAGAGCCTTATTTTGATTCTTTGATGTCCAACATTTGCTTTGACAAGATGACAGATTCTTTTTTCTGAGTGCTGCAACAACAACCAAACTTTATTACGATCCATGACCAGTACAAAATGGGGTACAAACATCCTGGGAAGGCAAAACTGATGATCAAGGGTCTGGAGAACAATCCCTATGAGGAGCGGCTTAAAGAACTGGTCATTTTTAGCCTTCAGAAGAGAAGACTGAGAAGAGACATGATAGCCATGTATAAATATGTGAGGAAATCTACCGGGCCCAATTCAAAGTGCTGGCTTTGGCCTATAAACCCCTAAACGGTTCTGGACCAACTTACCTGTCCAAACGTATCTCCCCTAACAAATGACTGAGGACTTTAAGATCATCTGGGGAGGCCCTGCTCTTGGTCCCGCCTTCGTCACAAGCACGTTTGGCGGGGATGAGAGACAGGGCCTTCTCAGTGGTGGCCCCTCAGCTATGGAATGCCCTCCCTAGGGCGATCAGATCTGCTCCCTCCCTGTTGACGTTTCGGAGGCAAGTTAAAACGTGGCTATTCGAGCAAGCGTTTACAAATACAGAGTAGCTAATATAGGAAATCGAATGACCTGACAATGGAATTGGACAATGCTTGAGAATAATGAAACGCTTATGATGTTGCTTTTATTGCTTTTGTGATGTCTTATACTGTTTAATGTTTTTTATCTATTATGTTTTATGTACACTGATTTGTTGGAAACCGCCTTGAGTCGCCAATTGGCTGAGAAAGGCGGTATACAAATACAGTAAATAAATAAGTCTTAGGGAGGAAGGAGCAAGCTTGCTTTCTTCTGCCCTGGAGACTAGGATGTGGAGCAATGGCTTCAAACTACAGGAAAGGAGATTCCACCTAAACATTAGGGAGCACTTCATAACTTGATAGCTGTTCAGCAGTGGAACTCTCTACCCCGGGGTGTGGGGGAAGCTCCTTCTTTGGAGGCTTTTAATGTGCTTTGAATATGATTTACCTGCTTCTTGGAAGTATGGGGTTGGATTGGATGGCCCACGAGGTCTCTTCCAACTCTATGATTCTATGAAACGCAGTTCCCCAGAGAGACAGTCATTTAAAAAGATTAGAAAACAGTTTTAAAAACACTGTTTAAAGACACAGTCAACATAAAAGGTATGGGGCCAAAGGGGGAAGTCTGATAGGAGGAGTCAAATGCTTTGGGAGTACTAAAGGGAGACGGAGAGGCACATTCCAAGTCCAGCAGCATCTCAGCTGCAACAGGTTGCTTCAGCCACGCTCCTGTCAAGTGCAGTCCTGCAGGTTCAACCATCATCCGTTGAACCTAGCAAAACTGTAAGTTACTGTAGTGCTAGACTCCAAGAGCATCCTGGGTATTTGAGTAGCCATGGTGTAATGAGATTTGAGTAGCCATGGTGTAATGAGATTAGTTCTGATGTCTCTGTAGAACATGCATTGAACAAGCTCATGCTCAGTTGTTTCCGTGTGTCCAGACTCACAGGGGCATTATCTTCTGAGACCTCCCCTCCAATACAGCCAATGGGAGGGCGTTCCCTCTCAGGGATCTCTTCCAACTTTGATACTGAGATTCTCAAAGGAAGGGAAAACAAACAATAGTAAACTAGGAAATCCACTTGAAATTTGTCTGAGATTTCTGAACCAATTATCTCTGCTCTTCTATTTGGTGGTTTTAGATGAGATTGCTAAATTATAGGTACTGACTTAGCTCTTATCACGATGTTAGCATGCAAACCACCTTGAAAAAATGTATTGTTGAAGTCTTTCATGGCTGGAATCACTGGGTTGTTGTAGGTTTTTTTGGGCTATATGGCCATGTTCTAGAGGCATTCCCTCCTGATGTTTCACCTGCATCTATGGCAAGCATCCTCAAAAAACTGCCAGGCCATCAAATGCTAATCAAGGTGGTCAGTTGAAACATTCACACCTAGCTCCAACAGACAAGAGTTCTTTGTCCCACTCTGGTCATTCCACAGATATGTAAACCCAATTTTCCTAGTTTCCAACAGACCTCACAACTTTTGAGGATGCTTGCCATAGATGCAGGCAAAACGTCAGGAGAGAATGCCTCTAGAACATGGCCATATAGCCCGCAAAAACCTACAACAACAAACCTTGAAAAAGCCTGTTTAGATTGTTCATGCTTAGACTAAATCAACTTACTACAGGTAGCTAGAATTGCTAACAAGATGCGTCCTCTGCTTTGTCCAGAGTGCGACTTCTGTTTTCATCGAAGAAGTGAAAAGTTCTGCGGTTGAGACTGAAAACACAGAATATGCTACGGATAAGAGCTCCATCCTCCTTCAAACAGTTTCTAGAGGTATTTGATCCAACTGCTTGTGTGCTTATGGTTAAGCAATGTGTTAGAGTTTGAGGGTCCTTCCACACAGCCATATAACCCAGAATATCAAGTTAGATAATCCACAATATCTGCTTTGAACTGGATTATCTGAGTCAAACTTTTGTACAGTGGCCCTTATTTCTCATGTCAGTAAAGGTAATGCTCAAGATCCTGCAAGGTAGACTTCAGCAATACAAGGAGCGAGAGTTGCCAGATGTACAAGTTGGGTTTAGAAAAGGCAGAGGAATGAGAGACCAGATTGCCAATATCCACTGGATAATGAAGGCAGGGAGTTTCAGAGAGACCTCACAATCTCTGAGTATGCTTGCCATAGATGCAGGCGAAACATCAGGAGAGAATGCTTCTAGAACATGGCCATATAAGCCAGAAAAACCTACAACTCAATATTTATTTTCTTTTCATTGACTATTCTAAAGCCCTTTACTGTGTGGATCATAAAACTGTGGCAAGTTCTTGGTGGTGTAGGGATCTCAAGTCATCTTGTCCGTCTCCTGAGGAATCTGTATAACAACCAAGTAGCCACAGTAAGAACAGACCACGGAACAACAGACTGGTTCAAGATTGGGAAGGAGTTCAGCAGGGTTGTATACTCTCAACCTACCAATTCATCTTGTATGCAGAACACATAGGCTGGAGTTAAAACTGCTGGAAGAAACATTAACAACCTTACAGCCTGCAAACTTTGGGTCGGGCTTTAGCAGGTTAACCACCAGCTGCAATAAATCTTGCCAATTGGAAGGTTTACTTGTTGCATTTTAATCTGTGAATGCCCGACCTTCGGCCCAGCTCACTGCCCACCTAGCAAATCAAAAACAGCTGTGCATAGAGAAATAGGTGCCGCTTAGTGGGGAGGTGTTTTAATAGGACCATAAGGAAATATAGATATGCAGATGATGCCACTTTGATGGCTGAAAGCAAGGAGGAGCTGAGAAGCCTTATAACCAAAGTGAAAGAAGAAAGTGCAAAAGCTGGGTTGCAGTTAAACATCAATAAAATCAAGATTACGGCAACCAGACTGATTGATAACTGGCAAATAGAGGGAGAAAACATGGAGGCAGTGACAGACTTTGTAGTTCTAGGCACGAAGATTACAGCAGAAGTAGTCTGCAGCCAGGAAATTAGAAAATGTTTACTTCTTGGGAGGAAAGCAATGACTAGTCTCAATAAAACAGGTAAGAGTAGAGACATCACACTAGCAACGAAGATCCGCATAGTTAAAGCAATGGTGTTCTCCGCAACATCCTATGGATGCTAGAGTTGGACCATAAGGAAGGCTGAGCAAATTGTGATGCTGGAGGAAAATTCTGAGAGTGCCTTGGACCGCAAAAAGATCAAACCAGTCTGTACTCCAGAAAATAAACTCTGACTGCTCACTGGATGGAAGGATATTAGAGGCAAAGATGAAGTACTTTGGCCACATAATGAGGAGACAGGAAAGCTTGGAGAAGACAATGATGCTGAGGAAAATGGAAGGAAAAAGGAAGAGGGGCAGACCAAGAGCAAGATGGATGGATGGTATCCTTGAAGTGACTGGATTGACCTTGAAGGAGCTGGGGGTGGCCACGGCTGACAGGGAGCTCTGGCGTGGGCTGGTCCATGAGGTCACGAAGAAGCAACTGAACAAATAAACAACAACAACGCCTGAGTCCACACTGCTATATAATCCAGTTCAATGTGAATTTTATACAGCTATGTGGAAGGGGCCTGACAATAGATGACCAATGGTCGTGAGTTGTGAACAGGCCAGAGCTATGCACAGTGGCAAACTGGGTATTTTGGCCTGGGAATGATTTCCCACTGGAAATACATAGAACAGGGGTCCACAAACTTTTTAAACAGAGGGCCAGGTCAAAGTCCCTCAAACTGTTGGAGGGCCGGATTATAATTTGAAAAAAATGAATGAATTCCTATGCACACTGCACATATCTTATTTGTAGTTGCAAAAACACTTTAGAACAATATAATAATTAAAATGAAGAACAATTTTAACAAATATAAACTTATTAGTATGTTATTGGGAAGTGTGGGCCTGCTTTTGGCTGATGAGATAGGATTATTGTTGTTGTGTGCTTTCAAGTCGTTTCAGACTTAGGTTGACCTTGAGCGAGGGTCGGGTAAATGACCTTGAAGGGCCGTATTCGGCCCCCGGGCCATAGTTTGAGGATCCCTGACATAAAACCAATTGGTTGCAGGTTTATTTTTAATTGGTTTATTTTTTCTGCCTTCTCTTTTTAGTTCATGTTTCATCTCTATACTGCCCTAGTATCCGTGAACTGGAGCCGATGGAAGAATATATTGTGGATTTGCACCAGTTTATGCCAGTGGGTGGCATATACCACTTTGACGCACTGAAACTCCCTCCTCAAGCCAAACATGTTAAAGGGTGGACAATGGTGGAAGTAAATTTTATCTTAATACAAAGTTTAATGTGTGTGTATATTGGGGGTGGGGGGGGGGGTAGCTGGTATCCTGTTACTGGCTTATATTGGCATAGTTGTGGCAGGAGAACTTGGCAGGAGGCCATTTGTACCACAGTTGTGAAGAAAGCAAGGCACTGAAGGAATTGTTTTCCTGAAGCCTCAAGATTTTGTTTACCTTTTTTTTCTCACTGCTGTGCCATCCTGCAATATAATAATTATAATTATAATTAATCTTTATTATATCCTTTTTTTTCTTCCTCATGGGACCCAAAGCAGCTTACAACATATTAAATATAATTTATTTATTTATTTATTTATTTCGCATATTTCTACCCCGCCCTTCTCAACCCCCGAGGGGGGACTCAGGGCGACTTACAAAAGGCACAATTCGATGCCTACACAATAATGCAGATAAACATATATAAACAGCAATTAAAACAATTATAACAATTAAAAACAATCAATTATAACTCACAATCAATAAAATCAATCTCATGCTCAACGTTCGCCAGCTCAGAGTCCATAAATTCATTCCACCTTGTCCATTCCTATCAGTCGTCGTTGTCCTTTATTTATCCGCCAGATTACCCAAATGCCTGGTCCCAAATCCACGTTTTTAATTTCCTTCTAAAGGAAAGAAGGGATGTCGATGATCTAATTTCCCCAGGGAGTGAATTCCACAGGTGAGGGGCCACCACCGAGAATGCCCTGCTCCTCGTCCCCGCCAGTCTCACTTGTGATAGAGGTGGGACCGAGAGCAGGCCTCCCCAGAAGATCTTAAACTCTGAGGCGGGACGTAGAGGGAGATGCGTTTGGACAGATACGCTGGGCCGGAACCGTATAGGGTTTTGTAGGTCAATATAATAAAATATAATAGGAACCAGTTCACACAACAGCATTACATCCATAGTATATTGCTCATAAAATGTTCCCTTCTAAGTTGGAAAGGGAAGGAAAAGCAAGATCAAATGTTGCTTTATTGGCAAATACAAAATAATAATAATAATAATAATAATAATAATAATAATAATAATAATAATGAGGATGATAATATAATAACTGGCTTGTGGCTTTACTGTGTCAGATTAAACATTTGTATTACCCGATTCCATATGAAGATTGAAGGAATCCAGGACTTCATATTGTTAAGGCTATGAGAATCAACATTTTCAAACCAGAAGGCATGACATTCAGTACTACTATTCAGGGAGCGCTCAGCCCCTCTTTTGGGTAATTTGGGTTACATTTTCAGACACTCACATTTTACCTTGAGGAATCAATAGCTAAACCAGAGTCATTTATTTATCATGAAAGCAATGTTATTTATTATGAAAGCAATGTTACATTTTCCTCTTCCCAAAAAAGGTGCTGGATACAGGGTTAGAGTTCTGCCCCTACACTGCTGTATGTGAAGAAAATGAAGATCCTTCTAATTTGACCGTAGGAATCACGGTCCGGTTGCTTGACAGTGTGATCTTCTTTGAAGAGCCGCTGATTGCAAGGTGGAATCCTGCAGGTATGATCAAGTTGCAAGCAGCTCTTGCAGAGAGCTGCTTGCAACTTAATGTCTGTTTATTTTGCAAGGTTAATGCCATGAGTCTTGTGGTAGAGCAGAATTGGTGATGGAAGAGGTATTAGCCTTTCTCAATCAGTTTTCCCAGGTATTCCTTTCTCCTTTTTCCTCTAACCATATTGGCAGCCATGAATAAGAGCAGCAAGTGGATATAAAGGAGAACTTTTGGGGAGAAGCCATAAATGGTTATGTAAACCTGTGTTGCAAAATTCTCCCATATGTACATTCATCATAGCATTATGCATTGGTGGCTGATGGCTGCCACGTCATTTCCACTATCAGTGCTAGTCTTTACTGGGTTTACAATAGCTCTTCATGGTGCTAAATCTATTTTGGTGATGGGATTCAGCACCTTGGATAGCTCTTTGAAAACTCTCACAAACCCAAAGTGTTGGATGCTGGTAACGAAGTCAGCAGCCCTGCTCTGTATTGCTATTAATCAGGAAGCATATATTTTACAAAATAGTAGTAGTAGTATTCTGTATTCCTAATAGAAGTGAAAATGTGTATGTGTGTATGTTGCTGGGGTGCCCACTTCCACAGACAGGTTCCCACTTCCACAAACAGTGCTGAGGCGCCACCACATGCCCTCCCTCCAATGACATTTCAGATTATAGCGAGTGCCATGAACATGTAACCCTGCCAATGTCCTCCCCAAACACCATACTGCCCACCACCCAAAGAATGCTTTCATTCTGGGAAAATTGCATCCTAGATTTTATGTGTTTCCTCCACCACAGATATCCCAGTAAGGAATACAAGACTAAATCTCCATTGGTGTGGAATTTGCATGATCCATTGGTGTGGAATTTGCATGATCCCGCCCACTGTCTCTACCTTAACCCTTTCTTACTCTTTTCAACTCTGTCTGCACAACAAACAGAGCAGAACTAATCAGCAACTAAACATACTGGAGGAGCTTGGGGGATTGACTCCACATGATGGAAGTTGTAGTTCACCCTGCATCAAGTCAGAGCACTGTGACACTGTGACAATGGACCTGGACCACATTTGGCAAACAGAACCCCCATGACTTAAGAAAAATGCTGGAGATGTTAGGGGGGAATTAAGCTTGATTTATAGCCATTGCAGATACTGGTAGTTATAGTTCACCTGCAATCAAAGAGCACTCTGGACCTCACCAACAATGGCCATGGACCTAGCTTGGCGCACAGAAATGGAGATGAGCACCAACCCTCAGAGTCAGGCACGACTGGACTTAATGTGAAGGGAAAACCTTTACATTTACCTTAGGCTGAAAAAGTGTGACTTGTCCAAGGTCACTTGAGGAGTTCCATGGCCAAATGGGAATTGAAACCTTAGTCTCACACAGTTCCTGTCCAGTGCTTACAACCACTGTACTATACTGGCTCTTAAGTCACAGTTCTGCAACTCCTTCTAATGATCTTTCAATCTCAAATCATACTCTTTCCCTTATGTTCCCTCCTTGGGAAAGCAAAGTCCTGGCGAACCGATGACATTGGAGAGGTGGTCTACAACATGCAAGAGAAGGAGATCGCTTTCAAAATGAATGGCTTCTTCACCATAACCTTACTCCAGGACGCTCACCTCAACATGCCCTACCAATCCTGGGAGCTTCGGCCCAGTGGCCTGGATGAAGCTGCTTTCTGCGTCCTCACCACCTTTGCTGAGGTCCAGATTGACATCAAGGTAATGACGGTACATCCTGCAAACCAGGGCCTTATGTGTGTTTTCACTTGGAAGTAAGTCCCCTTCATTGTAATGGCTTTAGCAGTTGCAGGTAGGATGCTTTGGAAAGGCATGACACTTTAGAGAACATAACCTCTTGGAAAAACAGAATCTCCATAGCCTTTTGGAGAAAAACGGCATTCAAAAACATTTGAAAAACATAACCTTTAGTAAAAGTATGATCTTCCAGAGAAGAGCGAAAACACTCATTTGAGTAAAATCTTCTCTTTAGTGGTGTATATCCACATGTCCCTATGCAAGGTAATTCGGTTTTCAGCTGTTAAGACGGATAACCTGGTTGTCTCTGAAGAGATTATGCCAATGCACAAAAACGGAAGAGTTTCAGAAGTGTTTCTTTCAGTGCCCCAAAACATCTACTCTCCCATAAAATATCATGTTTCTATATCATGCTCCCAAGAGACAAAAATAAAGTAGACTTTGTTAAAAGTAACATATTTGGTTGACTCACAACCTTCATGTATTCAGCATAAGGGTACATAACTTGTCAATCCAGTTACAGATAGGATTTGCAGTGGTTTCTGTGTGCAGATTGTGAAGCTTGGTGTCTCTTGCCTGGGCATTTTGTGAGTGGGTGGTTTGTGTTAATAATTATGAACTGAGAATAATGACTTTACTAGAAAAACACTTCATTCAGACGGTTCCTATAAAGGGCTTCAATGGATACTATTATGAGGGCTGTGTCAGCAGAATGGTTTTGACCAGTCTCTCTTGTTCTATAATTACTGGGTAACACTGAGATGTAGTTTTTTTTTCCTGTAGACTGATTTTCTCACTGATTCTATTTAGCTCTATAATATAAAGTGTCACCAAAACACAAAACGCCCACATGCCCATTAAAAAGGCCAGCAGTGCCTCAGCCCTGAGAAATTCATTGTCAACAAGTGATGCTGAGTGTGAATATGTATGTTAGAAAAAGCCAAGAAATAAAGCCTCCTAGCTACCAGAAATTTAGCCAAACCACTGCCATTGGTTCAGTGCATGTCCTTTTGTTATGCTTGGAGGCAGGCCAACCAGTGTATGCTTGCTAGCATCACCACAAATGAAGACACTGATCTCCTCGCCAATATCAGAGGGAAATGGATGACTCCACTGTCCCTCATCTTGGCTGTGAAGCGGGCTGGAATGAATATCTTCCCGGCTGATTATTCCCCCAAATATGTCAGTGTGAATAACAAGGTAAGAGATTCAGTTGGCTTTACAAAAATGTGGTAAACTAGGGTTTTTTTAGTGTCCATTTGTTGTCCCAAACAAGCAAAACATGGAGACACTCTTGCAACTGGCATGATGTTTCTCTGGTGTTTTTGGAGGAAATAATCCTGTGACAGACGGCTTGCCAGGCAATGTGAAAATACAGCACTGTGGTTTATATGTTGTTGTTGTTGTTGTTGTTGTTGATGATGATGATGATGATTTTATTATCTGCTTCCCTTTGCAGTCAAGGTGGTGTAGGTTTTTTTCCTCCCCTGGAGATTGATTTTCTCATTTATTGTATTCAGCTCTATAATATAAAGTGTCACTAAAACACTTTAGTGCAGTGGTTCTCAACCTGTGGGTCCCTAGATATTTTGGTCTTCAACTCCCAAAAATCTTGGGAGTTGTAGGGTAAAACATCTGGGGACCCACAGGTTGAGAACCACTGCTTTAGTGTTTTTTTAGCTGTCATGCTTGCCACTCAATGGGATTTTGGCCTGCATAAAGAGAAGCATAACGTCTAGATAAGTGGTTCTCAAGATATGGGTCCCCAGATGTTTTGGCCTTCAACTCCCAGAAATCCTAACAGCTGGTAAATTGGCTTGGATTTTTGGGAGTTGTAGATCAAAACACCTGAGGACCTACAGGTTGAGAACCACTACTCTAGATCCAGGGAAGTCATGCTACCCTTCTATTCTGCCTTGGTCAGAACCACACCTGGAATTATACTGTGGACACATTCTGGGCACCACAATTGAAGGGAGATGTTGACAAGCTGGAATGTGTCCAACCTTATGAGGAGCGGCTTAAGGAGCTGGGAATGTTTAGGCTGCAGAAAAGAAGGCTAAGAGGACATGATTGCCATTTATCAATATATGAGGGGAAGTCAAAGGAAGGAAGGAAGGAAGGAAGGAAGGAAGGAAGGAAGGAAGGAAGGAAGGAAGGAAGGAAGGAAGGAAGGAAGGAAGGAAGGAAGAGGCTATACTGGAGATTAGGATGAGGAACAATGGCTTCAAATTACAGGAAAGGAGATTCCACCTGAACATTAGGAATAACTTCCTGATTGTGAGAGCAGTACAGCAGTGGAACTCTCTGCCCTGGAGCATGGAGGAAGCTCCTTCTTGGAGGCTTTTAAGCAGAGGCTGGATGGCCATCTGTCGAGGGTGCTTTGAATCAAATTTTCCTGCTTCTTGGCAGGGGGTTGGACAGGGCAGCCCACGAGGTCTCTTCCAACTCTATGATTCTATGATTCTACAACTTAGTAAACACAAGGTAGAACTGTTCCTTCTGCAAACAAGAAAAATTGAGCAGCATGCACCTGTACACTGAGGTCTTAGACACCCGTCAGCCAGCATTCATTAATGATAGCTCCCAGAATTCCTGGCTATTGGACAAGCTGGCTAGGGCTTCTGGGATTTGTAGTCCCAAACATCTGGAAGGCCACAAGTTTCACAGGATTGTCCTGGACAATGCAATTATAAGGGAGAGAGCCATTGTGGTGGTGGCATCCCATCTGTGGAAAGCTCTTCCCAGAGGTTCAATTAAAACATACACAATGGTGCTTCCAGCTCCAAGTGAAGACATTTCACGGACATTGTATGCTTTACTCCAACTGCTGGCTTGATTTTAGGTTTTATTATATGCTGCTAGTGGCTATCGTTTGGTGTGACCCAAGGTGTTTTGTTGTAATGTGTTATTTTGTTTGTTTTCCCACTTATTTGATTGTTTAGAATGTAATATAGGAATAATCCAGGATTATGTGCACATGTGATTTTGGATGTAGCCTAAGAAGCAGTTCACTCCCTCCTTGTGCAATGATCAATACACTTCTTCCTAGTGGCCTGGGGTGCAGATGTGCAGATGAACATGCAACATTGCAATGGAAGAATAGAGATGTATGTGTGAAGCAGATATACCATCTATTGTGATCTAGAATTGGGATAGAATTCTGTCTCCTCCTCCTCTTGAACTTTGGAATCAGGGATAAGGGTGAATCTTGCAGGCCAGCTTGTCTTATACTGGGCTGATCAGCACCAGCAACCATTGTCATTGCTTTCTGATATCTTCTGCAAAAATAATCTCTTGGGTGTAGAGAAATACTCATTATTAATTTCATTTCTCTATCGTCATTTGCTTACATAGTCACTAACAGCAGAAGTCACGACTTATCAGCAAATGGCTCTTGTTGCATCCTCTTTTGCCTTCAGCTGGAGCAAGTGGAATTTGGAGAGTGGAGAGGACAATGTGGTCTTTAAGGTGAGCCTTGCTATTGCCCTGCTGTATGTGTGTTTTGTGTATATGAGAGAAGGGGCACGCATTCACACAATGTAGCTCTGTGCTTGAATCTGCATCCACAGCTGCACGGAAGTGCTGCAAAACATAATGGAGCAAGTATGCTTATGTAAAAAAATATTCCAGAGTAAATAAAATGCGAAAGTAAATAAAATATAAAAATCTATATAAAAGTCAAAGTTTGTATGTAAGTATGTTTGGCTATTAATCTGTTTGTAACACAATGGCTGTTGCTAGGTGAAGTGGCCCTCTGTGATGTCACTGGTTTGGGTGTTGCTGGGTGAAGGAAAGTGAAAATGTTTCTTTGGGATCAAGTCTTCAGAGAATAATTTATAGTGCAATGATAGATTCAGATTATGTGCAATGACTAATGGAATGGCCTTGGATTACTATTGTGGATGTCACGGTTTTTAACATTGAATGTAATGTTATTTAAATGTTTTAATTTGCATTAATTTTAATTCTTAATTGAAATGTTTATTTTAATTGTATGTGTTTTAAGGCATTGAATGGTTGTTTATATGTAAAGCTGCCTTGAGTCCTCTTCAGTGTTGAGAAAGGCGGGATATGAATAGGGTAAATAAACAAATAAGGATTGTTGCTAGGTGAAGTAGCCCTCTGTGATGTTACTGGGAAAGAAATGTGACAGGTGTATGAGGAAAGAAAGAGTCATAAAGAGTGATGCCCTATTTAGCTATGTTGCCCTGGAAACATTGTGAGGTAAGCCTTCTTAGAGTTGGGGAAGGGAGAAAGTAGGTGGGTAGCCATCCTAACAACATCTTCTACCTCATCACACTAGAGAATGAATCCACTTTAAATCCGGTTTTTGCCTCCTGCAGAATTCTGTGGTTTGTAGTTTAGGACGGAGCCTTTAGCAGCCTCACTAAACTACAAACCCCAGAATTCTTCAGGAGGCAGCAATGGGATTTAAAGTGAATTCATTCTCTAGAGTGATGAAGTAGCTGGGCAATGCTGGATATATATGCTAGTTATTATATAGTATTTATCCACAATCTGGAATAAAATGGAATGCAAAACTCTGAGGTCATTGACATAGGGCAACTTAAGAGTAGTGGTATGGTTGGAGAGGTGGAGCTTTTACCAGTATTGAGGTTCCTCACAATACTCCTGATTCTGGGAGCCAATTCCATTCAACATTGGGTCTAGAATAGAAAGGACAAGTTCTACCTATCCATATTTCAAGGAACAAAACTATGCTTCAGGATCTAGCAATGTGCAGGTTCTAACAAGATGGTATTGGCTCTCCCTCATAGGCCTGTGAACACCTGGCCCAAGAACCAATCAAGGAAGATGACTGGGCCCTTTATATGTTCAGTGGGCAAAGAGCTCAGAGGCTGGAGATTACAGAGGAGAGTGAGGCCTTCTCCAATAATATTGCCGAAGACACAGAATTCCACTCCACTCTTTACCATTTGATCAAAGATGCCAGCAGCGTGGAAGGGATGGAGAGAGTCAGCAAAACCCACTACCTTTTCATAGACACCGTGTACCAGCTTCTGCTTGCTACCAGGGTGCTAACATACTCTTAAGACACCATGTTGCTACTTAAGAACTTTATTGAGTTGAGGACCCTCCCGTCAATAAAACAAGACATACAAATCTGCGACAGGATCACATTTCAGACATATTTTTTTAAAAAATAAATACCTTTCACTTAAAGCCATTTATGACAACCCTCTCCTGAGGATTTCTTCACACATATTTTCCAACCTCTTCAAGTAGGATCAGGGAAAGAAAAAAAGAGATCAAAAAAGACATACACTCACTGCACTGGAAAACAATGAACTCCATCTCATTTTGAACTCCATTGCCAGATACTATCTAGTCAAGGCAAAGTCTTCAGAACTCTTAAGAGGATGCGCATCAAAGCTGCATCCATCTAATGTTTAAAAAATCACGTTGAAGCTGGAAGTCTTGAACTATGCTTCTTTTTGCACCAGGCCATTCAAGAATCCAGGCCAAACTGGGTCCTCAGATAGGTGGGGATCAGAGAGACCCATCTGAAACTCCACCACTCCCTTATACAGGTGGTGGACCTTGATGCTGGAGTCCAGTATATGGCCATAACAGCTGCTGCACCGAAGTCCAAGCATCCCCTATCTCGACAGGAGCACCTTGCACTGGCCTTTGGAATGGAAAGCCCATGATGAAGAATGAAACCATGGCAATGAACACAGCCGCGATGACGGAAACACAGAGCGCCTTGCTAGCCCGGCTGAAGGAAGTCCTCAGAGACGAGGCACAAGAAAGAAACCTGGCACACCTATTGGAAATAAAAGGCAGGAAAGAAATGGACTTATGTTGCCAACAGTTAAAAAATTGACATGATGTTCAACTGATACAGCTCCTTTTTTTGTACTTACAGGACTTAGAAAGCTTCGGCAGAATTATGGGGGGAAAACATGCAGTGAGAACCTGACAGATGTTTTGCCTCCATTTCTAAAATCTTGGTTACCCCAAACCTCTAATCCACCCACCAATTATTTCCCCATGTAGGCATCTAAGTTAGGACAAGACCCAGATTGTGTCCACACTGGACACTTCTAGTGATGCCACTAGAAGTACCATCACTTGCACCTACGAAATTCCTGGGATTTGCCATTTTGGGAGGGACTTCAAACTCGCTATTAAAGCTTGCTAGGACTGAAGTTGAGAGGGAGGGAAAAGAACTCTAGCATAGAAGTCAAAGCAGCTCCACCAAGACCAAAGAGTTCATAGGATGCAGCTTTCATACTTCAACTTTTATTGTGCAGCATGGATACACACTCAGAAATGACAAAAGAAATAAAATCAAAACTAGTGACCAGACATCCAGTTCCTGTTGTGATTTGTGGTTTTCATTAGTTTTAGGGACAAAGACTCCAGCCCTGTTACCTTCTAAAGAGCAACTCTTTGTGTCTATCAGGAACAGAAAAGGGTGTTTTTAAACTGGTTGGGATTTATGGTAGTTGAAATCCAAAGCACCTGGAGGAACAAAGGTGGGAAACACTGCTTAGGGGCTCACTTTATCTCCCCTTTCCTAGGCTTTGGAGCAAATGGGGCAAAGGGAAAAGAGACCAAGAAAAAAGGATCATATTTTGTCGAGCATTGAAGGCTCATAAGTTAATGCAGGGGGTACCATGGAGGGTACACAAAACTAAGAACTTTTGTGTACCCTCCATGGTACTCCCTGGAGTTTTTTTTTACATATGTCCCAATCGCATAAGTTAAGATAATATTTACTTGAGTCCTTAATGCCAATTTATAAAAATGAAGCTCCGAAAGGGAACACTTAGCTCATGCTCTTCTCAGCCTTAGTTGGTTCCTTTAAAGGACCCTTGGCTATCACCTTTCTACAAAATTGTGACTCATTGACTTCTCTCATTCCAACAGATCTTTGCCATTGCTGACAAGACTACTTAAGCTCGATTTGTTGCAGACAGATCACGGCCTCTGATTCACTTTAGTTGGGGTACATTCACACTAAACTGTTATAGTAGTATAATTCCATTTTAACTGCCATTGGGTTTGCCGTCCAGCGAAGCCCTAAAACTCCCCCCTCTTTAAACTGCAAATCCAAGGATTTCATAGCAGTTACATTGGTGTCATAGCACTCAACTACATAGTGTCAAAAAACCTTCAGATCCAAGAATGAAAGTCTACACTGTTTCATTTCACCACTTACAGTGATTGTAGCCTCCATTTGGGTGGCTTGTTTTCCTTCTCACTCATTTTCCGTGACTTGTTTCCTTGTAGTTCTGGAACTTCTGATTCCAAAGAGGTGTTTCTGCAAAAATTGGGTTTGAATTAATGGCAATTTCTCTATACACCAATGTTTTGCTAAGAAATTTGCTCGGTGTACTACAACACACCTGCCCTTTCCATGTGTTCATATGATTTGGAACAGCCTTTTGTGCTTACGTATTTTAGTTTCAGCAAACTTGCTGACTAAAGTTTTTAACTCTGATTAGCACTTCTGTAATTCTTCAACATAAATATTTCATTTCAATATACTGTTTTCCATTCCTAAGTTTTATTTCATTTTTCGGCCAACTAGCTTTGGTTAGAAGCATACAATTGAATTACCATTAAAATAACAAAAACTGACTACAACTAACAGCAAGGGAATATTATTAAAAGCTATTATTTTATTGCATTGTCGAAGGCTTTCATGGCCGGAATCACTGGATTGTTGTAGGTTTTTTCGGGCTATATGGCCATGTTCTAGAAGCATTTTCTCCTGATGTTTCACCTGCATCTATGGCAAGCATCCTCAGAGGTAGTATCAAGGAATAAAATATTACCAAATAAGATACCAAATAAGACAAAACTTTGATCTGCTCTTGTATTCATAGCCACTTGGGGTTGATAAGAGTAATAGAACAATAGAATTATGTTAAAATATTATTTTATTCCTTGTTACTTAGTGTGAGCCACGATTGCCTTTAACAGGTTTAAAGTATCTTGGCTTAACACGAGGCTGAGATAATGCAGCAGGGCTGCAATTGAATTTTCATCCCATGTCAATCATATGGTAACATACTTCAGTTGTTCTATTACTCTTATCAACCTCAAGTGGCTATGAATATAAGAGCAGATCAAAGTTCTGTCTCATTTGGTATTTTGTTTCCCATAATGGTCAAACAGAGCCCTGTGGAAAGGTCACAGTCAGAATATCCTCCAAGAACAATGGCCATCTACTTGTTGTTTACCAGCAACCATTATTCAAAGGCTTGGTGGTAGAAAGAGAGATCATCTTTATATGGAACAACAAGCCACTGTATGGTGTGTTATCAACTCTGCTAACAAACCATGCTTTGTTACCTAGCTACAAACCGTGGACTATTGCAATGTGCTTTACATGGAGCTACCCTTGAAGATGGCCCGGAAGCTCCAACTGGTCCAACGGGCGGCAACCAGGCTCCTTACGGGAGCAAACTATAGGGAGCATACAACGCCCCTTTTAAAACAGCAAATTCAAGGTGCAGGTTATGACCTATAAAGCCCTAAATGGTTCGGGCTCCGCCTATCTTCGTTAACGCATCTCCCTCTATGAACCGGCGTGAACTTTAAGATCTTCCGGGGAAGCCCTCCTTTCGCTCCCACCACCGTCACAAGTACAATTGGTGGGGACAAGAGAGAGGGCCTTCTCGGTGGTGGCCCCTCACCTCTGGAACACCTTCCTGGAGAAATAAGACAGGCCCCATCCCTCTCCTCCTTTCGTAAGAGCCTGAAGACCTGGTGGTTTAAACAAACCTTTGAGAACGACTAGTTCTAGCTCTGCCCCAGATGCTGTTCAAATTGACCATATCTTTTTCTATCAATAACCCAGGTTACTTTCTTCTATTAGGCCCTGGAAATGTACAGCCATAGACTCTACCTAATTTCCCAGGCCCTCTAAAACCGCATTAGCCCAACCTGGCCTTTTAAACTGCCTTGAACAGGCAGGATTATTTTAAATATATGTGCTATTGTGGTTTTTAATGCTTATGTTGTTTTGTTAATTTTATGTTTATGCCGTTTTCTTTGTATGTATTGATTATGTTACTTGGAAACCGCTCTGAGTCCCCTTGGGGAGATAGAGCGGTATATAAATAAAGTTTTGTTGTTGTTGTTGTTGTTGTTGTTGTTGTTGTTGTTGTTGTTGTTGTGCTAGCTGCACTCAAAATCATGATATGCCCCTCACTGATTTCTCTAGTTGTCCATCCTGAAAAGGATCTAATAGAAATGGCCAAAAAGAGAGATAAAGAAACCAGCGATACAAGCTATAGTTTATAATCAGTTCTCTGCCTTGCAGTTTGTGGCTTAAGCAACAAATCATGATTAGCACAAACCATACTTTTGGTGATCAAAAGCAGCTAGAGGGTTTCATTGAAAATGTGGATTCTTTAGCAGGAATATCCCTTTGGAACGATACTTGAGTATTATAATGTATAAGCTGGCGCTGTCTTGTGAAGAGATAAACCTTGTTGGGAGAGAGAGACTTACTCTGGTTGAAGTTGTTCTTCCTCTGATTCTGTCCAGGAATGCGAACTCAGGAAGCGCTGTAGTGAAGGGCGCTTCTCGCCTTGTTTTGCTCCTACTAAGCCCCTGTTGAGAGAAATTTATTTGCTGTACTGTTGCAGAGAAAACTACCCCCTCACATATTTTTGGAACTGGGGTGGAGAGATGGAAAAAAAGAAACAAGTGGGTGCTTCTTAGTACAGTAGAGTCTCGCTTATCCAACATAAAAGGGCCAGCAGAACGTTGGACAAGCCAAAACATTGGATAATAAGGAGGGATTAAGGAAAAGCCTTTTAAACATCAATTAAGCACCATAACATTATGTTTTACAACAAATTGACAGAAAAAGCAGTTCAATACATGGTAACGTATTGAACAGCTTATCTATCTGAACACATTTCTCCCTATTTATTTATTTATTTATTTATTTATTTATTTACTTCACTTGTATACCGCTCTTCTCAGCCATCAGGTGACTCAGAGCGGTTAACAACCAGTATCAACAATACAGTACAAAATCATTAATAATTTAAAACAGTAATATCCATTAATTAACATCAGAACATCAATACAACAACACAGGAAAACAACAATCCATCACGTCTCATCAATAGAATCAGCATCCGATCTCGTTGTCCATTAATCCATATTCCAATAATCAATAAATTGTACTGCTTAGTTGAAAGCCTGTTCAAAGAGCCAGATCTTCACACTCTTCCTGAATGCCAATAAGGAGGGGGCCGATCTAATGTCTGTAGGAAGGGCGTTCCACAGCCAGGGGGCCACTACTGAGAAGGCCCTGTCTCTCGTCCCTGCCAGACGTGCTTGTGAAGCCAGCAGGACTGAGAGCAGGGCCTCCCCAGACAATCTCAACATCCTAACTGGTTCATAGGAGGAGATGCGTTTGGACAGATAGGACGGGCCAGAACCGTTTAGGGCTTTAAAGGCTAAAGCCAGCACTTTGAACCTTCCAGGAAATTGAAATCATCTGAGGAGGCCCTGCTCTCGATACCGCCTGTTTCACAGGCACATCTGGTAGGGACGAGAGACAGGGCCTTTTCAGTGGTGGCCCCTCAGCTGTGGAACTCCCTGCCTAGGGATATTAGATCAGCCCCCTCCTTCCTTACCTTTCAAAAAAGAGTGAAAACCTGGCTCTTTGAGCAAGCGTTTGAAACTTCAGCATGACGAGATAAATTCAAATTGGCATATGAACTAGAAATGGCTAAGACGATGGGACAGTTGAGGATTTCAGCAAGAAGACATAGTTTTTACAATTTTTTTATTATTGCTTTTACGGTTTTAAAATGTATTGTAATGTGATTTTTTTTTTGCTTTTAACCGATGTATGTATTTTTATATGACATCTAATTGTGCCAATTTGTACGCCGCTCTGAGTCGCCTTTGGGCTGATATGGACGGGATAAAAGTGTTACAAATAAATAAATAATGCTATGTGATAATTACTGTATTTATGGATTTAGCACCAACACATCACAATATATTGAAACAGCTGTGGATCAGGGCAGGAGGCAGACTGTGTTGGATAATACAGAATGTTGGATGAGCAAAGGTTGGATCAGCGAGACTCTACTGCATAAAAGATTAGGCCCATTAGGTAGGGCCAATTTAAATCTTTTAGGAGAGCTAATTACTGATCTGCTCCATAGCATACATCTTAGCACTAAGAACCAAGGCGATCCAGTGATTGAGGCTTTGTGTGCAGATACCCCTCAGCCATAACACCAGTGACCTCAGCCAACTATTCATTCCTTCCTTGCTTGTGTATAGACAATCCTATTGGTCTTACCAACTTGAGCGTCTGTTGAACTTGTCATTCCTCTCGCTTCCATCGGCTTCATTTAGTTGACCCTTGGGAGAAGTGAGGGATAGAAGAGATCAGTGTGGATTTACCCAATATATTTAGGGCAATAAACTCTCAGTACTGGAAAGTGTCTACCTACCAGTGGCAAAAGAGTGATAGCCTTCCCAGTATTCCCAGGCAAGGTTGCAATGCTAACTCTGCGTAGGGATGATGGCTACACAAAATAAGAGATACTTACTTGGTGGGTTATGCATTTGATTACAGCTCATGAGTCCAGAAGTCTACAGTAAAAGTGTTGCATAGAGTCCAACTTCTAAAAAACTTTGCAAGAGGACCTTACATAACTCATCAGATGTACATAATTGCAGGTTTGTATGAAACAGGTAAATGCTCTCTGTGGAGCAGGAGGTACCAACAGAAACCCACTTCAGTTTCAAAGTAGACATCAGGTGAATCATGTACCCAGTCTCCTCTCTACAGCTAATACAGGCTGAGCATTCATTATCCAAAATGCCTGGGACCAGAAGTATTTGGGATTTCTGAATCTGAAATATCTGTATTTGTATATATGTACACAATGAGGTATCTTGGAGATAGGACTCAAATCTGAATATGAAATGCAGTTAGGTTTCTAATGCACAGTGTATTAGCAATTGACATTTCTCCAAGGTGAACAAGTAGAGTAGTACAGTCTGAGTACTTGTTCTTATCCAAAATGCTTGGGACCAGAAGTGTTTCATATTTCAGACTGGATATATATCGTGAGATATCTTGGAGATGGGACCCGATTCTAAACACAAAATTCAATCATATTCCATGTAAGGAGCCCCAGTGGTGCAATGGGTTAAACCCTTGTGCCAGCAGGACTGCTGATTGAAAGGTCGATGGTTCGAATCCGGGGAGTGGGGTGAGCTCCTGCCGTCAGCTCCAGCTTTTCATACATGGACATGAGAGACGCCCCTCACAGGATAATAAAACATCCAAGCATCCCCTGGGCAACGTCCTTGCAGACAGCCAATTCTCTCACACCAGAAGTGATTTAGTTTCTCAAGTCATTCCTGATATATATATTCCATGTACATCCTATACACAAAGCCTGAAGGTAATTTTATGCAATATTTTATAGTTTTGTGCATGAAACCAAGCTTGTGTACACTGATGCATCAGAAAACAAAAGTGTTATGTCTCAACTACTTGTGGTCAGTTTTAGATTTTGGGGTATTTCTGATTTCAGAATTCGAGATAAAGGATGCTCAAACTGTAGCGCATAGCCCCATTACATCATCATCATCATCATATACACATTCTCTGTACCTCCACCATAAGTGCCAATGACATGTGTCAAACGTTGGGAGACTCAGAGCATTGTGATGGTTATTTGACACAGGTAAGTAAAATTAGACATTAAAACCATAAACTTCTGACCTTCAGATATCAATGAGATGGGCAACCATGAATAGACAATTATGGGTGGTCAACTGGCCACACACACAACTTTCCGGCACATCTAGCCCCCATGGAGTATACAGTCCCATTTTTCTAAAATGACCAGAATGCTTTACCCCTTCTACAAAGTAGACTGAAATGTATCCACAGAAGGACCTACAGTTGTCCTTTTCAGCAATAAAAACAGGTTGCTGATTTGATTTTCTATGGATATGAATCAGAATTTTTGGGGAGGGGATCATTTCTGGGAGACAACAACTCATGGAATCACCTGGAATTAAGCAATTTCCCACATTCTAGTACAGGAATCAGAAAACTTTGGCCATCCAGGTGTCTTGGACTTCAACTCCCACAATTCCTCACAGCCTCAGGCCCCTTCTCCCCCCCCCCTCAGCTTAAGCGGCTGAGGGGGGAAGGAAGGGGCGGAAGGCTGTGAGGAATTGTGGGAGTTGAAGTCCAAAACACCTGGAGGGCTGAAGTTTGCCCATGTCTGCTCTAGTATCAAAATACAAGCAGCATTACAATCAATGAAAAGTCCACCCAACTTGAGACTACTCCCCTGCATATACTGTAAAATCAGCAGCATATCTGCACAAATGAATGCCAGTTCAAAAAGCCTCTCTTTCCACCCAATTTCATAAAAAGACGACTCAATAAGTATGTCGAGATCCTTCCCAGTTGCGCAGCCAGTCATTTTTGAAGGGTTCCAATACATTTTCCCTTAAAGTCTGCGATAGACATCTCCAAATCTTGCACTTTAAAAGCCAAATTGTCCTGAGATTTGCAATTAAATGCATGAAATCTCAATAGTTTTGCCCAGGAGGTCTTTGAATGAGAAACTGGGTGTCAGATGAGCAAGCAGGACAGAGGGAAAAGGATAAGCAAAGCACAGAGCAACTTCACGTCTTGATTGTCAGCTTCTGCATAAGCATTGACTTGAGCTTCACGGACTGCTCTTTGCAGAAAGGTTGGATATAATGTCTGCACCTTCTCTCCCCAGCAAAATCTTTATGAACTGTCTTTATCTAGATTGCAACCATCATTCATACCACTCAACTTTCTTTCAGACCATGGGAATTAATGGTAAAAAGATGACTTCTCGGCAGACCAAAATCCTGCATACTTCAGCCTACTTTTTGGTTCTTGAATCCAGTATTCTATTCTATATATAAACAATGAGAAAACTGTTTTGTACCTCCACCAAAACAATCCAGTCATGTTGGATTTCACAGCTGTAAAAACAGAAACTGGTTTTACAACGGAATCATTCAATGGCAATTACTAGCATCACCAGCAACATTGTATTCCCATCCAGGGGATAATTTTTAAAGAAAAAGTATAATGAGCTATGTATGAGGGGCGTTCCTTAAAGATTTCCCCTGAACCACTTCTATTTATCATAGGATGCTGAAACTGCACATGTGTAATGATATAAGTCTCTATAGGTTATGTGCCAATTTACAACTCAGAACTGATAACGGTCTTGTTTCTACAGGTGCTGAAGTGGTGTGAGGTTTGATAATAAACCCAGTGGAATAAAGAGCAGTCCTCAAGTTCCTTTCCTTGAAAGGCCATACACCAAAGGAGACGTTCAATGAAATGAAAGAGGTTTATGGTGATGATTCCCCATCATATGATGGAGTCAAGAACTTGCATTGTCAATTCAAATGTGGTCGGACTTTGGAATTGGAAACAGCTCCAATTCCAGGGCAACCTCACTCTGCTATTGATGAACACACCATACAGCAAGTGGAGGTCACCATTTTGAAAATCGTGGCAAAACCATTCGCCACCTAGCCCAAAATGTTAAGATTAGTTTGTGGTCTGTGGAAAAAAAAATCATCCAAGACTATCTGCATAAGGTATACACTCACTAGGTCCTCCGGCTGCTCACACCTTTCCAGAAGCAGGAATGGGTCAAATGCTCTCAGGCTCTATTGACAATATGCCATGGAAACCTGGAGGATTTTTTCAACAGGCTGATCACACAGGATGAAAGCTGGATCCATCACTATGATCCTGACTAAAGTCCAGTTGATGCAATGGAAGCATCATGACTCACCACCTCCAAAGAAGGCATGTGCCAACTCTTGGCAGGCAAAGTCATGCTCACAGTATTATGGGACCAGCATGGAGTAGTATGGATGGATTTACTCGCAAAGGGTACCATGATCACTGGCGCATACTATGCTTCACTTTTGCGGAAATTGTGGGAGGCCATCAAAACCAAGAGACAATGTGGCATGCTCACCAAAGGTGCCCGCCTTCTGCAAGACAATGTACGAGTTCACAACTCTCATGTTGCCCAAATGGAAGCATGCTCCTGTGGCTTTGCAATTCTACCGCATCCCACTTATTCACCCAACCTCACATCATCAGACTTCCACCTCTTTCCAACAATGAAGTTATTTTTGAAGGGCAACCATTTTTCAGATAATGGGACTCTGGTTTCCGAAGTCGCAGCGTGGCTTTTGAAACAACTTGACAACTTCTACAAGCGAGGTGTTTACAGTTGCTTAAAAAGATGGGAGGAGTGTGTGTCCTTAGGTGGCACCGATGGAGAGAAGGACTAATAACTGTGCCAAGTTTCATTGCTCTCAGTCCACAAAAAGTGGTTCAAGGGAAATCTTTAATGAATGCCCCTAGTAGTTTTATTCTAGTGGTTCTAGTTCTTCAGCTTTTTTGCAGGGGCAAAATCCAGTTTGGATCTTGGAAGTAGTATGAATACTGAATAGAAATCAGTCAGGAGGCTTTCTGTTGTGGGAGCTCTTGCTTTTTGGGCATTACTCTGGAATAGCGCAACAACCGTTTTCTACTTCATTGATCTTAAAACAAGCCAAATACTGAGCACAAGCTTTGTCTATTTCTGCATGCTTCCCAGAAGGGTAATTCACTTTTTATTCTACAGTAGACTCTCTGTTAACTGGTAATCAAGCAACCAAAACTCTCAAGCAACTGGCAACAAGTGAAAAAACAATATTCTAAATAAAAATCAAAATACATGTGAAATACAGTAAAATTGTTACATTAATTTTGCTTTAATTTGCCTTCATTTGCTTTTCATTACTATATTTCAATATTAGTATCAGGTCATTAAAGAGTTTATGGCAAGCATGGGCAAACTTCGGCCCTCCGGTGTTTTGGACTTCAGCTCCCCACAATTCCTTCCAACTGTTAGGAATTGTGGGAATTGAAGTCCAAAACACCTGGAGGGCTGAAGTTTGCCCATGCCTGATTTATGGTATGACAGAATGGGATATAGTACTGGTTAGGCCTATTTTTAATAGTATCTCTCAAGCAACAAGAAACTAGATTCATCCAGCATCTTCCAATCTCTGTGGGTGCCAGTTAACTGAGAGTCTACTGTGCCACTTTATATGTATTTTGCTTCAGTCAATTGGAAGAAGTGAGAAGATGAATGGGAAAGAGGACAAAAATAACAGATCCTGATGCTTTGCCACTTTTAATCATTGCAAATTCCGATCTCCTCTTCTTTGGTTATGATATAAAATCAGAGATATTTAAGGACTACGACTCAGAGAACACATGGTATGGATGATGAATTCTGCAAAGAGCACCAGTTTGGCAGTTAGCAAAGAGCAATTAAAGCATGCACAGAGTGCTGCCTACCAGAGACTCCACCACACAGCCCTGTTACCATATCTCAAAAGACACTTTAAGGAAGCCAATGTCTGCTTTCGGTCCTATCTCTTGGCTCTTTAGTATCTGAAATAATTACATGCTCAGCATTGCAGGGAGAGGGACATGCAAAGTATAAGGCTTCATAGGTCACAATCATAGAAAGCACAGCACAGCAGGAAGATAAAATCACATTACGAATTGGCAATGCATGCAGAAAGCAAGAGGCTTAAAACTGCATTTGTACCTTTAGAGAACCAGAGAGCTTTCTAATGGAAGGTTCATCTGTAACAGCAATGGGAGAAAAATGTGAATCTACAGCGCAGCAACAGGAATGGTGATCTGGGACTTCAGGAATTGTTTTTAACCCCTATATAATTAAACAAGATGGGATATGATGGTTTTCACTGTCTGCTCTTATTTTTTCGAAGCCCTTATTTAATTGCAAAGCCCAAGATGGTATCTTTTCCCTTTCTTTTCCATATAGAGGAGCCAACCAGCCTGCAAGCTGCAAATTGCTTCAACAGTGGCAACATGACAGGGAAGAAGCCAGCATGGTGCAGTGGTTTGGTCATTGCTCTACAACTCTAAAGAATAGGGTTCAAATCCCTGCTCACCCATGCACACTAAACAAGTGTCCCAAGTGTCAGAAAACCCCATAATAGGTTCACTTTAAAGTTACCGTAAGTCAGAAATGAGTTGAGCAAACAATAAGAACAACTGGGTTGCTGTGAGTTTTTTGGGCTGTTCAGGGCCTCTGAAGATGCTATCCACACATGCAGGCAAAATGTCAGCAGTGAATGCTGCTGTAACATGGCCATACAGCCCAAAAAACTCACAGTAACCCAGTGACTCCAGCCATGAAAGCCTTCAACAACACACTAATAACAGTAACTATTAGGGGAAGGAAAGACACTTCTCTTCACATCATGGAAGATACTCTCAAACCTTCTTCCCCGGTGCCAGGAGACTGATTACAAGCATCCCCAAAAGTGGCAAAAACCACCCTTTGGATTCTGGGGGGTTGCAGTCCAAAATAAAAATTTGGCTTTTAACCTTGGCTTTGTATTCAAGCACAAATATGGCTTTGTATTCAAGCACAGCCAGACTCCTGCCATTGGGAAAGGAGGGTTGAGAGTCATAGAATCATCGAGTTGGAAGAGACCTCGTGGGCCATCCAGTCCAACCCCATTCTGCCAAGTAGCAGGAAAAGTGCATCCAAAGCACCCCCAACAGATGGCCATCCAGCCACTGTTTAAAAGCTTCCAAAGAAGGAGCCTCCACCACACTCTGGGGCAGAGAGTTCCACTGCTGAACAGCTCTCACAGTTTGGAAGTTCTTTCTAATGTTCTTTCTCATTGGAATCTCCTTTCCTGTAGTTTGAAGCCATTGTTCCATTGCATCCTAGTCTCCAGGGCAGCAGAAAACAAGCTTGCTCCCTCCTCCCCATGACTTCCCCTCACATACTGATACATGCCCTCATCATGTCTCTTCTTAGCCTTCTCTTCTGCAGGCTAAACTTGCCCAGCTCTTTAAGCCGCTCCACAAAGGGCTTGTTCTCCAGACCCTTGATCATTGTAGCTGCCCTCCTCTGAACACATTCCAGCTTGTCAACATCTCCCTTCAACTGAGGTGCCCAGAATTGGACCCAGTCTCCAAACTTTACCTACTTGCATGATCTGTTTTAGCTGTTGTATGACTTCAAGCCATATGGCATGCGCTGGTCCCTGAGGTCACGAAGAGTTGGAAGTGACTGAATAAACAACAACAATGACTTCAAGTAGTTCCAACAAGGCAATCCTAAGCCAAACTAATCACTGAGTTTTCTTAGCAAGTTCAGAAGTGGTTTGCTATTGCTTTCGAGGCGGAAAGTGTGTGACTTGTCTAAGGACACCCAGTGGATTTCCACGTCTGAAAGTGGATTTGAGACTTTTAGTCTCCATCAGACCAACCACTACACCATCCTGTCTCTCTATGATCTCTTCTTAGTGCCCTGAAATATCAAGAGACAGCAAAGTATGGTGTTGACCAAAGCTTAGGATGGGAACATATAGTTCAAATGGGAAATTTGCAACACTACTCTGTCAGAGATTGTCCAAGAAAGATGTATGGCAGCTGATGAGAATTAGGCAACCATCCCAACACTGTGGAAAAGGATCATAGCTGCAAGGGATCAGTCACCATCTTCTCAGCGATTACCTCGATCACCAAGAGAGCCAAAGGATTTCTCATTCTGCATCAGCAACCCCTTCAGCTCCTCCAGCTCTGCATGCTCCCTCGCGTATGTACGTTTCAAGTTTTCCAAATGCTGGATCATGACTTCTACTGCTTTACTGAGTCGGCTTTCCTAAAGAAGAAATGTTAGGGAAGGGCAAACAACTAGCTGGTGGATGAGTCAATTATTATTTCCCCCAAGAGAAGGATCAGTCAAGTGCACCTTTGTATTTCGTGACATCTATTTCTCGCAGATGTTTGGAAGAGTACAGAAAGGATGGTGCCAAAGCCACTCTGAGAGCTATACATTTTGAAACCTGAGATAAAGCATGTTGAGGATTGGGACAAAAAGCTTTAGCCATACAGTCTGAACATCACAGAGGTTGTTTGTCAGTCTCTATGAGTTGAACATTATTTCTTTGATCCATATAGACTGTGGGGATTTGTAAAAAGACACCATGATGTAATGGGTTGACTGGAAAGGTGTGTGTCGGCGGCTGATTGGCTGAGAATGACAGGAGCCAGAGTTCTGATTGGTTGCTGTCTCCAGCTTGCTGCTGAGAGAAACAGTTTTAACTACCATTTTTCAGCTTGGAGAGTGAAGAGAGCGCTGACTGGAAACAACGAGGAAGGAAATGGCTGCCAGCCCTCTGAAAGCATGAAGCATATTTTAAAGACTGCTTATTCCCTCTGTTCTCTGTGTGAATTCAGAGAGACCGCTGTATATATTATTACCCCGTTTGATCATTTGAACGGAAGTAAAGACACTTACTTGTTACACAAGCCAGGGTGACATTTCATTATACTGCAGGGTATATTTTGGTTCAGAAACTGTGATAAAGCTTCTGTTTATTTACATTTAGACAACTCCAGGAATGTAATCAGATACTTGGAAGTATAGTTTTGTCATGCAGAATTCGATTGGAGCCTCCCAGGACTGGAAGGACACCAAGTTTGATTAGATAGGTTCCAATATGCAAGATGTACAAGGAGATGTTGGAGAGAGCTTAAGTAGGTACTAAGCAGAAGGTTTGTGATGATAAAGTAAAGAGAGATAAATTAAATTGGAATCATACCCCATTCTTCATGCTAGCTTTGGGATGATGGGAGCTATGTCTGGTTTTTTTAATACTGGAATACACTTTTAAGACAAAGGGATACAATGGTGTAAGAATATCCAAACCAAGTACTCATGTCAGGTCCCTGCTACTTCCTTAACAACAGAAAATGAAATCCGAAGCCTTTGTTCTGTCTACCACAGGCCAAGATTGGAAAACTCATAGGATAACCCCACAAGCTGGATCAGTAATGCTCTAAAGATTTTCTTCGACTCACTAGCTATAACACACAGGTTTTTGACAACAGAACTGTTCTGGAGTATAACAAAAAGGTCTAAAAGGGACCTTAAACTTGCAGAACATTGTAGGGCAATCCTTTTAATGCAACTCCAAGTCAGGGCCTGAAATCCTACAAATTTTAGTGCAGGCATGTTCATGCCAAAGCTTAAGATGCCATCACCAAGCGTCCCACAAGGAGCCACAAGGGACATCTAGTCCAACCTGGTAAGCAGTAATATACAACTAATGCAAACCTGAAAAATGCCCATTCCACCTTTCTGGCTCTCCAAAGGAAACGAGTTCCTCACTGTCAACTAACTCTCACAGTAAAAGGCTCTTCTCAATGTTTACGTAGCATCTCTTTTCTTGTAATTTAGAACAGCAGAAAACAAACTTGCTATATCTTCTACATAACATCCCTAGATATTTAGAGACAGCTGCCATGCCACTTTTTAGCTGAATCCAAAGTGGTTCTCTTTTACATGGAGTAAGTTTACCTGATGAATGGCTCCCAGCATTTCTGCCTTGCTGGCAATCCTAGTGGCATGTTGGTTCAGAAGTTCAAGGCTCTTCTGCAGCTTCTTAACCGTCTCTTGCACCTGGTTATCTTCACTTAAAGAGGCCAAAGACTGGAAACAGAGAAAGAGAAACAATAGTAGCACACAATCCATAATCATAATCCAATAGAAAAAATCCTTAAGGAAATAATGAGTCTTTCTTGAGCTACAGCTGCTAGAATCCCAGTTCACATGGTCAACAGTGGCCATGCTGGCTGGGATATTCTGGACATTGCAGTCCAAAAAAAAAAAAAGCAACATTTTCAAACTGTGGACAAAATAAACAAACCCATTTAGCATACAAGAAGCATACAAGAAGCTCGGCCTCTCATTGAACATTCAGAAAACCAAAGTGGTCTTCCAGCAGTCACCAGATAATCCCTCTGCAATACCAGAAATACAGCTTAATGGTGTAACATTAGAAGATGTTGACCATTTCTGCTATTTTGGCAGCCACCTCTCCACAAAACTCAACATTGACACTGAAATACAACACCGCCTGAGCTCTGCGAGTCCAGCATTTTTATGAATGAAGCAGAGAGTGTTTGAAGACCGGGATATCCGTAGGGATACCAAGGTGCTTGTTTATAAAGTTATTGTCCTCCCAACCCTGCTATACCCCTGTGAAACATGGACTGTCTACAGATGTCACACTCAACTCTTGGAATGATTCCATCAACAATGCCTCCGAAAAATCTTGCAAATCTTTTGGGAAGACAAGCAGACAAATGTAACATGCTGGAAGAAGCAAAGATCACTAGCACTGAAGCAATGCTTCTACACTAGATATTGTATGATCTGTATTTTAATGTATTTTGTATTACTGTATTATGATGCTATTATGTTTACTATATTTGTGTTGAATTTTCTGCTGTTAGCCAGCCTGAGTTCCTCTTCGGAGGTCGAGAAGACCGGGTTATAAAAGCTCTAAATAAATAAATAATTAAATAAATACACCATCAACTCTGCTGGACTGGCCACATTGCCCAAATGCCCAATCACTGTCTCCCAAAGTAGTTACTATACTCCCAACTCAAGAAAGGAAAATGGAATGTTGGTGGACAGGAAAAGAGATTTAAAGATGGGCGTAAAGCCAACCTTAAAAACTGTGGCATAGACACCAAGAACTGGGAAGCCCTGGCCCTTAAGCACTCTAGCTGAAGGTCAACTGTGATCAGCAGTGCTGCAGATTCGAAGAGGCATGAATGGAGGGTGAGAGGGAGAAACGCATCAAGAAGAAGGCACATCAAGCCAACCCTGACCAGGACTGCCTTCCACCTGGAAACCAATGTCCTTACTGCAGGAGAACATGCAGATCAAGAATAGGGTTCCACAGCCACCTATGGACCCATCGTCAAGATAGTAAACCTGGAGGACCATCATCCTTGAACAATGAGGATTGCCTAAGTAAGTAAGAATGCCCACTCCCCTTGACTTGCAGTTCCAAAAATGTATTTCAAGGTTTTCATTTTTGCAGCAAGCCAGTTGTGTCACAAAGACAACAGTGAACAAAGTTCACACATATTATGCCCATCCTTCGCATTCTTACATCTAGCAGTTTCAAGGCACCAGCAATCTCTTTCCTCAAGTTTCCTTCAGCCAGATCCCGGGATCTCTCTTCCAGCCGGACCCTCTTCTCCAGGGTAAAGAGGTCACATTTGAACCCCAAAGAGAGCCGAAGAAATTCTGCCTGGTCGAGAGAAAAAATATACAGGTGCCATTGTGTAGACTATGTTTCATAATCTGAAGACATCCTCCATGAATGGCTTCTGCAAAGTGGGTGTTTATTCCCTTAAGGTGGAAAACAAGCAACCCAGAGTGTTTCTTACTATTTTTGTACTGGAAGCTTGACGAATTTCATTGAGCTGGAGGACTTTTTTCTACAAACCGGTGGTGTGGGACACATATTTTATGTTGATATCTATACTACCATATTGCAAATGATTAATAAAATGGTTCAGTTAATACAAAGGAACACAACAATCACAATCCTAAGGATGGATATATATATATATATATATAGAGAGAGAGAGAGAGAGAGAGAGCGAGAGAGAGAGCGCATTTATTTTGAACTATGACTGTGAGACACAAACACAGTTTTATCCTGGTTTTAGTAATAATAATAATAATAATAATAATAATAATAATAATGTAATAAAACTTTATTTATATCCCACTCTATCTCCTCGTGGGGACTCAGGGAAGTTTACATTTGTGGCAAACTTTCAGTGCTGTACAATACTAAACAAAGAACAAACTAACCGAAACCACCCAAATCCCAAATCATATCCAACATCAACATCAAAATAATAATAAAGACAGCACCAAACATTAGACAATGACACAACTAAGTTACATTTTCACAGTTAAAAGGCTACCTGACAATTCTCCAGGAAACAAATTTTTGCCAAGGAAACATTGTGATAGGATAACCATAGGATAACCATAACATGGAAATGTTTTGAAAGCAAACAACAACAGCAGCAGCAGCAACATCATCATCATCAACAACAACAACAACAACGGAATAACAACTTTTAAAAAGATGAGTTGCTCTCTGGTTGAATTCTTACAAATACATGAGTCAAGGAATAGAGCTGTGTAAGCGCATAATGAAAAAGGGACTGTTTTTGCTTGTAAGAGAAGTAAACAGAACATCACTGAGTATACTCCAAGGCTTACCTCCACTTCCTTTTCATTGGGAGAAACACTGAAACCAGAGAACATGAACAAATATGTTAGCAGACCAGATGTACCCGCCATGTGTTGCTGTGGCCAACCTTCCCGCCCTCTTTCTCTCCTTTCTTTCTCTCCTCCTGTCTCTCTTTCTTTCCGTCCTTTTCTTTTTTCTTTCATTCTCTACTTCCTTCCGTCCTTCCTTCCTTCCATCCTTCTTCTCTTCCTTTTCCCTTCCTTCCCCTCTTTTCTTTCCCTTCTCCTTTCTCTCCTTCCTTCTCTACCTATTCTTGGACTGTAACTCCCAGCAATCCTTCTGATCTATCTATCCATCCATCCATCTATCTATCTATCTATCTATCTATCTATCTATCTATCTATCTATCTATCTATCTATCTCTATCTCTATTTTATCTATCTATCTTATCTATCTGGAGGATTGCTGGGAAATGCAGTCCAGAATTAGGAAATAGGGAATATGCAGGGATTGTGATGCTTTCAAAGAAATCCAAGGAGAAGAAAATTTGCAGCTTGGAAGCAATGCATTTGGATCATCCTCTTCTCCTAAAGGGCTTGGTCTAGGGGATGCTGGGAGCTGTAGTCCAGAAGAGAGTGTGGATATGCTATTGTGTGTTTTGTTTGCCAGAGGAATCATTTTGTGCCTGCACTGTAGCATCTTTTTGCTGTTTTGTCTTTTTAAATCCCTTCTGCTTTACTTTACAGTGTTTTTATGACTGATGGTCACTTGTTGGCCTGATAGGTGTATTGTGTCCAAATTTCATGTCAATTCGTCCAGTGTTTTTTGAGTTATATTAATCCCACAAAGGAACATTACATTTTTATTTATATAGACTAGCCATCCCCTGCCACGAGTTGCTGTGGCCCACATGGGAGTTCTGTGTGGGAGGCTTGGCCCAATTCTATCGTTGGTGGGGTTCAGAATGCTCTTTGACTGTGGGTGAACTATAAATCCCAGCAACTACAACTCCCAAATGTCAAGATTCTATTTCCCCCAAACACCACCAGTGTTCACATTTGGGCATATTGAGTATTCTTGTAGAGTTTGGTCCAGATCCATCATTGTTTGAGTCCTCAGTCGTCTTTGGGTTTAGGTGAACTACAACTCTAAATCCAAAGGGCACTGCCCACCAAACCCATCGAGTATTTTCTGTTGGTCATGGGAGAACTGTGTACCAAGTTTGGTTCAATTCCATCGTTGGTGGGGTTCAGAATGCTCTGTGATTGTAGGCAAACTATAAATCCCAGCAACTACAACTCCCAAATTTTAAGATTCTATTTCCCCCAAACACCACCAGTGTTCACGTTTGGGCATATTGAGTTTTCTTGTAGAGTTTGGTCCAGATCCATCATTGTTTGAGTCTACAGTCAACTTTGGATGTAGGTGAACTACAACTCTAAAACCACCAAACCCACCCACCAAACTGCCCACCAAACCCATCCAGTATTTTCTGTTGGTCATGGAAGAACTGTGTGCCAAGTTTGGTTCAATTCCATCGTTGGTGGGGTTCAGAATACTCTTTGATTGTAGGTGAACTATAAATCCCAGCAACTACAACTCCCAAATGACAAAATCAATTTTTTGAGTGAAGGACATACATTGGGTCATTAGGTGTCTTGTGTCCAAATCTGGTGTCAATTTGTCAAGTGGTTTTTGACTTATGTTAATCCCACAAACGAACATTACATTTTTATTTATATAGATTGCACGCAATATAACCTCATTAGCTCCAAGTACTTGTCTTAATACACATTTTTTTAAAAATCAATCTGTTCTCTGTCCTTAACACGAGACGGAGGTGTCTCAGGCTGTGGATACTGTCTGGTGGCAACAAGATCTTGGAAGAGAAAGCAATTTTTTTTTTTGCATCCTAGGAGGAGATTAGCTTCAGTGTTTCAAATAGTCCCTGCACTGTTTACCACCAGGTAGGCTGTAACAATATTTCTTGTGTTAAGAAATCGCAACTGGAATTATGGATAAATGTTGTCCTTCTATTTGTCTTTGTCAGCTACTGGTCCAAAAAAGCCTAAAGAGTAAGACGAAAGTGTGAGGCCAAAATGTGAACAATGATATCCAAAGACCTTGGTGCTACTCACTTGGTCTTCTGCCTATTTCGAGACACTGGAAAGTTGGGTAGATGCCCAGGTGAAGCAGAACCTCCTGCAAAAATGAGCAAACAGTCTATTTAGTCAGGACATCTTGTATTTCTAGGTGCAAAGATTACTGCAGATGCAGACTGTGGCCAGGAAATCAGAAGACGCTTACTTCTTGGGAGGAGAGCAATGTCCAGTCTCGATAAAATCATAAAGAGTAGAGACATCACACTGGCAACAAAGATCCGCCTAGTCAAAGCCATAGTATTCCCTGTAGTAACCTACGGATGTGAGAGCTGGACCTTAGGGAAGGCTGAGCGAAGGAAGAGAGATGCTTTTGAGCTGTGGTGCTGGAGGAAAGTTCTGAGAGTGCCTTGGACTGCGAGAAGATCCAACCAGTCCATCCTCCAGGAAATAAAGCCCGACTGCTCATTGGAGGGAAGGATACTAGAGACAAAGTTGAAGTACTTTGGCCACATCATGAGGAGACAGCAAAGCCTTGAGAAGGCAATTATGCTGGGGAAAGTAGAAGGTAAAAGGAAGAGGGGCCAACCAAAGGCAAGATGGATGGATGGCATCCTTGAAGTGACTGGACTGACCTTGAAGGAGCTGGGGGTGGTGACGATCGACAGGGAGCTCTGGCGTGGGCTGCTCCATGAGGTCACGAAGAGTCGGAGACGACTGAATGAATGAACAATATCTAGTACAGACAGACCTTCAGTCCAGAAGGTTAAAGTAGAACACGCTGTTCTTGGGAAACAGTAAAATTATTTTTTGGGACTCACCATTCGTTCATCGAGATCTTTTTAAAGGTCTGACTGAGCTCAAGCTAAATAAAGTATCAAATGGGGTAGGAAGAGGCATGGCAGGAGATTGGACTGGGTGGTCTTTCAGGTCTTTTCCAACTCTGATTATTTAATTCAAAGCCTCAGAAGGCAAGATCAATGACTTAGGGAGGAAGACCTTTAATATGCAATGAAGACCCACTCTGCTTGAGTTAAAAGAAATGGTTCAGGCAAACCAAGAAGCAAAAAGTGAAGCAGGTCACTTTTCTCCAGGAGAATGCCATATATACTAAATTTTAAAGGGATTCTTTAACATTAAAGAGAGCTTTGTATAAGAAAGCCAATATAAGGACCACTGTCTGTTCTGGTTTAGTTTTATGTTCCCAATAAGAATGACTCAAAGATGGTTGTATCTGCTTAGCACTCTCCTTGGAATGAAAACTTATTCCTGAAGGTACTCTGGATAAGTTCATTTATCAGAAAAACAGCCATTGCGTACCAGAAAGGCGGTGTGGAGTCTCCTGTTTAGCTTCTGTGTTCGGACCAACAACAGCTTCTCCATGCATCATTGCTAAAGCAGGCTTGGAAGCCTCTCCCTCCATGGAAGGAAGAGGAGTAGAGTCTGTATCTACAGTAGAAAGAGAAGAAAGAACAAATTAGACACACATATGGCATGCATCAATACCCTTTAGAACAGTGTTTCTCAACCTGGGGGTCGGGACCCCTGAGGGGGTTGCGAAGAGGTGTCAGAGGGGTCGCCAAAGACCATCAGAAAACACAGTATTTTCTGATGGTCATGGGGATTCCATGTGGGAAGTTTGAGCCAATTCTATCGTTGGTAGAGTTCAGAATGTTCTTTGATTGTAATGAACTATAAATCTCAGCAACTACAACTCCCAAAAGTCAAGGTCTATTTTCCCCAGGCTCCACCAGTGTCCACATTTGCGCATATTGACTATTTGTGCCAAATTTGGTCCAGATCCACCATTGCGTGAGTCCACAGTGCTCTCTGGATATAGGTGAACTACAACTCCCAAACTCAAGGTCAATACCCATCAAAGCTTTCCAGTGTTTTCCGTTGGTCATGAGAGTTCTGTGTGGCAAATTAGGTTCAAATCCATTGCTGGTGCAGTTCAGAATGCTCTTTGATTATAAGTGGACTATAAATCCCAGCAACTACAACTCCCAAATTACAAAATCAATCCTCCCCCAACCCCACTAGCATTACATGTGGTTGCATTGGGTATTTGTGCCCAGTTTGGTCCAGTGAATGAAAATACATCTTGCATATCTGATATTTACATTATGATTTATAACAGTAGTAAAATGACTGTTACGAAGTAGCAACAAAACAATATTATGGTTGGGGGTCACCACAACATGAGGGACTGTATTAAGGGGTCATTGGCATTAGGAAAGTTGAGAACCACTGCTTTAGGACTTTTAGAAACTTGTACGTGTTGAATATCCCTTATTTATTTATTATGCATGTATTTGCAGTATTTGTATACTGCCCTTCTCAACATCGAAGGGGACTCAGGGCGGTTCACAGTATTGGCAGCAATTCAAAGCAATCGATAAAAAACAGTATAAAACATTAAAATTGACCCTCCCCTGAGAAAGTAAAAGTTGAAAGTGCAATCACCCTGGACTGTTTATGGACAATGGCTATGTTTTTTCTTATTGTTTCAAATAAATTTTATTGATATAAAATAAAAAATATAGTAACCAAGTAAAGAGGGGGAACATAGTGTTTTCAAGAAAAGTAGGAAATTAGAGAAATAGATAGAAATATTTATCTTAAAAAAAGAAGAAAAATCTAGAACACTAATGTGTACGAAAAAGATGTAAAAATCCGGGAGGAAAAGATAAAAAGTAGGCTTGGGCGGTTTCGTTCGTTAATTTCGTAATTCGTTATTAATTCGTATTTAAATTAGCTTACGATCCAATATTGAGCCATGCAGGAATAGTGTGAGGAGTAATAAAGATTCGAAACAATTTTTTCAATTTATTTCGTAATTATTTCGAAATTATTTCGTAATTATTTCGTAATTATTTCGTAATTATTTTCGCATGTCTGGTGCAAGTTTTATATGTTGTTTGTTTTATCACACCAACAGTCAACAACAGAGGGAGAGGGAAGCTTCAGAAGTTCCCCCTGTCCCATTTGGAGGTTTTTTTTTAGCATATTGCGCAATCTCGTCCGCCATTAACGAATCGATTCGTAATTTTACGAAATTTCGTAAATTTCGAAATTTTTTAAAGGAAAATTTCGGAATTATTAAAAAAACCAAATGCAAGGGCCCCCTAAAAACAAAACGAGTTTAGAACCAAATTTTTCCATGGTTACCCAAGCCTAATAAAAAGTCCAGTGACTTCCTTCTAATTTTGCACAGGTTTCAACTTATTGTCTATATAATCTTCCTGGTAACTAATTTTCTATTTTTATAATTCACAATTATTCCCAGTTACAATTCTTTATGTCTTTTTTCTATGTATTCATCCACCTGTGACCAGTTTAACCGAATTTCCTGTATTCCTTTTCAATAAAAAAGTTAGTGTGTCCATGTCTTTTATTTCATGTATCTTTTTTATCTATTGATCCTTCTCCGGTACTTCCTTCTGCTTCCAATATTTTGCATAGTTTATTCTAGCTGCGGTTGTCATGTACATGAATAAAATATATTCATTCATGTCTAGTTTTAAATCCCCATTGGTAATTCCTAATAAGTAATATTCTGGTTTTCTTAGAAACTTCTTTTTGAAAATTTGTTGACATTCTTCATGGATCCCTTTCCCATATTTCTGGGCTTCCCTACATGTCTACCAGAGATGATAAAAACTCCCTTCATGTTCATTACATTTCCAACAAATTTTAGATGTGTTTTTATACATGTGATTTAATTTTATCGGCGTAATATACCACCTATGAAACATTTTCAGCCAATTTTCTTTTAAATCAGTTGCATTTGTATAATTTAATGTTTTGTTCCACATTATTTCCCAATCGCTCATTGATATCGGTCTTTTAAAATTTTCTGCCTATTTCAACATACAGCTTTTTATTGTCTCTCCCTCTGTTGATCACTCTAACAATTTGTCATATAACTTTGTTATGCACTTTTTTCCCATTTTCAGAATTTTATCCCAGAATTCTTCCTTATTGTGAAAACCTAATTTCTTATTTTGATTGTGAAGTTCTTTAATTTGTAAATAATGTAACCATGTGATATTGGGAAACTTCTGTTTTTGTTCTTCATGTGATTTTAGTGTTGATGAATCTTTCTCTAAAAGATCTTTATAGGTTGGCCAATTTGTCCAACCCAAAAGTCTTCTGTGTTTGGCTTCCATTGGGAATAGCCAAAGTGGAGTTTTTGCATGAAAATATCTCTTGTATCTGTTCCAGATTCTTAAAAGTGAAGAACGCACAAAGTGGTTTCCAATTTTTTTCCTTCTTCTCTCTTTCGTACCAAATATATGCATGCCAACCAACATGTAAATCATGACCCTGTAGAGTGAGTAAGTTTTCTCTCTTTAACGTAATCCATTCTTTCAGCCAAATCAAAGCATGGCTACATGGTATAGCTTTAAATCGGCTATGTCTTTAGGTGATATGTGAAGTTATTTGATGTGATGTGTTTAGTAATCATAGAATCATACAATCATAGAGTTGGAAGAGCAACACGACAACAATACATCCGTAGTAACGGAATTTGGCAACCCAATATATAAAAACAAATTATAACATCCAAAATTAAATGAAAAGCAAAACTGTCACTGTCGAGCCATTCATGTGGACAATGTTGGAGTATTTGAGGTTTTGGAATTCCAAATATGGAATGCTCAGTTTGTATCTGTATAAAAGGTCTATTTTATCCAAACTTCACCAGTGTTCACATTTGACATATTGAGTATTTGAGCCAAGTTTGGTCCAGATCTATCATTGTTTGAGTCCACAGTGCTCTCTGGATGTAGGTGAACTACAACTCCAAAACCCAAGGTCAATGCCCACCAAACCCTTCCAGTATTTTCTGTTGGTCATGGGAGTTCTGTGTGCCAAGTTTGGTTCAATTCCATCCCCCCACCCCAACCCCCCAGTATTGAAATTTGGGCGTATTGAGTGTTTGTGCCCAATTTGGTCCAGTGAATGAAAATACACCATGCACATCAGATATTTACATTATGATTCATAACAGTAGCAAAATTACAGTTGTGAAGTAGCAACAAAAATAATGTTATGGTTGGAGGTCACCACAACATGAAAAACTGTATTGAGGGGTCATGGCATTATGATGGTTGAGAACCACTGCTATACAGTTTTAGCATTTGGTTATACTCTTCCTTCCTCCCACCTCTCCCAATTTATTGACTCCTGCTATTAGATCTTTGAAATTGCCTCATTGTTTAAATATAATGTACTTTTGTATGTGATTTTACATTTTTACTGAAGAATGTAAATTGAGCACTATAAAGTTGTTACGAAACACATTAAATAAACAATATCCACAAATTTGTGGTGAAAAAAAACCCCTTTTTCTAATATTGTAACTGTTTTCAATATATTTGTTGATACTAAACTCAACAAATTCAATAAAAATGTCATACTACACACAGTTCTTTCACAAATTCAATTCCATGTCTCCATCAATTTAGTTGTAACTCTGTTTTGATTAAATGTGGAGGCAGATAATATTCCAGTGCGACTTTCTTTTAGTGCTTTTGATCAGATCTTGGTATTCCAGATCAGTGAATTAAAGTGTTTTGATATGCTTTAACCCTTTTCTTAATGTTCATACTCTCCAAAGAAATCTTACTCAGTCATATATTAAAGCAAACTGTTTTTTTAAAAAAACAGTACATGATAGAGCAAATCTCAGGTTATTTTTGGATTTGGAATGCCAAGTGCATCTAAAAGCGACATATGTTCTAAAGAAGCTTTTAATGATCCTCTGTTTTGCAGACCTTTGTGATTTCTCTCTCTTTCAATCTGATTCACACATTCACAGAGATAAAGGCATTCTGATCAGGGCACAGCAATAAATAGCAATAAACAGTGTAAAAGTAAAAGTTTCCCCTTGACATTAAGTCTAGTTGAGTCCGACTCTGGGGGTTCGTGCTCATCTCTATTTCTAAGCTGAAGAGCCAACGTTGTCCGTAGACACCTCCTAAGTCATATGGTTGGCATGACTGCATGGAGCGCCGTTACCTTCCTGCCGGAGGGGTACCTATTGATCTACTCACATTTGCCTGTTTTCAAACTGCTAGGTTGGCAAAAGCTGGGGCTAAGAAAGGGAGTTCGCCCTGTCCTATGGATTTGAACCACTGACCTTCCAATCAGCAAGTTCTGCAGCTTAGCTGTTTAACCTGGAACGCCCTCCCTAGGGATATCAGATCGTCCCCCTCCCTCCTAACATTTCAACAGAAAGCAGGAAACCATGAAAATGAACAAAATCTGGCTACCAGTATTAAAAAACTCTAAAATTACAACAGCACAACAACAGAGAGGAAACAAAAAAGGACATTAATCACCTATCAACAAAAGTTTGCTCTAGGCACTGTCAGGCCATTATATGCTAATCAAGGTGGCCAGCTGAAACATTCACACCTAGCTTCAGCAGAGAGCTCTTGGCCCCACCCCAGTCATTCCACAGATATATAAACCCATTTTCCTACTTCCAACAAACCTCACTACCTCTGAGGATGCTTGCCATAGATGCAGGCGAAATGTCAGGAGAGAATGCCCCTAGATCATGGCCATATAGCCCGAAAAAACCTACAACAACCCATTTCAAAAGAGAGTTAAAACCTGGCTTTTTGAACAGGCATTTGCAGATGAAGTGTAACAGACTAATTTAGATCCACTGAACGATTGGATGATGCAACAGAAAAATGGTTTTAATGATGAGACGCTGAAGACTTGTGTTTTATGGTTTCTATTGTTACACTGCTTTTTATGGTCTATATTATATGTAATGTTTTAACTATATTTTATGTTGTTGGGGGCATTGATTGCCGACTGTAAACTGCCTCGAGTTGCCTTCGGGTTAAGAGAGACAGTATATAAATACGGTAGATAAATAAATAAAACACACTGATTATTGCAAGCTACGACTTTTGCTTGTGCCTTACCTTGCGGCCCATTTGTGCATTCAGATGCAGGGAGAACGGCCTCCATGGACGAACTTGGCTCACTGCAATGAGAAAAGTTAATACATTGTGAGATTCAGGTTAATACATTGTATGATTATAGCAGCAAGATTGCTTTATGTGCAGCAATGAAAGAAAATAAAAGCCTACCCTGAAAAGAAAACTGGACGATAAAGTTCTAGAGCCAGCAGAAATCGGCAACTTATCTTGTTTGATAAAGGAGGAGTCAACTGGTATTTTTTTTCCAAAAGAGTGGGAACTGGGTTGTTGTAGGGTTTTCCGGGCTATATGGCCATGTTCTGGAGGCAATTTTTCTCCTGACGTTTCGCCTGCATCTATGGCAAGCATCCTCAGAGGTAGTGAGGAATGCCTCTAGAACATGGCCATATAGTCCGGAAAAACCTACAACAACCCAGTGATCCCGGCCATGAAAGCCTTCGACAATACAGAGTGGGAACTATTTGTGCAATTTATAAAGAAAACAGGTTGGAGGCCACAAGGGGGTGCTAGAAAGAAAAGGAGATTCCATTTTAAAAGGGGGTGGAGGGTGGCTTGAAGTAGTAAAACCATTTCATCCTGTTTTCCTGTTATTCCCATGTTCCCATCGTGGAAACAACCCTTGTTTATGACATGGAAAGGTTTTTTTTTCTTTGGTCATGTCAGGAGCAATTTGAGAAACTGCAAGTTGCTTCTGGTATGGGAGAATTGGCCATCTACAAGGACGTTGCCCAGGGGACGGCCGGATGTTTTTGATGTTTTTACCATCCTTGTGGGAGGCTTCTCTCATGTCCCAGCATGAGGAGCTGGAGCTGATAGAGGGAGCTCATCCACGCTCTCCCTGGATTCGAACCTGCAACCTGTCTGTCTTCAGTCCTGCCGGCACAGGAGTTTAATCCACTGTGCCAACGGGGGCTCCTGACATGGGAAGTGGGGAGGAGGGATAACCAGCAAAAATGGGGAAAATGGTTTTCCTTCTTCAACTCCCCCCCCCCCCAAATAAAATGGACTATCCTTCTCTCTCTAGCACCCCCTTCTGGCCTCTGCCTGGATAATGGAACAGTACTTATTTTTTAAAAAAATATTATTGTTTTATAGTGTATATAGGAAGAAAACAAATGAACAAAAGAAAGAAAGAAAAGAAAGAAAAAATGCAAATATTTACAAAAGGGTGTAAATTCAGTGCTCGTTAAACATATGAAAAATCAGACTTGGCTGTACAGTTAATTATACCTTAACATTTCTTAACCCTCCATCCTTCCACCTGTGAACCCCACCCCACAACCTCCGAAGTCCCTCAAAAAAGGATCACACAGCTAACCAGCAACTACCCATATATCTTCTTTCACTGAATCCCCTTAATGGCAATCTTCAAGTTTCCCTTTGTCTTCTTTTCCAATTACCCAAGTGCCAGCCTCCATTTGTTTGCAAAATCTTCATTATTTCCTCCTCTGCTGCTATTTGTCAGCTTGGCCATTTGGATATAATCTACTAATTTATCTCTCCAGTCTTTAATAGATAACTCTTTCCACCCTTTCCAAGTTTTGGCTATTATTAGTCTTGCAGCACAAAGCAATATTGACAAATTCCTTCATCTCCTGCACTTATACACCTTCTAAATAGTCCTAATAGGCACATTTCTGGGTTTTTCTCAACCTTTTTGTTAATCATATTGTATTAATTTAATTTGTGTTAATGAGATGTATCCCTAGATCTAGTGTCTAGATCTAGGGAAGTAATGCTACCCCTCTATTCTGCCTTGGTTAGACCACACCTGGAATATTGTGTCCAATTCTGGGCACCACAATTGAAGAGAGATATTGACAAGCTGGAATGTGTCCAGAGGAGGTGACTAAAATGATCAAGGGTCTGGAGAACAAGCCCTATGAGGAGCAGCTTAAGGAGCTGGGCATGTTTAGCCTGAAGAAGAGAAGGCTGAGAGGAGATATGATAGCCATGTATAAATATGTGAGAGGAAGCCACAGGGAGGAGGGAGCAAGCTTGTTTTCTGCTTCCTGGAGACTAGGACGCGGAACAATGGCTTCAAACTACAAGAAAGGAGATTCCATCTGAACACGAGGAAGAACTTCCTGACTGTGAGAGCCGTTCAGCAGTGGAACTCTCTGCCCCGGAGTGTGGTGGAGGCTCCTTCTTTGGAAGCTTTTAAACAGGGCTGGATGGCCATCTGTCAGGGGTGATTTGAATGCAATATTCCTGCTTCTTGGCAGGGGGTTGGACTGGATGGCCCATGAGGTCTCTTCCAACTCTAGGATTCTATGATTCTATGATTTATTTATTATAATATTTATATCCCACCCTGCTCACCCTGCGTTATACATAATTGAAATTATTCCATGCCGAAACAACAACAACAATTGGAAGCAATTAAACAACCATTTTAAACAACATTAAAAGAACATAGGTAAATATTAGATGACTATTGTGCATACCAAAAATAGAAAATGTAAAAATTCTTGCTGGTTTTGGAGATTGAGTAAAATATTGTGATATATAATAAGTTTGGAGTTGGTATATAAGGTGGAAAATGAGAAATCCATTGTAACTTTAATTTTAAAATTTTTGTTATTGATTTCATGAAGAGGGAGTTAGTTGTAAGGGATGTATTGGTGGTATAAGTGATGTATTGGGAAACTGTTAACTTTACAAACTGTATAAGGGTAACACAGCTGAACAAAACAAATTATTTCTTGGTAACTTGGTTTTTAAGTCTGTTTGTAGGGCTAATTTGGGGATGTTGATTCAGAAAATTGCAATGGTCAGACCGCATCAGCTCATTTCTTAGACATGGTTATTGGTTATCATGATTTTTCATGGGCAAGCAGATGAAGAGTAGTATCAGAGTTGGAAGAGACCTTGTGGGCCATCCAGTCCAACCCCATTCTGCGAAGATACGGGAAAACTGCATTCAAAGCACCTCCGACAAATGGCCATTCAACCTCTGCTTAAAAGCCTCCGAAGAAGGAGTCTCCACCACAGAGAGTTCCACTGCTGAACAGCTCTCACAGTTTGGAAGTTCTTCCTCATGTTCAGGTGGAATCTCCTTTCCTGAAGTTTGAAGCCATTGTTTTGTGTCCTAGTCTACAGGGCAGCAGAAAACAAGCCTGCTCCCTCCTCCCTATGACTTCTGCATACTTATTTATACATGGGCATCATCATGTCTCCTCTCAGCCTTCTCTTCATGCCCAGCTCTTTAAGCCGCTCCTCATCGGTCTTGTTCTCCATACCTTGGTATATGGCATATGTTTTATATCTAATACATGAGAACTGATAGAGGAAAACTGGTGCCATTTTTGGAATCAGCTGGTCAAATATACCCAGAAACAGGTCTAACATTTGAAGCGCCAAAATGTGTGTTGGTCAGTGTAATCATATTGCTAAAATTTAATATGGATATAGATTAAAATAGGCAGATAGATGATACAGCCATCTAAAACATGGGACCCATTGGAATGAATGACCCTGCATTGGAAAACATAAAGGGTGTTATGCTTTCTTACCTTGTTGCAGGTTCTGTCAATGGCTTGGCATCATTCTCCTTGCAAAGAGATGAAGATGTTTTAGCATTCACATTGAAAAATACAGCATTGCACACATTGACTATTGAAAAGCTCAGACATTGCTGACTTTCGATTAGCAGTCTACTGTTGGTAGCGTTTTGAACCAGAAGCCGGGGCTGATGATATATAGTTGGAAGGTGCGTGACAAGATACCATCTTGATATGCAAATCCATACTGCCTTTATTTGCATTCTCTTTACTCTCAGAGGAAGGTATGCTATTTTGGTTTAGGCCATTTGATCAACAGCTGTTTCCTCCTGCGAGAGGGGAAGGGAATAAAAATAACCATGGTTCTCTTCAGAAGGCCACAGGTTATCTTGAAAAAGCTGTAAGATCCATGGACCTACTTGCACCTTTACAGTTGTTAGAAGCTTTCCCCAATCAGATCCAAAAGCTTCTTGATGCATGATCTCTGCTATTGAAAGACGCACCTGTTAATAAGCCTACGCACCCAACAATGTTGGAGGTCATGATCAGTGTTTAGATGACAGTGTAATCATTCCTGGTCAGAAGATTTCTCGGCCATCTCCTTTCTTATTACAGTGTCACTTCCACAATATTTATTTTTTGTTGTTGTTTATTCATTCAGTTGCTTCTGACTCTTCATGACCACATGGATCAGCCCATGCCGTGGCCACCCCCAGGTCCTTCAAGGTCATAGAATCATAGAATCAAAGAGTTGGAAGAGACTTCATGGGCCATCCAGTCCAACCCCCTGCCAAGAAGCAGGAATATTGCATTCAAATCACCCCTGACAGATGGCCATCCAGCCTCTGTTTAAAAGCTTCCAAAGAAGGAGCCTCCACCACACTCCGGGGCAGAGAGTTCCACTGCTGAACAGCTCTCACAGTCAGGAAGTTCTTCCTCATGTTCAGATGGAATCTCCTCTCTTGTAGTTTGAAGCCGTTGTTCCACGTCCTAGTCTCCAGGGAAGCAGAAAACAAGCTTGCTCCCTCCTCCCTGTGGCTTCCTCTCACATATTTATACATGGCTATCATATCCCCTCTCAGCCTTCTCTTCTTCAGGCTAAACATGCCCAGCTCCTTAAGCCGCTCCTCATAGGGCTTGTTCTCCAGACCCTTTATCATTTTAGTTGCTCTCCTCTGGACACATTCCAGCTTGTCAATATCTCTCTTGAATTGTGGTGCCCAGAATTGGACACAATATTCCAGGTGTGGTCTAACCAAAGCGGAATAGAGGGGTAGCATTACTTCCCTAGATCCACACCTGGAATATTGTGTCCAATTCCGGGCACCACAATTGAAGATCAAGCCATCAATTCCAGGATACCATCCATCCATCATTTTCAGATTCATCGTAACAATATTTTGCTATTAGGGCTGTTTGCTTTTCAGCTTAGCTTTAATTAAAAACAGGCTTCCCATGTTATCAATTAAGATTGGATCTACATTGATTTATAATCCAGTATCTGATCCTAGATTACACTATTCAACATTATTTTTGTTCCTGGGTTATAAATGTCATTTTCTAATTGGTTCCATCATAAAAACATGGAAAAAGTTTATTAAACTATAAAAACTTTGTTTTTCCAGGACTTCCTGCAGCACATTTTGCTATAGTTTTCAATGAATATCTCATCAAGTCTCAACCAATTCAACATAGTTTGTGTCAGCCAGAAAAAAACAAGTTTTCTGGAGTGTGACCATTACTTTCAAAGTAAGTAACACGTAATGAAACAGGAAATAACACTTTCAAACCAGGGACATAACAGTTTCAAATTTTGTTATAGAGTGATCTGCTTTGAACAAGATTATATGAGTCTACACTACCAGATAATACAGTTTAAAGCAGATAATCAGTGATTAGAAACTGGATTATATGACAGTACAGATGGGCCTACAAACGCATTAAAGGGCAACGGTGTCACAAGATCGCAGCTATTGTTGAGAGGAGAAAATTTGCCCTTCAAACCATAGGGCCATCTCAACAAAACACACTTTCTTAAAAAATATCTAGAAGAATGATAAGAAGTCACTATAAACAACTCCAAAAGAATGTAATTAATGGATGTGGAGCAACTAGCAAAACACAAGCGACTCTACTGTGAGAATTCATGGTTCTTCAATCCAACTTGGAAGAGCCCATTGTGCATCAGTTCCATATAATCTAGATCTGGAGGTGGGAATAAGGGAAAGGAAAATATGGAGAAGAGAGTGGGAACATCTGAGCTTTCTCGAGTGAGAAAGATGACTATATGACAAAAGCACCTGAAAGCACCTCAATCTTCACCCCCCAAAAGTTGTGTTTTCTCCCCAGAACCATAAAATTGGGAGAGACCCCAAGGGCCATCCAGTCTGACCCTCTGCAGTGTAGGAAGACATAATAAAAGCACTCCAAATAGATAGCCATCCAGTATACCATTGCCATTTCATTCCAATTATAGACCATGACCCAAAGATCTTGCCTGAAGAAACAGTTCAGATCCCAGCAAGGAAGTCAGGAGAGAAATGCTCCAAGATAACTTGAGTTGGGTTGTTGTAGTTTTTTTCAGGCTATATGGCCATGTTCTAGAGCAGTGGTTCTCAACCTGGGGTCCCCAGATGTTTTTGGCCTTCAATTCCCAGAAATCCTAACAGCTGGTAAACTGGGGGATTTCTGGGAGTTGTAGGCCAAAAACATCTGGGGACGCCAGGTTGAGAACCACTGTTCTAGAGGCATAAACTTCTGAAGTTTCACCTGCATCTATGGCCAACATCCTCCGAGGTTGTGAGGAACAGACCTCATAGATGCAGGCGAAACGTCAGGAGAGAATGCCTCTAGAACATGGCCATATAGCCCGAAAAAACCTACAACAGTGGTTCTCAACCTTGCCAATGCCGTGACCCCTTAATGCAGTTCCATATGTTGTGGTGACCCCCAACCATAATATTGTTTTCGTTGCTACTTGATACCTGTCATTTTAGTACTGTTATAAATCATAATGTAAATATCCGATACACAGGATATATTTTCATTCACTGGACTAAATTGAGCACAAATACCCAATATGCCCAAATGTGAATGCTAGTGGGGTTTGGGGTGGGGGAGGATTGATTTTGTAATTTGGGAGCTGTAGTTGCTGGGATTTATAGTTCATCTACAATCAAAGAGCTTTCTGAACTCCACCAGCAATGGATTTAAACCGAACTTGGCACAAAGAACTCCCATGACCAACAGAAAACACTGGAAGGTTTTTGTGGGCATTGACCTTGAGTTTGGGAGTTGTAGTTCACCTATATCCAGAGGAGCACTGTGGATTCATGCAATGATGGATCTGGACCAAACTTGGCATGAATACTCAGTATGCCCAAATGCGAACACTGGTAGAGTCTGGGGAAAATAGACCTTGACATTTGGGAGTTGTAGTTGTTGGGATTTATAGTTCACCTACAATCAAAGAGCATTCTGAACTCGACCAACAATAAAATTGGGTCAAACTTCCCACACAGAATCCCAATGACCACCACAAAATACTATGTTTTCTGATGGTCTTTGGCGAACCCTTTGAAAGCCCCTCATGACCCCCTCAGGGGTCCCGACCCCCAGGTTGAGAAACACTGACCTACAACAACCCAGTGGTTCTGGCCATGAAAACCTTTGACAATACATAACTTGAGTTGACACCAACACCGAAACCTTTTCGCTTTTATGTTCAACCACACACTCTACCACCAAAGAGTGAGTAAAAGAAGCATATCTGCATTCACAGGTGACAACACATGCCTCTTTCAATAATAGAGATCATTCATTTCTGGAAGTTTCGAATGCTGCCCCATTGTTCCCTGATAAGGAAATTACAGAATTTCTCAATTGTAGCCGAAACTCTATCCATGCTCTCACATGTGCCTGGCACAAAGTTACCATTGATCCATTCATTCTAATTAAATGGGATTGGCAGTTAAACGAGTGAAAACCAGGTAGAGAAAGTCACCTTGGTCAAGTCAGCATCCATCCTGGCGTCCAAGGCAAAGTCTACATCCGTCTGCTCACCAACACAACAGTTGTTGCTCCTGATGGGGGGGAAAGTTTTATTTGCATATGGCAGACAAAGCATTACATTTCGACATCCTTTTTTTCTTAAAGCTGGGGCTATTTTTACATACAGCATTTACATAGGCGAGGACTCCATCAACCACAACACAGAAGCAGTGTTAGGGAAATGGCTGCAGAGACAGAGTGGAAACCCCCAACAGATACCAAGAGACCACTGTTACATAACCAGGCAATACATTATCAGTAATATCAAAACCTAAGTATAAAACCTATCAGCTATAATCAGTCTGCCTACCTACCTATCTGTAAATATCTCCCTCCATCTAACTTCCTCTGTCTCCGTCTGTCTATCTCCTACCTACCTACATATCTACCAGGCTATCAAATGCTAATCAAGGTGATCAGTTGAAACATTCACACCTAGCCCCAACAGACAAGAGTTCTTTGTCCCACTCTGGTCATTCCACAGATATATAAACCTATTTTCCTAGTTCCAATAGACCTCACTACCTCTGAGGATGCTTGCCACAGATGCAGGCGAAATGTCAGGAGAGAATGCCTATAGAACATGGCCATATAGCCCAAAAAAACCCTACAACAACCCAGTGATTCCGGCTATGAAAGCCTTCAACAATATATCTACCTATCTATCTATGCACACACCAGACACACAAATGTTGAAAGGTTGCAATGGTAATGGAAGAGGAAAAAGGATATATAAATAGCACAGTTCACATTCATATTCCTGCTTGTTGTAGTTTCTTACTTTTGCACCTCCGGCATCATATCCATGATAGATTCATTTCTCAGAGGCTTCTTCTCAAGCATAGGTTGGGTTCCTGTATTTCCAAAGCTCTTCAGCACAGAACTTCTCTGAATCAAGTCGAGTGACTCAAGAGCTAATGCGTCTGTCAACCCAATACACAAAACAGCGAGATGCAGGGTTATTGGGGGAAGGAAGCCTACAAGATAGTATCATGGTTTTCCTGGAATCCTACAGAACAAGGCTGTTTAAGTGAGGTAGCAATTTTGAGAAGAATCTTAAATGTATGGTTGAACTAGTTGCCCCCAGCAATATGAGATCCAATCAGACCATAAACTACATACTTGGAGGCAGCATCTATCCTACAGAATCAATGCAGTTTGACACCATTTTAACAAGCATTTTAACAAGCATGCTGATGATCATGTCATTACTGCTCAAGCAGGGAGCTTTGAGATAGTTGAACAGAAGCTCTCCAAAGCTCTAGGTGCTCTTACTGCCTATTAAAAGGAAAACCAGCTGATCCCTAATCCATCTAAAACACAGACATGTGCTTTTCACCTTAAGAACAGACAAGCATACCGAGCTCAGAGGATTACCTGGGAAGAAATCCCACTGGAGCATTGCAGCACACCCAAATACCTGGGAGTCACTCTGGACCATGCTCTGACCTACAAGAAGCACTTCCTAAATATCAAGCAAAAAGTGGGTGCAAGAAACAGTATCATAAGAAAGCTGACTGGCACAACCTGGGGATCACAATCAGACATAGTGAAGACATCTGCCCTTGCACTATGCTACTCTGCTGCTGAGTATGCATGCCCAGTGTGGAACACATCTCACCATGCTAAAACAGGGGATGTGGCTCTTAATGAGATGTGCCGCATTATCACGGGGTGTCTGCGCCCTACACCACTGGAGAAACTACACTTTCTAGCCGGTATTACACAACCTGACATCCACCAGTAAGTAGCAGCCAATAGTGAAAGGACTAAGGCATTGACATCTCCAGCCCATCCCTTGTTTGGGTATCAGCCAGCACGTCAACAACTTAAATCTAGAAATAGTTTTCTAAGATCTACAGAGACACTCGCTGAAACACCCCAGCAAGTGAGAGTCCAAAAGTGGCAGGCTCAAACCCAGAACCTCAATCAATGGCTGATACCAAATGAGAGACTCCCCCCTGGGCACACAGAAGACTGGGCGACTTGGAAGGCGCTGAACAGACTCCGCTCTGGCACCACGAGATGCAGAGCTAATCTTAAGAAATGGGGCCACAAAGTGGAATCCGAGTGTGGAGAAGAGCAAACCACTGACCACCTGCTGCAATGCAACCTGAGCCCTGCCACATGCACAATGGAGGACCTCCTTGCGGCAACACCAGAAGCACTCCAAGTGGCCAGATACTGGTCAAAGGACATTTAATCAACTACCAAGCTGCAAACTTTGTGTTTTGTCTGTCTGTTTGTTTGCTTTGTTAAAAATGTAATACAAATGTCTGTTTGCTCCTGACACAATCAATCAATCAATCAATCAATCAATCAATCAATCAATCAAATAACAAGCATGGCTTGGTGCTACGGAATCCTGGGAGTTGTCATTTGCTGATGCACCAGCACTCTTTAGCAGAGAAAATAGCAGGATAGACTACTGCAATGCACTCTACGTGGGGTTGCCTTTGAAGACTGCTCGGAAGCATCAAACAGTCCAATGAGAGGCAGCCAGGTTAATAACTGGGGCGGCATAAGGGAGCATACAACTTCCATGTTACATCAGCTCCACTGGCTGCCAGTTTGCTACCGGACACAATTCAAAGTGCTGGCTTTGGCCTATAATGCCCTAAACAGCCCTGGCCCAATTTTCCTGTCCGAACGCATCTCCCCCATGAACCATCACAGAGATTAAAATCCTCCAGGGAGGCCCTGCTCTCCGTCCCACCATTGTCACAGGCGCAATTGGTGAGGACGAGAGACAGGGCCTTCTCGGTGATTGGCCCTTGGCTATGGAACTCCCTTCCTAGTGAGATCAGATCGGCTCCCTCTCTCCTGTCCTTTAGAAGGATGGTAAAAACTTGGCTGTGGGACTGAGCTTTTGGGACAAGGCAATAAAGCAGCAATAGGAAAGATTACCAGGCCAATTAGATTTGACGCAGATGATCAGGACAGTTTTAAATTGTGCATTTTAATATTGAGATACATGTTTTTAATGTTTATGTAAACATATATGAATTCTTGTCCCGGCATTGAATATTTGCCGTATATATGCTGTGCTCCGCCCTTAGTCCCCTTCGGGGTGAGAAGGACAGAATATAAATGTTTTAAATAAACAAATAAATAAAATAAAAGACCATGTAAGTGTACCACATGACTCTTTTGCATTGAGCCATAGCAGTTAAAGTAGTGTCAACATGCATTAATTCTCCAATATAGATGTACCCTTGGAAGCATGAAAAGTTTATGGCCCTGAATGGATCTTGATTTCTACATACTGTATATACTCGAGTACAAGCCTAGTTTTTCAGCCCTTTTTCAAGGCTGAAAAAGCCCCCCTTGGCTTATACTTGAGTGAGGGTCTTGGTCGGAAGGCGTGGGGCTGTAAGAAGGGCTTCATTCAGCCTCACACCTTCCTACCAGGAGCCTCAACTCTCCACAGAACAACCCAGCTTACCTTCCTCTCCCTTTCTCGGTGCAGAATGTACCTTCCTCTTCTCCTCTCTCAGTGCCAATATTTTCTACTTTTCCTTATTCACGCACATCATTTTCCTCAAAATGTATAGTTAAAATAAACTATGGTGACTCCACATCATGAGGAGACAGCAAAGCCTAGAGAAGACAATTATGCTGGGGAAAGTGGAAGGCAAAAGGAAGAGGGGCCGACCAAGGGCAAGATGGATGGATGGCATCCTTGAAGTGACTGGACTGACCTTGAAGGAGCTGGGGGTGGTGACGGCCGACAGGGAGCTCTGGCGTGGGCTGGTCCATGAGGTCACGAAGAGTCGGAGACGACTGAACGAATGAACAATACAACAATGGTGATTATTGGAAGGATACATTGAAGAAGGTTAAAATAATCATTTAATCAGAGTTGGACTGTCTTATCTTAAATTACAGTTGTATGTAAGTATTCAAAAACATTCAACCTATTGATGCCTCTATTATTCGTATCTATTTTTATTTTGAAATGTACTCATAGCTGCTGCATTTCCCACCCTCTGCTTATACTTGAGGCAATACATTTCCCCAGTTTTTTTGTGTTAAAATTAGGTGCCTCGGCTTATATTTAGATCAGCTTATGCTTGAGTATATACAGTACATTGTCAGCCCCTGATCCACAACAAACTTCCTTCTTCACCTAGAAATGCTCACTCCGAAGCCAAGTATAGACTTTAAAAACTCCAGAAACATATGGATGAGTTAGGACTCTTTAGGTCCACCTTCCATTTAGAAAGCATGCACCATTTCTGATCAACTGCACCTTCTCAAAAGGGACAGCATGCATCAGTCTTACCTAGTAATGAAGTGTAATGAGAGCAACAACATTTTAGGCTGGTTGACCGGGATGAGATGAAAAGCTGGCTTTCTTGACTACCAGATCTCTGGGAGCAACAGGATACCTAAATTAGAAAAGACAAATTTAGGACATTAAGTTTTTTCTACTTGACCAAGCAGTTCTGAACCTGGAGAACGTTTGTCAACAGACATGCAATCAAGTAAGCACTCTCAAGTAAGCAATCAAGTAAGCACTCTGCAGAATTTTCTTTCTAAAGCACTTGCCATCTCTGTCTATATACTTTAGCCCAGGTATGAGGAAAACAGAGCCTGTTGCCTTTTGACCTCTATTTTGCAACCACAAAAGCTACCCAGGAGACCTCTGAAGCCCCCAGATGCACTTACAAGTGATTGCAGAGGGCAATGATTTGCCAAACACCACCAAGAAACCCCTATACTGTCACAAAAGGGTTATCCTCCCATACCTTCCACCACTAAAAAAGCACAAAAAGCATCTATGTCCCAGTCAAATGCAATATTTGGCAGAGAAGGTTGAGGACCCTGCAAAACTACAACTCCCAGGATTTCATAGCATTGAGTTATGCCAAATTGCCTTAATGCTGCAGCATAGATGCACCCCTAGTTTCAGTAACAGCACTTATACCTAAAGCCTGAGGCAACCACCTACAACAAGCTATGTTCCTACAACAACGTACACTTGTTGTCAGACTTGTTTTCACATACCTTCTCTTCGGGCCTTGTCTTTTCATCTACTTTTGAACCAGATTGAGGGCTCCCATCACCATCTCCACAGACCTGTTTTAATTTAACACAGTCTGGCTGATCAACAAGCACACAGCTGGCAAGAACAGGTGTTATTTTGGAAGTGTAGTTTCTATCTCACAGTAAATGATAAACATCAACAGGCAATGCTTAAAGTAAGCACAAAGGAAAGACATTGTTTTCCACAGGAAAGGAGCATTATCTTAATTGAAGAAGAATACACTTTGTATGTCAAAGGTCCCAGATTCAATCCACAAAATCTACATAATGTTGGAAAATACTCCTGTTTGCAGCCATGGAGACTAGTCATGTTCAGTGATGTGCTGAAGAGGTGGGAATTGGATGCCCTTCCAAATTATGTTCAATGACAATTGGCAATACTGGCTAGATCTCACAGCCAGAAGGGATTATGAAGACCATCTAGTCCACCCTTCTGCTTTGCAAGAATACACAACTACAGCACTCCTGAAAGATGCCCATCTGGAGGTCCTCCCAGTTCCAATCCATGATGAAGACATTACAAGCATTCTGCTTTGCTATACATAGAAGGAAGATAATTGTGTTAACCATGGTCCACCGGGAATTATTTATTTGATATGTAGAACCCTTCCCATTACCAGCAATAAATAAATAAATAAATAAAACCTCTAAAGGAGATATCCATGGTCCTGAACCTTGCTGTTGTTGAGAATCAGGTTCAGCACTTTGGGATACCTCCTTTCAAGTTCAGAGGACAACCTAGAGCAGCCTTTCTCAACCTGGGAGTCGAGACCCCTGGGGGGGGGGTCGTGAGGGAGTGTCAGAGGGGTCGCCAAAGACCATCAGAAAACACAGTATTGTCTGTTGGTATTGGGGATCATGTGTGTGAAGTTTGGCCCAATTCTATCGTTTGTGGGACACAGACTGTTCTTTGATTGTAGGTGAACTATAAATCCCAGCAACTAGAACTCCCAAATGTCAAAGTCTATTTCCCCCAAACTCTAGCAGTGTTCACATTTGGGCATATTGAGTATTCATGCCAAATTTGGTCCAGATCCACCATTGTTTGAGTCCACAGTGCAGTCTGGATGTAGGTGAACTACAACTCCCAAACTCAAGGTCAATGCCCACCAAACCCTTCCAGTATTTTCTGTCATGGGAAAATACAGCATGCATATCAGATATTTACATTATGATTAATAACAGTAGCAAAATTATAGTTATGAAGTAGCAATGGAAATAATTTTATGGTTGGGGGTCACCACAACATGAGGACCTGTATTAAGGGGTCGTGGCATTAGGAGGGTTGAGAAACACTGACCTAGAGCAAGTTCATTGGTCCACAAACATGGAAGCCACCACCCACCACTACCTATTCTAGTTTTGCTAACAAAAGAGTAGCCCTTGGAGATGATGATGATGATGATGATAATAATAATAATAATAATAATAATAATAATACTTTATTTGTATTCTGTCCTATCTCCCCAAGGGGACTGAGGGCGGATTCCAGCATACACAAACACATACATTCAATGCCTAGAAACAACAAAACACAGATAAAGGTAAAGGCTTCCCCTTCCAGTTCTGAGGGGTGGTACTAATCTCCAGCTCTGAGGGATGGTGCTCATCTCCATTTATAAGTTGAAGAGCCTACGTTGTCCATAGACACCTCTAGGTCATGTGGCCAGCATGACTGCATGCAGCATTGTTTATCTTCCCACCAAGGCAGTACCTATTGATCTACTCATATTTGCATATTTTCATACCGCTAGGTTGGCAGGAGCCCCCGGTGGCGCAGTGGGTTAAAGCACTGAGCTGCTGAGCTTGTTGATCGAAAGGTTGCAGGTTCGATTCCGGGGAGCGGCGTGAGCTTCTGCTGTCAGCCCTAGCTTCTGCCAACCTAGCAGTTCGAAAACATGCAAATGTGAGTAGATCAATAGGTACTGCTCTGGCGGGAAGGTAATAGTGCTCCATGCAGTCATGCCGGCCACATGACCTTGGAAGTGTCTACGGACAACGCTGGCTCTTTGGCTTAGAAATGGAGATGAGCACCACACCCCAGAGTCAGACATGACATGACTGGACTTAATGTCAGGGGACTACCTTTACCTTTAGGTTGGCAGAAGCTGGGGCTAACAGCAGGAGCTCATCCTGTCCTGTGGATTCGAACTGCCAACCTTCTGGTCAGCAAGTTCAGCAGCTCAGCGGTTTAATCCATTGCGCAACTGCGGAGAGGGCAAAGAACAGGACAGACCTGGCCCTCAAAAGCTTCACAGGAATCCACACATTGTGTGATATGTTTACAATATATTTTCACAACATAGAGTCCTTCCTGTAGTTAGCTAATGTTGGTCTGTCCCATCCCAGAATAATAACTTCCTCAGTTAACCCAAGGAACAGACATTGCTGGGAATTCTTTTGCTGAGTCCCATCCCAGAACAATACTTTTAAGGGTTTTTTAAAAAATTATAATCTGCCTATTTCTCAAGAGTGAGATTTAAGGGGGTTCATATAAATATTAGATATAAAGATTAGATTTTTAAAATCCATTCAAAAATGCAATGTAATCGTGCTGCTTATCTATTTGTTGAAAAAACCTATATGAATGGGACAAAAACATTTCGGTAGTAGAGGACGTCTTCCTCCGTTTAAGTCTCTCTCTTTTAAAAAAAGACTGAAAAAGATATCATACCTGGCAAAGAACTCCACATGACAATCCTTTAAAATACTTCTTCCTGAGCGAGCCAAGAGCCCCTAAGAAACAAGACATTGAAGAAAAATAATTACAAGATATCCAGATTATGGAAGGATTTGTCTTTTGGACCTAAAGCAAAGCGAGAGTATGTAAGAACTCTGCAAAACAACACTCTCTAGAGCAGTGCTTCTCAACCTTCCTAATGCTGCGACCCCTTAATACAGTTCCTCACGCTGTTGTGACCCCCTGACCATATTATTATTTTTGTTGCTACTGGTGGGGTTGGGGGGATTGATTTTGACATTTGGGATTTATAGTTCACCTACAATCAATTGGAAGGGTTTGGCGGGCACTGTCCTTGAGTTTGGGAATTGTAGTTCACCTACATCCAGAGAGCACTGTGGACTCAAACATTGATGGATCTGGACCGAACTATGCCCACATGCCAACACTGGTGAAACTTGGGGAAAATAGACTTGACATGTGGGAGCTGTAGTTGCTGGGATTTATTGTTCACCTCCAATCAAAGAGCATTCTGAACTCCAGTAACAAAGGAATTGAACCAAGCTCGGCACACAGCGTTCTCATGCCCAACAGAAAATACTGGAAGGGTTTAGTGGACATTGAACTTGAGTTTGGGAGTTGTAGTTCACCTACATCCAGAGAGCACTGTGGACTCAAACAATGATGGATCGGGACCAAACTTAGCACAAACACTCAATATGCCCACATGTCAACCCTGGTGGAATTTGGGGAAAATAGACTTGACATTTGGGAGTTGTAGCTGCTGGGATTTAAAGTTCACCTACAATCAAAGAGCACTCTGAAGCCCACCAATGGTAGAATTGGGCCAAACTTCCCACACAGAGACCCTCATGACCAACAGAAAATACTGTGTTTTCTGATGGTCTTCAGCGACCCCTCTGACACCCCCTCATGACCCCCCTAGGGGTCCTGACCCCCAGGTTGAGAAACACTGCTCTAGAGGTAGTTCTACATGGGTGACTTTATATTTTGAATTACAAGATCTAAAAGCATAGAGATTTATTATGTTGTTTACATTTGAATGCAACTGCTATGCTTTCAGCACTCAGAGATGCTGAGCATTGCACAAAATACCTGCTCCTTTTGAGGAGATAAAAACTGGTAGGACTAGTTTGCTGAATCTGAATAGCTGGGAAAATACAAATCCCCAAAATATTCTGCTGGTAATTGTCACCTTTCTCCTGGAACCTCTGGTCATGGCAACGAAACTTTAACATGCTCTTAGGACCTCATCAGACTAGAGAATGAATCCACTTTAAATTCGATTTCTGCCTCCTGCAGAATTCTGGGGTTTGTAGTTTAGTGAGGCTGTTCAAGGCTCCTCCCTAAACTACAAGCTCCAGAATTCTGCAAGAGGCAAAAATCAGATTTAAAATGGATTCATTCTCTAGTGTGATGAGGTCCAGTGATGTGAATCTTCTCCGATCTTGTGCTCACAAACAGAAGTGAGTAATTTCAAAAGGAGTTTTTCCACAGGATATCAGCAACTCAGTGGAAATACATCCCTTCCAGTTCTCATCTCAGCAGAGGTCTAGCACATTGTAAAGCTTTAAATGAGTTAGAATAATAGAATCAAAGAGTTGGAAGAGACCTCATGGGCCATCCGGTTCAACCCCCTTCCAAGAAGCAGGAATATTGCATTCAAATCACCCCTGACAGATGGCCATCCAGCCCCTGTTTAAAAGCTTCCAAAGAAGGAGCCTCCACCACACTCCGGGGCAGAGAGTTCCACTGCTGAACGGCTCTCACAGTCAGGAAGTTCTTCCTCATGTTCAGATGGAATCTCCTCTCTTGTAGTTTGAAGCCATTGTTCCGCGTCCTAGTCTCCAAGGAAGCAGAAAACAAGCTTGCTCCCTCCTCCCTGTGGCTTCCTCTCACATATTTATACATGGCTATCATATCTCCTCTCAGCCTCAGTTTTGCAGAAGGAAGAAGAAACCATTTTGTTTATGTACAATTTGGGGTTATTATTTATCGTGTCAGAAGCGAAATGAGGGTACAGTTATAATATATTTAAAAAAGAATGCAAAGCAATTCTTGTGGGTTTTTTCGGGCTATATGGCCATGTTCTAGAGGCATTTCTCCTGACGTTTCGCCTGCATCTATGGCAAGCATCCTCAGAGGTGAGGTCCTCACCTCTGAGGACGCTTGCCATAGATGCAGGCGAAACGTCAGGAGAAATGCCTCTAGAACATGGCCATATAGCCCGAAAAAACCCACAAGAACTGAATGCAAAGCAAGTTAAAAACTTGGCTTTATACTAGATTTGCTTTGACCAGAAGCTGGCCACTTGGAATGCTTTTGGTGTCACTGTGAGAAGGTCCTCCGCTGTGCATGTGGCAGGGTTCAGGCTGCATTTTAGTAGGTGGTCTGTGGTTTGCCCTTCTCCACACTTGCATGTTGACTCCACTTTGTAGCCCCATTTCTTAAGATTAGCTCTGCATCTCGTGGTGCCAGAGCGCAGTCTGTCCAGTGCCTTCCAAAGTCGGCCAGCCTTCCGTGTGCCCAGGGGGGAGTTTCTCATTGTTCTCAGCCACAGATTGAGGTTCCAAGTTTTAGCCTTCCACTTTTGGATTCTCACTTGCTGAGGTGTTCCTGTGAGTATCTCTGTTTCTTGATTTAAGACATTGGCATACTGGTTGATATTCAAACAGAGGCTGGGCCCAGATATGTCACTGCCTTGGTCCCTTCATTGTTGGCTGCTACTTCCTGGCAGATGTTAGGTGGTGCAACACTGGCTAAAACAGTATAATTTATCCAATGGTGTAGGACAGTGATGGGCAACCTTTAGAGCGTGGTGTGTCAAAATTCGCCAAAAAACCGAACATAATTCAGGTGGTGTGTCACTTCAAGAAAAAACCATAATTTCACAATATTTAGTATAAATAACCAAAAAATATATAATTGTAATATATAACTATATTTAATAAACCAAAACATTACATTACTATGCATTATTATTATTATTGTTATAACACTCAGGCAGTTGGAAGGGAGCCCCAAAGGTCATCTAGTCCAGCCCCCTTCTGCCAGGTAGGAGGATAGAATTATTATTACATTACTATGCATTATTATTATTGTTATAAGACTCAGGAAGTTGGAAGGGAGCCCCAAAGGTCATCTAGTCCAGCCTTGACATTTGGGTGTTGCTGGGCTATATAATTCCTCTGCCATTAAAAAGCATTCCAAACTCCAACAACTACTGAATTGAAATAAACTTGTCATATAGAACTTACATGCCAACTGTGAGAGCCAGGAGACCCAAACACTAACGCAGGCCTGAGACCCCCCCCCCCCCCCCGAGACGCACACTCAGTGCAAAAGCTTAATTCCCTGCTTTGTCCCTGCTTTGCAAATCCTCTTCGTCCTGATGCCTCTTCCTCCCATCCTCCTCTTCCTTGCCCCTCCTCTGCCCTTGCTGAAGCAGTGGCTGACTAGCGGGCAGGCCGCGTGTCAGTAGAAATGGCTACGCATGTCAGTACTGACACGCGTGTCATAGGTTCGCCATCACGGGTGTAGGACGTAGACATCCTGTGATAATGCGGCATGAGCCACATCTACTGTTTTATAGTGTGAGATGTATTCCACACTGAGCATGCATATTCAGCAGCAGAGTAGCAAAGCACAAGGGCAGATAGCTTCACTGTTTCTGGTTGTGATCACCAGGTTGTGCCAGTCAGCTTTCACATGATATTATTTCTAGCACCCACTTTTTGCTAGATATTCAAGCAGTACTTCTTATAAGTCAGAGCACAGTCCAGAGTGACTCCCAGGTATTTGGGTGCGCTGCAATGCTCCAGTGGGGTTCCTTCCCAGGTAATCCTCAGAGCTTGAGATGCTTGTCTGCTCTTAAGAAGAAAAGCACATATCTGCATTTTGGATGGATTAGGAATCAGCTGGTTTTCCCTGCAATAGGCAGTAAGCATTCCTAAAGCCTTGGAGAGCTTCTGTGCAACCATTTGAACAAAATGCATTATTATAGGCCAAATGTTTCAATAACAACAACAACAACAACAACAACAACAACAAGGAACTAGAGACTTTTGGGGATTTATCTTCAGGGGTTGAAAAAGTGCATTTTGGGGGCTGCTTGTCTTTACTGGAGCATATTTTCCATCTTAACCTAACCCAGTAGGCACTATGGAGTTTTTTGGAAATGAGTGAAATGTATCTGCTAGTTTCAATTAATCAAAGGAGAACACAAGACAGCTGTCCCTAGTTCAGGAAATGAGAATAGTAGTGACCGAAAGGCTTCCGGAAGTTTTTGAAAACTTGTCATAGAATAATTGAGTTGGAAGAGACTTCGTGGGCCATCCAGTCCAACCCCATTCTTCCAAGAAGCAGGAAAATTGCATTCAAATCAACTCCAACGGATGGCCACCCAGCCTCTGTTTAAAAGCATCCAAAGAAGGAGCCTCCACCACACTCAGGGGCAGAGAGTTCCACTGCTGAACAGCTCTCACAGTCAGTAAGTTCTTCCTAATGTTCAGGTGGAATCTCCTTTCCTGTAGTTTGAAGCCATTGTTCCATGTCCCAGTCTCCAGGGCAGCAGAAAACAAGCTCCCTCATCCCTATGACTTCCCCTCACCTCTTGATACATGGCCCTCATCATGTCTCCTCTCAGCCTTCTCTTCTGCAGGCTAAACACGACCAGCTCTTTAAGCCACTCCTCATAGGGATTGTTTTCCAGACCCTTGATCATATTAGTCACCCTCCTCTGGACACGTTCCAGCTTGTCAACAACTCCCTTCAATTGCGGTGCCCCGAACTGGACAGTGTGATTCCAGGTGTCCCTAAAACATGTGTCCTTTGTTATAAGAAATTCCCCCTAATTGATGGCTGGAAAGGTTTTGTTTCTTTTTCTTTGATATAGACTGGACATGGTGCCCTTCAAAAAGAACATGTGCATCATGTAATTTATGAATGTGGCCAATGTGCTAATTTTACAGACAAACGCATGACTGGCTGAACTGAAAACAATACTTTCACTTGATATTTAGGAAGCAACCAAGTGGTATATAGCCACTTCCTCTTTCTTAGCCCATTGTGAATTTGTCTGTCCTCTCTTGCATGTCTGAAAACCTGGTAACATAAGCATTGATGATACTTACTGCTTTGATCTTTAGTTGTCTCTTCCAGCAGCTGAAATGCATGCGCTAACTCAGTGTTTGCATTTTGGAGGTCTCTTTGCTCAGCAAGGCTCTCTTCCAGTCTCTTTTGCAGAGCACTAGCTTCTTCTTGCACCCTGTGAAAGTTGTTCTCCAAATCCTTAACCTGAAAGAAGAGCACAAAGGTCAACAAATGCTTCTGAAGTTCTCAGTGTCAGACCTCTTGCAAATGAAACCAAAAACACATCTGCCGTCATTCCGGAAGCTGTTTATGCTTAATGCACTTCTGCATTTTGCTGCTCACAGGCTCTGTCTATTTCTCAAGCCTGATGCCTGTGTGCCAAGCAGCTTCTTTCTTGTGCAAAGCACTTAAAGCCAACCCACCCCCAACACACACACATACACTTGGCTTCTCACTTCCTTTGCATTCAGGCTTTTGTAAGTTCCAGATGAACACACAAGTTCTGCTTTTGCTAAGACAGGATGTGCTATGGCAAGAGTTACCTTGCTGGTCTTCACAAAGCTCATCGCTTCCGAACACCTCAGAGATTTAATGAGGGACCCCATGTTAGGGTTTTATTCTAGCTACCTTTGGCTCCACACGTTTGTCTTGTTGATGGGCCCTAACCCTCATTGGAAAGTGACTTCTAATAACTAAACTGAATTCAGCTCCTGGGGTTGAGAGACTTCCCATACTCCCAATGGAGAGGAGACATGATGAGGGCCATGTATAAATATGTGAGGGGAAGTCATAGCGGGCTTGTTTTCTGCTGCCCTGGAGACTAGGATGTGGAACAATGGCTTCAAACTACAGGAAAAGAGATTCCACCTGAACATTAGGAAGAACTCCCTGACTGTGTAAGAGATCTGTTCAGCAGTGGAACCTTCAGCCCCAGAGTGTGGTGGAGGTTCCTTCTTTGGAGGCTTTTAAACAGAGGCTGGATGGCCATCTGTTGGGGGTGCTTTGAATGCAATTTTCCTGCTTCTTGGCAGGGGGTTGGACTAGATGGCCCATGAAGTCTCTTCCAACTCAATGATTCTATAGTTCTATGTATTTTGATATGCATTTTAATGAGGATCTACTTGTCTGTATTTGTATTGCACCACCTAACATCCGCCAGGAAGTAGCAGCCAACAATGAAAGGACCAAGGCAGTGACATCTCCAGCTCATCCCCTGTTTGGATATCAGCCAGCACATCAACAACTTAAATCAAGAAATAGTTTTCTAAGATCTACAGAGACACTCGCTGGAACGCCTCAGCAAGCGAGAGTCCAAAAGTGGCAGGCTCAAACCCAGAACCTCAACCAATGGCTGATACCAAATGAGAGACTCCCTCCTGGGCTCACAGAAAACTGGGCGACTTGGAAGTCGCTGAACAGACTGCACTCTGGCACCACAAGATGCAGAGCCAATCGTAAGAAATGGGGCTACAAAGTGGAATCCACGACATGCGAGTGTGGAGAGGAGCAAACCACAGACCACCTGCTGCAATGCACCCTGAGCCCTGCCACATGCACAATGGAGGACCTCCTTGCGGCAACACCAGAGGCACTCTAAGTGACCAGCTACTGGTCAAAGGACATTTAATCAACTACCAAGCTTGCAAACTTTGTGTTCTGTTCTGTTTGTTTGTTTGTTAAAAAATGCAACGCAACTGTTTGGTCTGCTCCTGACATGATAAATAAATTAATAAATTACCATGTTGTACCCTGACTTGAGCCATTTTAATTATTAGTTTACTGACACAAAAACACAGTACGTCACAGCAAACAAGATCTATATGCTGGATTTCATATCACAAAATCACAAGTTGAATACTTCCCAAGCGTCTAGGACTGTGTGATGTATTTTCGAATGATGTGCGCAGATCCAAGTAAGGTGGCTTTTTGCAGTTGACAGAATATGATTTTGTCAATGTTTATTGTTTCCAAATGCCGGCTGAGATCTTTTGGCATGGCACCCAGTGTGCTGATGACCACTGGGACCACCTGTACTGGTTTATGCCAGAGCCTTTGCAGTTCAATTTTGAGGTCCTGATAACGGCTGAGTTTTTCCTGTCGTTTTCCTCAATGCAACTGTCACCCGGTATGGCTGTATCGGCGTATAATGTGTGCAGATGCCAGTAAGGTGGCCTTTTGCAGCTGATGGTAATTCTGTCAGTGCCAATTGTGTTTAAGTGCAGGCCAAGGTCTTTAGGTACTGCATCTGGTGTGCTGATCACCACCGGGATCACCTTTACCGGCTTGTGCCAGGGTCTTTGCAGTTCGATCTTTAAATCTTCATATCGTGTCAGCTTTTCCAGTTGTTTTTCTTCAATCCTGCTGTTGCCTGGGATTTCAACATCGACAATCCATACTTGGTTTTTTAACACTGTTGTGAGGTCAGGAGTATTGTGCTCCAAAATTCGGAAATCCCAGAGTAGTTTGACGTGTTTATTTTCTGTAACCTTTTCAGGCTTGTGATCCCACCAGTTCTTTCTTGCAATCAGATGGTATTTGTTACACAAGTTCCAATGAATCATTTGAGCAATGGTGTTGTGCCTCTGCTTGTAGTCTGTTTGCACGATCTTCTTGCAGCAGTTGAAGGTGTGATCCATTGTTCATCTGCTTCTTTGCAGAGTCTACCCTTGAGATCTGTGTTCGACTTTTCAATTTTGCCAGTTTTCTTTTCTGCTCTGGATTGTGTTTTTATGGTATTCCCTCTTTGTCATTTGCAGTTGAAGCAGTTTTCTACTATTGACTTCCATCAATGTTGGTTCTTGGCTGCCTTTCACATAATCTGCCAGTGCATGTTTCCCCCCCCCCCCTTCTTCCTCTTCTATTATTATTGTTGTTGTTGTTGTTGTTGTTGTTGTTGTTATTATTATTATTATTATTATTATTATTATTATTATTATATCATCATCATCATCATCATCATCACCACCACCACACTGTTGACTCATATTTTGCTTGTGGTCGACTGAGACCACTAAACTCCCTCCAGCTTCAGCCAGCAACTTAGAAAACATACAGGTTCCAAAACCCAAATTACTCCAAAATTGTCTTCATGGGTGGCTGAGACAGTGACCTCTTTGCTTTCTGATAGTTCAGTGTACACAGTCTTTGTTCCAAGCACAATACGATTCAAAATACAGTGCATAACATAGCCTTCATATAAATACACGTTCAGTGCTTGTTTGTGTCCTTCAAAGGCTTCTACAATGTTCCTACATCCTTTCCCTCAAAAGGGAGGGAGAAAGGACAGCCACGTAAAGTACACAATGTACTCAAACACTTACCTTCTTGTCTGCATCCTCCACTTGCTTTGTTGCTTCTTGAAGTGCCAGTTTCAAGATGCCTGCTTCCAATACAATATCCTCTTTCAGTTGCCGGACTGATTCTAGCTCTTGCTCCCTGGGGACAAGAAGAGGCAACTCACTCCTTGCGTTGAAAAAGAAAGGTCTAGACTCCAATACATACTTTGGTACTGAACATTTTGAAACATAATACCCAATTAAAACCAGAACTCTTCCTTTTGGGATTAATGGATGAACAAAGGGAAAGGAGACATGGCAGATTATAAGGAGACAGGACGAGTTAGAGTGTTGTATGCACAAAGATGGGGGGCTTAAATAATACTGACCCCAGTCCCCCACCCAAGGGGATAGAAAAGGGGTGTCAGGGGGGTCATCAAAGACCATCAGAAAACACAGAATTTTCTGTTGACCATAGGGGTTCTGTGTGGGAAGTTTGGCCCAATTCTATCATCGGTGGGATTCAGAAAGCTCTTTGATTGTAGGTGAACTATAAATCCCAGAAATTACAACTCCCAAATGTCAACATTTGTTTTCCCCAAACTCTACCAGTGTCCATATTTGTGCATATTGAGTATTTGTGTCAAGATTGGTCCAGATCCATCATTTTTTGAGTCCACACTGCTCTCTGGATGTAGGTGAACTAGAACTCCAAAACTCAAAGTCAATGCCCCCCAAAGCCTTCCAGTATTTTCTGTTGGTCATGGGAGTTCTGTGTGCCAAGTTTGGTTCAATTCCATCGTTAGTGGAGTTCAGAATGCTCTTTGATTGTATGTTAACCATAAATCACAGCAACTACAACTCCCAAATGATAAAATCAATCCCCCTCCAATCTCACCAGAATTCAAATTGCAGCATATTGGGTACTTGTGCCAAATTTGGTCCAGTGAATGAAAATACATCCTGCATCCTCCCCCACAAATATACCTTTTTCATTGCTATCTCATTCAGCGTTTTATCATTTTATGTCGTGCATTGGGCCCACCCTCTGTGTTTGATTTTCCATTTTGTTATTTTGCACTGTTTAGTTTACTTGATTGGCTTATTTATTTTATTGTGGTGTTATTTTTGTTGTTTATATTTTATTTTGCTGTAATGTATCGCTGGGCTTGGCCTCATGTAAGCTGCTCCAAGTCCCCTTTGGGGAGATGGTGGTGGGTATAAATAAAAATTATTATTATTATTATTATTATTATTATTATTATTATTATTATTATTATTACATCAGATATTTACATTACGATTCATAACAGTAGAAAAATTACAGTTATGAAGTAGAAACAAAAATAATTTTATGGTTGGGAATCACCACAACATGAGGAACTGTATTGTGGGGTTGCAGCATTAGGAAAGTTGAGAACCACTGGAATAGAGCTTTCCATATTTTGATTGATGTGACTTCTGACACTTGTGCTTATACAGTATCCTGACTGGGAACTCTTAATAATATTCACTGATACTTACCCGATCCCTGAAATATAATGAAGGTAGACACTGATAACCCCACAACCCAAACACACATGAGTAAAAAGAAAAAAAAATACCTGGAGGAAAGTGCTCTCTTCAAATGGAGCTGCTCTGTCCTCATTCTCCTTAGGTTCCCTGCCATTTTTATAAGCTCCTTGTCCATGGATTCCTTTTGAGTATTTAAGAGTTCCAGTTTCTGAATCCAGATTGGTTTTTTATTCTCCAGGTTTTTCTGGATCTCCTGTATTGACATTTTAATCAAAGATGGAAAACCCACTCATTGTTTCTCTTGGTTAGACAAAGAGGATTCCCAACCAGTATCTGAAGTTCCAACTATACAGATGCAGGCAGGTGTAAATGTGCACACATAATATATCTAAATAATTCATTTGGTTCAGCAGTGGACCACATCTTCTAAGACCCCTTCCACACAGCTGAATAAAATCCCACATTATATGCTTTGAACTTGAATATGTCAGTGTGGACTCAGATAACCCAGTTCAAAGCAGATACTGTGGGATTTTCTGCCTTGGTATTCTGGGTTATATGGCTGCATGGAAGGACCTTTCAAGGTAATTGTTTCAGGGTTACATGTTGGTAGTGAGTGTGTCCAGACAAAAAACTTTGGAAAACTCCCCAAAACTCCAACCAAGGACTTTGAGATCATGGGTATTACGGTTTAACAAAGCAATCTCTATGCTTTGAGCACACCCCTTCCTTTTCTAGATCCCTCCCCTAAAGTTTTTGTCTAACATGCAAACCACAACACCATGCTTACTGTCATAAGCAAATTACTACATACTATATGCAGAGATCAAAGGAAATGCTTGGCACCTTATATCTCAGTCCATCAAACAGCAAAGGCATCTTGCTTGGCACTCAATGATGTTTGTTTGAGCATGCAAGGAATCAGAATCATAGAATCATAGAGTTGGAAGAGACCTCATGGGTTATCCAGTCCAACCCCCTGCCAAGAAGCATGGAAGAGACCTCATGGGTCATCCAGTCCAACCCCCTGCCAAGAAGCAGGCAGGGGGTTGGACTGACAGATGGCCATCCAACCTCTGTTAAAGCCTCCAAACAAGGAGCCTCCACCACAGTTAATGTGTGTGTCAACCATAAAATAAGATGTATGAAGTTGATTGGTCAGGCAATGCCCAGGGAGATGGCTGAACCTGGGACTTTTGAATACTGTTACATTTTTGTTTAGGCTTGAGCTATGCAAGTGCAGAGAGAGACAGTTTAAAGAGAGAAGCAGGGAGACAGAAGTTGGAGTGCTCTCTTGCTTCATGAGCTGACGAAGGTGTTTAACCAAATGGACAGAGAAAGACCATTTTAAATCTCTCATAAAAGGACATTATGTGAGTTGATGCAACTGATCACATTGTACATATGGTGTTCCGAACTACTTGTTCTTTATTGTTCACCTGCATGGCATATTTTATTTTCTGGCAAAGCGGTGTGTGGGCTGATCAAATGGTTTATTTTACATTATACCACAGTGTTTACCTCCAGTTTCTTCTCGTATGAGTCTTGCACATTTTCTTCAGAGTCTGTTGCCCAAAGCAGTCTCAGTCCTGCCAGTTCTTCTTGCTATAAAAAAGGGAGTCAGGTCACATTTTACTTCTATAACTTGAAAGTTGAGCCCCCGGTGGCGCAGTGGGTTAAACCCTGTGCTGGCAGGACTGAAGACCGACAGGTCGCAGGTTCAAATCCGGGGAGAGGCGGATGAGCTCCCTCTATCAGCTCCAGCTCCTCATGCGGGGACATGAGAGAAGCCTCCCACAAGGATGATAAAAACATCAAATCATCCGGGCGTCCCCTGGGCAATGTCCTTGCAGACGGCCAATTCTCTCACACCAGAAGCGACTTGCAGTTTCTCAAGTCGCTCCTGACACGACCAAAAAAAAAAAAACCTTGAAAGTTAGCCATGCATACACATAAATGTAATGTATTGTGAATGGGGCATGTACATTTAACCTGCTGAGTGATGTATATCTGAGGAAATGCTGCCATGGGATGGAACAGAGGCCAAATGTGGTGCATATACAACCTCATTTAAGATCAGTGTTGATCTCAGACATGTTCATCAGTAGCCATGGAGTAGCACTGAATGTCTATTGCTGGGGTAAGAACACAAAACTGTAGGGAAGGGGGAATGGAATGGAGTTTAGCTGGAGCCCTGAACAAGAACTACTCCATGATGGAACATATTGTTGCAGATCCCTCTTGTATACTAAGTGAACAGAGTTGGCAACACTAGGATGGGCAACTGTTACAGATTGGAAGGCCATGCCTCCATGTCCCCATTTTTTTTCATATAATGAGAAGAGTTGGAAGGGCCTGCAAAGGACATCTATTCCAACCCACTGCCACGCAGGAGTACACAATGACAGCACTCCTAAAAGATGCAAATCCAGCCTCTATTGAAAGAACTCCCAAGAAGGAGTGTCCCTCACCCTCTGAGTGTAGTTCCTTCTATTGCTGGTCCATTCTATTGTCTCTGAGGGTAGTCCATTCTCATAAAGTGAAAAAGTTCTTCCTAATGTTTGAGTGGAATGCCTTTTTGTGTAATTTGAAGTTATTTAACACTTAATAAAAACTTTCTTTGAACTCCACACCAACTGGGAACAGTGACAAGCAAATTTGCCATGGGTCACAGAACCACAGAATCATAGGATTGAATGGGACATCTGGACCAACCTCTGCTCAGTGCAGTAGTTGTCCATACACTTTTAGAAGCTATATAGTAAAGAAGACCCAGACTCTTTTAGGTATTGAATTTTTTTTAAGGAAGAAAATTTGTGAACTATATATGTGTGTGTGTGTGTGTGTGTGTGTGTGTGTGTGTGAGAGAGAGAGAGAGAGAGAGAGAGAGAGAGAGAGAGAGTCACCTGTTGACTTATAGTGACTTCATGGATTTTGCATAAGGTTTTCTTAGGCAAGGAATACTCTTACAAGGTTTTGCCAGTTCCTTCCTCAGAAATACAGCCTAGCCTACAGCAGTAGTTCTCAACCTGTTGGTCCCCAGATGTTTTCGCCTTCAACCCCCAGGAATCCTTACAGTTTGTAAACTGGCTGGAATTTCTGGGAGTTGTAGATCAAAACACCTGGAAACCCACAGGTTGAGAACCACTGGTCTACAGCATCTGGTAATTATTAGTTATCTCTAAGAATCATAGAATCAAAGAGTTGGAAGAGACCTCATGGGCCATCCAATCCAACCTTTATACATGGCTATCATATCTCCTCTCAGCCTTGGGCAGATCTAATTAACTTCTCAAGATCAGAGAGGCTCAGGTACCTTTATGACACTTAGATGGGCATTTAAAGCAGCCATATACTTCTCCTCCTCCATTTAGAATAATAGAATCATATAATTATAAAGTTAGGAAGAGACCTCATGGGCCATCCAGTCCAACCCCCTGCCAAGAAGCAGGAAAATCTCATTCAAATGACTCCTGACAGATGGCCATGCAGCCTCTGTTTCAAAGCCTCCAAAGAAGGACCCTACACCACAATCCAGGACAGAGAGCTCCGCTGCTGAACAGATCTCACAATTAGGAAGTTCTTCCTAATGTTCAGGTGGAATTTCATTTCCTGCAGTTTGAAGCCATTGTTCCGCATCCTAGTCTCCAGGGCAGCAAAAACAAGCCTGCCCCCATCTCCCTATGACTTCCCCTCACATATTTATACATGACCCTCATCATATCTCCTCTCAGCCTTCTCTTCTGCAGGCTAAACATGCCCAACTCATAAGGCTTGTTCTCCAGATCATTTTGGTCACCCTCCGCTGGACACATTTCAGCTTTTCAACATCTTCCTTCAATTGTGGTGTCCAGAATAAATAAACGAGGATTCTGGAGGATTTCCAAATACTCAAAGCTAATACTAATGCATCACGTCCACAAACCTCTACCTGCTGAAAGTGGTGGAAAAATCTGGCCCATATGCCACACTTTCCCCACCATTCCATAAAGACAGAGAAAAGAAGGTCTGTAAAACTAATAGAAGGCAGCAAAAGTATCTTCAGTTTCTGAAGCAATCAAAAGCTTAGAAAAGACTTCAATGACTTTTCCCCTTAGTATTTCTACTATCAGCAACAGTCCATTCCATACCAGGTTTTGGATAGTAGCCTTAAATTTTTCTCCCACTCGCTCTGGTCCTTGCAGGAGCAGTAAGACCTCCTTGTCCAGAGATTCCTCCAGCGCAGTCCATTCGATTCCAGGAACCTTAGAGGAAAAGAACAATGAAATAACTGACTCCATGCACTGGCCAATGGCTACTTTTACATATGCATTTTGTTCTGTATTGTCTTTTATATAATGTTGCAAACCGCTTTGGGTCCCGTTTAGGAAGAAAATAGCAATATAAATAAAGATATTATTATTATTTGAAACTCAACAAGAGGAGTCCACAGCAAACAAGGTCACTCTGCTGGCTGTTGTATTGGATCACACGGCGGACACTTCCCAAGTGTCTAGGACTGTGTGATGTATTGGTGAATAATGCGTGCAGATCCCAGTAAGGTGGTCTATTGCAGCTGGCAGATGGTAATTTTGTCAGCATCGATTGTGTTTAAGTGCAGGCCAAGGTCCTTAGGCACTGCACCCAGTGTGCCGATCACCACTGAATAATAATAATAATGATGATGATGATGATGATGATGATTTTGTGATACGAAATCCAGCATATAGATCTCATTTGCTGTGACATACTGTGCTTTTGTGTCAATAATAATAATATTTCCAAGACCACAGGCAGGGATTGTTTCCAGCACTGTTACCTAAGGCTTCTTCTTCTTCTTCTTCTTCTTCTTATTATTATTATTATTATTATTATTATTATTATTATTATATGAGTATTTAAAGATAGAACTTTAAAGACTGGCACAAGCCAGTAAAGGTGGTCCCAGTGGTGATCGGCACACTGGGGGCAGTGCCTAAAGACCTTGGCCTGCACCTAAAAACAATCAGCACTGAATAAATCACCATCTGCCAGCTGCAAAAGGCCACCTTACTTGGATCTGTATGCATTATTCACCGACACATCACACAGTTTTAGACACTTGGGAAGTGTCCAATGTGTGATCTAATACAAAAGCCAGCAGAGTGATCTTGTTTGCTGTGTACTAATCTTGTTGTGTATCTAATAATAATAATAATAATAATAATAATAATAATAATAATACAACTCTAGACTCAAATCCGGGCCTTCAAATCATGCTCATAAATAGGGGAAAGTATTGAGAGGTAACACACAATCACAGCACAGAGCCACCAAAATAAAACCTGGTAATAACTATTGTGTGGCACAAAACCAACACGTGAATGTTTTCTTCACCTCCAAACTGTCTATCCCACTACTCTTATCATGCATTATTTTTTTTTAAAGTGACAGAAATATTAGAAAAACATCACGCAGTGCAGCAAATTATTACTCATAATAGCAGTGAGTAATGATAATGAGTGTCTTTTTAAGTGCTGTAATCAGTAGCATGAGATATTTTCTGTTTGAACAATAATATTCTAAATCCTGGCCTCTGAATGGGATCTCCCACCTCTGATTGTCCTTGGGCCAGTTCCAGTTCACAGTGCAAGGAGTTGGGACTTTCAAGGACGCTGCTGTTGAACTTGTAAATTAAGGGGAAATTTATGCCATTCCTAACAAGAAGAAAGAGAAAAGAGCTAAGTAACTTTTGCTCAAAAAGAACTATTGTGAAGGATGAGAAATGTTTTTCCCGGAGACCAGACATACTTACGAGATGAGCTCTTGTTGCATTTGCTGGACATTGTTCACCAGTTTATTTTTCTCTACTCGCAGAGTCTAGAAATTCACATACAAAATTCTCTTAACATAGGATCTACAGGCAAAAAATAGCAGCCTCACCTTCCCCTTCCAGCCTCTGAACAAATCACTGGAAACATACCTCGATTACTGAGGAATATTCCGTAAGAGTAGACTTCATTTCCTGGATATGCAGTTCCTTCTGAGAATGGGTAAGAATCGGAAACATAGAAACAGAAGAAAAATGAAAGAATGCCCAAATACATTTGCCGAAACACGTCTTGGCATGCAAATTATTCCTAATCTGATTTTTTTTGTAAAATGAGTTGGATTTTTCTGTAAGTAGAGCTTTGGATTTCATGGATATTTATGACCAAACAGGCTGTACCCGCCACGCGTTGCTGTGGCCAGCCTTCTTCTTTCTCTCCTTTCTTTCTCTCATTCCTTCCCTCTCTCTTTCCTTCCTTCCTTCCCTTTTTTCTTTCCTTCCTTCTTTCCTTCCTTCCTTCCTTCCTTCCCTTTTTTCTTCCTTCCTTCCTTCCTTCCTTCCTTCCTTCCTTCCTTCCTTCCTTCCTTCCTTCTCTTCTTCCCTTCCTCCTCCCCTTTTCTTTCTCTTCCCCATTCTCCCCTTTCTTCCTTCTCTACCTATTCTTGGACTGTAACTCCCAGTAGTCCTCCTGATGGATCTACTTCCCTACCAATCTGTCTCCATCTAATCTATCTATCTAGAGGATTGCTGGGAGTTGCAGTCCAGAAACAGGAAATTGGAAATATATAGGGATTGGGATGCTCTCAAAGAAATCCAAGGAGAAGAAAGCTTGCATCTTGGAAGCAGTGCATTTGGATCAGCCTCCTTTCCTGTAGGGCCTGGTCTAGGGGATGCTGGGTGTTCTGGAACAGCTGTACCAGGAGCTCCAATTTTGTTTGCTTGGCATTGAATGTTTGTTTGTAGTCCTAAGTTTCAGGGACTCTTCAGACAGGTGGCTTCTTTTGGCTGCAGTTACAGGGTAAGCCATCTGTCAATTATCATTGGGTTCCCTAGTTCCGCCCCCTTTTTGGGCTTTGGAGGGAAGGGAGCCATTTCTTAGTTAGTCTCAGCCAGGTTAGCTTTTGTATAGGATGTGAGTAACTTCCCCTGTACAAAGGCTTCAACCTTTAAGAACTCCAGGGAAGCATTCCCACAGCTTTAAGAATTTCCAGGGTTACAGAAATTTCAACAGAAGCAGAAGGGAAAGAAATCCAGGGGAGAACAGCTTTAAGAGTATCCTAAAGAACTTCAGCTGGAGAACATCCACTGCCTTGCTGGTAGTGCTTCTCAGCGTCCGAGAAGCAGTTTGGCCTGGTAGCGGAGCCCACACCAGTGAGGGTTGGATCTCAGTCAGCCTGGGAGAAGTTAAAAAGGGGAATTTTCCTTTAAAGAAAACGTTATTGAAGATAGTGCCTGTCCTCTGTGGACAAGATTGAGAGAACCAATGCTTTACCAAGAAAACCTTGAAGTTACTGTTTGATTTCATTAATAAAAGACTTTGTTGTACTTCTATAGCCATCTGAAGATTCTTTGTATTGGAAACCTTTGTATTGAGGTGGTAGCAATCAATTCTAGATCTTAGCATGAACTTCAAAGGAACTCTGTCAGATGCAGAACCTATTTTGGGCATCGGGTTCAGCACGTTAGGGAGATTTTTGGTCCAGAATTCAGAACAGATCAATTCCTGGACTTTACTCTATAGCCTAAATAAAAAATCTTTTCTGGACTGGACTACTTTGGGTGCTTTGATAGGAGAAAAGCTAGAATCATATACACAAAAAGCATCTTAACATACTTTGGATAAAACCAGTCCATCTGAATCCAGAAGGCCACTAATCTGAGTAGATCTTGTGAACTTTAGTCTTTAGAGCTATGGTTGCTTTGTGCCTTCAAGTTATTTCTAATTTAGGAGAATCTTAAGGTGAATCCATCATGGGGTTTTCTTGGCAAGGTTTGTTCAGAGGAGGGTTGCCATGGCTTTCTTCAAGGCTGAGAAGGTGTAATTTGTACAAGGTCACTTAGTCAGTTTCCTTGGCCAAGTGGGGAATTGAACCCTAATTTCCAGTACTCCTAGTCCAACAAACTCGTTCTAACAGACCATGTTGGCTCTCAAGGTGGTTTTGAAAAACGCAATTTAGAATGACCAGCCAGAGAACTTTTGAGTCTTGTTGAACTACAAATCCCAGGAGACCATATGATGCAGCCATGGTCGTCAAAATGGAACTGCCATTGTATCTTAAACCACTATATCACATGGTGATATAACCATGAGTAGCCTGGAAATCTAAGAAACTGTAGCACAAAAATGTAACTTTATCTAATGTATTGTCAAAGGCTTTCATGGCCGGAATCACTGGGTTGTTGTAAGTTCCAGGCTGTATGGCCATGTTCCAGAAGCATTCTCTCCTGACATTTCATCTGCATTTATGGCAGGCATCCTCAGAGGTTGTGACGACTGTTGGAAACTAGGTCAATTGGGTTTTCCTAAAAAAAATCCCCTCTAAAATCATAACAGGTGTTCTTTATTTAAACAACGCTTAAAAACAGGGTAATTCCAGAGAAGAAACAATCAGGGCCAGCTAATCACCTCCCAACAAAGGATTCCCTTAGGCGGTAAGAAGCCAAACCTTGAAACTGCTAGGTCATTAAAGGCTAATCAAGGTGGAGAATTGAAACATTTACACCTACCTCAAACAGACAAGAGTTCTTTCTCCCACCCTGGACATCCCACAGATATAAAAACCAAATTTTCCTAGTTTCCAACAGATCTCACAACCTCTGAGTTGCCTGCCATAGATGTGGGTGAAACGTCAGGAGAGAATGCTTTTGGAACATGGCCCAGAAAACTCACAGCAATCCAACTATATCAAAATTTATCTTTTCTCTTTCATTCTAAAAAATGGAACTGAGAAATCCACTGTTCCCGAATATGGAAGTTTATTTTTGCTCTTAGAGTCTCACTAGTAATCAATATAGCCACATGTACAAGAACAGCAAAGGAAAAACAAGCATGACAGAAATGCCAGCTCTCAAAATGTCAACTCAGGTGAAGGACTGAGTTGTTATTGCTCTACCTCTGAATATGACATTCATGGTGTTGATTGTGCTTTCCTCCCCATCCCCAAGTAATTCAAATTAGCCACAGGTGTTTGGAGCAGGAAGAAGTTATGCAAAACCAGGATCAGCCACAGCAAAGCAGAAGTTGACAAACAGAAAGCATTTTGTTACTGCAAACATCTAGTTTGATCCTATCTAGCTTTGAATATGTTACAGAATTATACCCTTACTTGACAATGCTTCTAACTAGTTGGCGTTTTTCCCTTACGAAAAACTACTAAAACAAGTTTCCAAAGATATGAGAAAATAGAGGGGTGTTTCAAAAAAGAACTTAAATCTCCTTTTTCCTATTAAGACATATTGTGAAAAATTATGCTGTGCATGCTTCAAAGAACCATCACTACTAATGAATGCAGATTGACACCACTTTAACTGCCATGACTTAATGCTATAGAATCTTGGTAGTTGTGGTTTCACAAAGTCTTCAGCCTTCTCCGCCAAGAGTATTGCTGCCTCACCAAACTATAACTCCCAGGATTCCATAGCATAGATTGATTTCAAAGTGCATTACTTCTGCATTTTAGATGTACCCTAACCTATCCTGACCAGCAATGTGTAAGTAGGTTGCTGTGAGTTTTCTGGGCTGTATGGCCATATTCCAGAAGCATTCTCTCCTGACGTTTCACCCACATCTATGGCAGGTATCCTCAGAGGTTGTGAGATTTGCTGGAAATAAGACAAGTGGTGTGTGTGTGTGTGTGTGTGTGTGTGTATGGAATTTCCTGGGTGGGAGAAAGAACTCTCGTCTGTTTGAGGAAAGTGTGAATGCTGCAATTGATTGTTGGGGCATGGAAGAAATCAGTTGGTGAGTGTATTACTGAAAATGCAAAGCACAAAGCAGATTGATTGGGCCATGCCCAGGGAGCTAGATGAGACTGGGAGTCTTGGCAACAGTTACATATTTAGAGTTCAGCTGTGCAGGAGCTTGCACAGAGAAAGAAAGTTCTTGCTTCATGAGCTGCTGGAAGGAAATTTTCCACGTGGATACCTAAAAACCATTTGAATCACTCTCAAAAAGGATATTGTGTGAGTCAATGCAACTGTTCACATAATTGTATAAATATTGCATTACAAAGAGTAAACTACTTGTTCTTTACTGAGAATCTGTGGCATATTTTCTTTCCCTGGCAAGACAGTGTGTGGACTGGTAAAACATGAACTACATGTGATTTTCATTATGCTACGTTGATCACCTTGATTAGCATTGAATAGCCTAGCAACTTCCAAGTGTTAGCTGCTTGTTGTTGTTGTTGTTGTTCATTCGTTCAGTCGTCTCCGACTCTTCGTGACCTCATGGACCAGTCCACGCCAGAGCTCCCTGTCGGCCGTCACCACCCCCAGCTCCTTCAAGGTCAGTCCAGTCACTTCAAGGATGCCATCCATCCATCTTGTCCTTGGTCGGCCCCTCTTCCTTTTGCCTTCCACTTTCCCCAGCATAATTGTCTTCTCTAGGCTTTGCTGTCTTCTCATGATGTGGCCAAAGTACTTCAACTTTGTCTCTAGTATCCTTCCCTCCATGAGCAGTCGGGCTTTATTTCCTGGAGGATGGACTGGTTGGATCTTCTCGCAGTCCAAGGCACTCTCAGAACTTTCCTCCAACACCACAGCTCAAAAGCATCGATCTTCCTTCGTTCAGCCTTCCCTAAGGTCCAGCTCTCACATCCGTAGGTTACTACAGGGAATACCATGGCTTTGACTAGGCGGATCTTTGTTGCCAGTCTGATGTCTCTACTCTTTATTATTTTATCGAGACTGGACATTGCTCTCCTCCCAAGAAGTAAGCGTCTTCTGATTTCCTGGCCACAGTCTGCATCTGCAGTAATCTTTGCACCTAGAAATACAAAGTCTGTCACGGCCTCCACATTTTCTCCCTCTATTTCCAGTTGTCAATCATTCTTGTTGCCATAATCTTGGTTTTTTTAATGTTTAGCTGCAACCCAGCTTTTGCGCTTTCTTATTTCACCTTGATTAGAAGGCTCCTCAGCTCCTCCTCGCTTTCGGCCATCAGAGTGGTGTTAGCTGCTACCAGTATTAAAAAACTCTAAAATCAGGACAATAAAGAAAGAACAGGGAGCCCCCGGTGGCGCAGTGGGTTAAAGCACTGAGCTGCTGAGCTTGTTGACCAAAAGGTCACAAGTTCGATTCCGGGGAGTGACGTGAGCTTCTGCTGTGAGCCCTAGCTTCTGCCAACCTAGCAGTTCGAAAACATGCAAATGTGAGTAGATCAATAGGTACCACTCCAGCGGGAAGGTAGCAGCGCTCCATGCAGTCATGCCGGCCACATGACCTTGGAGGTGTCTACGGACAAGGCCGGCTCTTCGGCTTAGAAATGGAAATGAGCTCCACACCTCAGAGTCAGACATGACTGGACTTAATGTCAGGTGACAACCTTTACCTAAAGAAAGAACAACACTCAAAAGCAGGGGAATTCCAGACAAGAAACCATCAGGGCCAGCTAATCATCTCCCAACAAAGGATTCTCCCAGGCAAGAAGCAGCCATGCCTTGAAGCTGCAAGGTTATTCAATGCTAACCAAGGTGATCAAATGCAGGATTCCCACTTGCCTCAAACAGACAAGAGTTCTTTCTCCCACCCTAGACATCATTCAACAGATCCATAAATCCCACTTGTCTTGTTTCCAACAAACTTCACAACCACTGAGAATGCCTGGAATCGTCAGGAGAGAAAGCGATACAGCCTGGAAAACTCATAGCAACCCACTGATTCCAGCCACGAAAGCCTTCAACAACACATTGTATAAGTGTATTGGGACATTAAGACATCCCATCAAGAGAGAAATTGCATTTCATGTCTTGATTTTGAAAATGTTTCTCATTTGTGCACAAAAAAAATTGGACTTTGTGCAAAAATGAGTTTTGTGCAGAAACATTTTGTGCAGAAATGTCCTGAAATGTGCAGAAATGTCCTGAAATAATTAAAAGATGTGCAAAACCTTTAACTAATTTTACCCAACAGGGCAAAAGAAAAATGAAGAAGAAAAGAAACTTTTTGCTGTCCCATAGAAACACAAGTAAGGGAAGGTTTGTATATTTAACTCTAATGCTAGCACAATAACAACCTTAAGACCATACTTAAAGTTGCTGAATGTAATCAAGGAATAATAATTCCAAGATATTCGTGACTGAACCAATCACAGTGAGAACCTCTTGGGAGACTGCTGCCTTCAAAGATTCCTTTCTCCCAGTGGAATTGCTCCATCTGCTGTTGACAAATAGCCATGCAGAACATAAGACATACTTGCTCCATTACACGATTAGGACGCGGAACAATGGCTTCAAACTACAAGAGAGGAGATTCCATCTGAACATGAGGAAGAATTTCCTGACTGTGAGAGCCGTTCAGCAGTGGAACTCTCTGCCCCGGAGTGTGGTGGAGGCTCCTTCTTTGGAAGCTTTTAAACAGAGGCTGGATGGCCATCTGTCAGGGGTGATTTGAATGCAATATTCCTGCTTCTTGGCAGGGGGTTGGACTGGATGGCCCATGAGGTCTCTTCCAACTCTTTGATTCTATGATTTTCACATTCAGCCAGTTTGCAGTCTATCTCTACAGAAACACCACAATAACTACTAACCTTAAGTAGGGAAGCGTCTTTGCTCCCCAGCATGCTCTCGTACAGATGTACTTGCGTCTAGGAAGGAAGAGCAAACACACTTTAACTGTCCTATTATCTTGATTATGGATACTTGCAAAATATAACCACCACTTGAAAATTGACATTTTTTTTTTTACCCAGCAGAGTCAAAATGGTAGAAACAACTTGCCTGCAGCTCAGCCATATTTCTGGACAACTCTACAATCTTCCTCTCGAGACCATCTGAATCCAGAGCACTTCTGATGTTCTAGATTAAAGCACATGCCATGTGTCATGAACAGCAAGATGATTTTTTTTATTTATTATGAAGTGACGGATTTTTTAGCCCTTGAGACTATCCATCACTATCCTGGGTTCTCAGCTCGTCCTGAGAACTTTGGTTCCTTCAATTTATTTACAGGGCCGGGCTTTAGCACAACAAGTTAACCACCAGCTGCAATAAATCTTGCCAATCAAAAGGTTGGCAGTTCGAAGCCTCGGTCAGGGGTGAGTACCTGACCTTCAGCCCAGCTCCCTGCTCACCTAGCAAATCAAAAAGAGCTGTGAATAGATAAATAGGTGGGGAGGTGTTTTAATGGCACCATAAGGAAATACCAGAAAATTTCGGCAATTCGATCAAAAAGAGGAAGTCTGAATAGGGCTCTTCGGCATGGAGTGATAGTACCCTCCCTCCCCGATGGCTGAAATCGAGCACAACCTCCAAGACGCCAAAGATGAGGAATCTGCTCTGAGTCTCCTTCAGGGTGAGAAGGGCAAAATATAAATACTGTAAATAAAATAATAATAATTTATATTCTGTCCTTCTCACCCCAAAGGGGACTCAGGGCGGATCACAGAACATATATACGGCAACATTCAATGCTGTTACACACAAGACAGGACAGACAACAGTACAGATAGAGGTATATAGGCTTTTCTCATCTTCAGCATCTTGGAGGTTGTGTTCAATACTGGCTATGGGGGGGGAGAGGGTGCTGTCATTCCATCCTCCATGTCAAAGAGCCCTGTTCACAGACTTCCTCCTTTTTTGATTGAATCGTTGGTATTTTCTGGTATTTCCTTATGGTGCCATTGACACACCTCCCTGCTAAGCAGTACCTATTTCTCTACTCACAGCTATTTTTGATCTGCTAGATGGGCAGTGAGCTGGGCTGAAGGTTAGGTGCTCACCCCCGACCCAGGCTTTGAACTTCCAATCTTTTCATTGGCAAGATTTATTGCAGCTGGTGGATAACCTGCTGTGTTAAAGCCCGGCAGAAATTTTGCAGGGCTATACAACTAAGCAAAGAGAACACACACACACACACACAGCTGATTATATTCTTACCTCTTCTTGTAATGAGGAAATCTTGAGAATGAGAGTCTGGTTGTCTTTTTCCTGGGTGAAGAAAAACAATGTAATGATGGAGGGGGAGTGGACAAGAGATATAACCAGCACATATAGAATTACTGAGAGGCAATACAACAAATGAGAACACAGTGGATTCTATAGGTTTGATTCCAGGACCACAAGCCATGGATGCTAAAGTCCCGTTATGTACAAGGACACAATAAAATAGCAAAATCAAAGTTAGCTTCTTGGAATGTTTTTGAATATTTTGAAGCCATGGATGATTGAATTTGTGAACACAGGGGGCTGATTGCACTGACTTATTTATTCCTTCAATATGGCATCATGTTTCGACCAACCCTTCTAGAGACCAGCATTTAATTTCATGTATTTTGTTTTATATTTTATAACTCCTCTGCCTTTTCTAAACCCAGCTTGAGCGTCTGGCAACTCTTGCTCCATGTATTGCTGGAGTCTTCCTTGCAAGATCTTGAGCATTACCTTACACAAAAGGAACAAGACACCAAATTACCAATATCCGCTGGATAATGGAGAAAGGCAGGGGGTTTCAGAAAAACATATATTTCTTTTTCATTGACTATTCTAAAGCCTTTGACTGTGTGGGTCATAATAAACTGTGGCAAGTTCTTGGTGGGATGGGCATACCAAGCCCCCTTGTCTCTCTCCTGAGGAATCTGTACAAGGACCAAGTAGCATCAGTAAGAACTGACCATGGAACAACAGACTGGTTCAAGATTGGGAAAGGTGTATGGCAGGGTTGTATACCCTCACCCAACCTATGCAACCTGTATGCAGAACACATCATGCGATGTGCGGGGCTTGACGAATGCAAGGCTGGGGTAAAAATTGGTGGAAGAAACATTAACAACCTTAGTTATGCAGATGACACCACTCTGATGGCCGAAAGCGAGGAGGAGCTGAGGAGCCTTCTAATCAAGGTGAAAGAAGAAAGCGCAAAAGCTGGGTTGCAGCTAAACATTAAAAAAAACAAGATTATGGCATCAAGAATGATTGATAACTGGAAAATAGAGGGAGAAAATGTGGAGTCAGTGACAAACTTTGTATTTCTAGGCGTGAAGATTACTGCAGATGCAGACTGCAGCCAGGAAATCAAGAGATGCTTACTTCTTGGGAGGAGAGCAATGGCCAATCTCAATAAAATAGTGAAGAGTAGAGACATCAGACTGGCAACGAAGATCTGCTTAGTAAAAGCAATGGTATTCCCCGTAGTCACCTGTGGATGTGACAGCTGGACCATAAGGAAAGCTGAGCCTTCCTAATGGTCCACATGCTTTTGAAATGTGGTGTTGGAGGAAAGTTCTGAGAGTGGGTTGTTGTAGGTTTTTTCGGCCTGTATGGCCATGGTCTAAGAGGCATACTCTCCTGATGTTTTGCCTGCATCTATGGCAAGCATCCTCAGAGGTAGTGAGGTCTTTGGAACTAGGAAAAAGGGTTTATATATCTGTGGAATGACCAGGGTGAGACAAAGGACTCTTGTCTGCTGGAGCTAGGTGTGAATGTTTCAACTGACCACCTTGATTAGCATACAATGGGCTGACTGTGCCTGGAGCAAACTTTTGTTGAGAGGTAATTAGATGTCCCTGCCTGCTTCCTCTCTGTTGTTGTGCTGTTGCAATTTTAGAGTTTTTAATACTGGTAACCAGATTTTGTTCATTTTCATGGTTTCCTCCTTTCTGTTGAAATTGTCCACATGCTTGTGGATTTCAATGGCTTCTCTGTGTAGTCTGACATGGTGGTTGTGAGAGTGGTCCAGCATTTCTGTGTTCTCAAATAAAATGCTGTGTCCAGGTTGGTTCATCAGGTGCTCTGCTATGGCTGACTTCTCTGGTTGAAGTAGTCTGCAGTGCCTTTCATGTTCCTTGATTCGTGTTGTGAGGCCGCGACAAGATCCAACCAGTCCATACTTCAGGAAATAAAGCCTGACTGCTCATTGGAGGGAAGGATGTTAAGAGGCCAAGATGAAGTATTTTGGCCACATAATGAGAAGACAGGAAAGCTTAGAGAAGACAATTATGCTGGGGAAAATGGAAGGAAAAAGGAAGAGGGGCCGACCAAGGGCAAGATGGATGGATGGCATCCTTGAAGTGACTGGCTTAACCTTGACGGAGCTGGGGGTGGCGACGGCCGACAGAGAACTCTGGCGTGGGCTGGTCCATGAGGTCACAAAGAGTCGGAAGCGACTGAACGAATGACCAACAACAACAACATTTTATAACTCCAGGGACTCTCATACAGTATTAAAAGAACTTTGTTATGCACCTCCCACCGATGAAAAAAATTCAGTACTGAGTTGCTGTGAGTTTTCTGGGTTTTATGGCTATTTTCCAGAAGCATTCTCTCCTGATGTTTCACCCACATCTATGGCAGGTGTCTTCAGAGGTTGTGAGGTCCTCACAACCTCTGAGGATGCCTGCCATAGATGTGGGTGAAATGCCAAGAGAGAATGCTTCTGGTACATGGCCATACAGCCTGGAAAACTCACAGCAACCCAGTGATTCTGGCCATGAAAGCCTTCGACAACACAAAATCAGAACCTTTTCTGTATTATGAAAGTCCAGGGGAAAATATCCACATATTCTGAAGCACGTATATTTTATCCACAAAGAGCAGAAACCTTTTTTGTAAAATGGAAGTCATGTTTCATCAGAAACTTGGCAGTGAGCTCTTTCAACATCACATGTGGTTCTTACAGATTACACTATCTGGATCATAATCAGCTCCAAACCTCTGATTTAGGTAACAAACATTAGTATATAATTATACTAATTAATTATATAAATATAAAATTAGTATATATTAGTATAACCACTTTGAGTCCCCCCAGGGGTGAGAAAGGCGGTATATAAATACGGTAAATAAAATAAATAAATATATGAGAGACCACCTACTAGCTGTTTACTTTGGGCTGCCATCTTCAAACTTTTCTCTTCAGAAGCACTGAGGTTATTCTTTGCTTCTTCCAATTCCTCTTTTAGAACCTTAATTCGAGAGATAGACTGCTGGAAACTGGAAAGAACCAAAACCACCAAGTCTATTATAAGGGACTGTTATAAGGGACTCCACTTAAATTGTCATGTGGCTGGTGGTTTCCATATCAGTGGGATGGTGAATCAACTCAGAGGTCCCTTCCACAATACCCTTATATCCAAGGATCTGATCCCATATTATCATCCCAGGACATGAAGGCAACAGTCTTCTTCTGTTGCCGTTTCTTAAGGAGTAATGATTCACATACATACTGCCAGTAAATCCAAAGACAGGACGTAGTAATTCACATAATTACCTGTTATGTCCACCTTGATTTTATCTATTAAGGGCCCCCAAGTTTCCCAAGTACAACATCTTATTACCTAAGACTTTGGGGACTTCATGAGCATGTGCAGTCTTCATTAGAAGGCAACAAATGGCTAGGCACACCCAAGGAATCAAGCTCAACCAAAAGAAACACATATTTGTGGATTTGATCATTCATGGCTTTGATTAAAATCTTCTATCTAGGAATATCTAGGTCCTCCAGTGTATCTATATGATCAGCTGCCTTCAGCCATGCTGGAGGATCTAGAGATCTCTAAAGAGGACACCTCTCTAGAAATCTCTTGGCTCCCCAAGTCTTTGGTTGGTTTCCAGTTGACCATAGATAGAGACAGGATGGAAAACTTTGAAATTTCTAGAAAGATGTTCTAGAAAGATGTTCTCTCAGAATAAAAGGAATATTGTGTCCAAATCTGGGCACCACAATTGAAGAGAGATATTGACAAGCTGGAATGTGTCCAGAGGGGGATGACTAAAATGATCAAGGGCCTGGAGAACAAGGCCTATGAGGAGCGGCTTAAGGAGCTGGGCATGTTTAACCTGAAGAAGAGAAGGCTGAGAGGAGACATAATAGCTATGTATAAATATGTGAGAGGAAATCATAGGGAGGAGGGAGAAAGCTTGTTTTTTGCTGTCCTGGAGACTAGGACGCAATGGAACAATGGCTTCAAACTACAAGAAAGGAGATTCCACCAGAACCTTAGGAAGAACTTCCTCACTGTGAGAAGTGTTTAGCAGTGGAACTCTCCGCCCCAGAGTTTGGCAGAGGCTCCTTCTTTGGAGACTTTTAAACAGAGGCCGGATGGCCATCTATCAAGGGTGCTTTGAATGCGGTTTTCCTGCTTCTTGGCAGGGGGTTGGACTGGATGGTCCATGAGGTCTCTTCCAACTCTAGGAGTCTATGATTCTATACAAATGCTCTAAATAAAAAAAATAAAAAAATGGAGATCAAACCCAAAACATGGCTATCAGTGGCTATTGGACACATAATAGCTTCATGCATTTTTTCAGATTTTTATATTTCTTGTAGAGACAATTTGGAAGGACACATAGAATTATAGAATCATAGAATCAAAGAGTTGGAAGAGACCTCATGAGCCATCCAGTCCAACCCCCTGCCAAGAAGCAGGAATATTGCATTCAAATCACCCCTGACAGGGGGCTGGATGGCCATCTGTCAGGGGTGATTTGAATGCAATATTCCTGCTTCTTGGCAGGGGGTTGGACTGGATGACCCATGAGGTCTCTTCCAACTCTTTGATTCTATGATTCGATGTGTCCTTCCAAACTGTTCTTCAATTGCAACTCTCAGCAAGCCTTGCTAATGTAGCCAAACATGAGTAACAGGCTGTTAATTGCACATGGGTTGCTATCCACTTTGAAGGTTGTTTGGGTTTTGTACAGCTAAAATGAAATATTTGGAAGGGACAGCATTCACACATTGACTATTCCTATGTGTGTGTGTTTGTGCATGCATGAACATGCACATACAAACTGCCTGATCTCTCTATCTATCTGTTTGTCAGTCTATCTCAAAATAAGATGTCAGAGCTCAAGATTTCAGTTTTCAACCAAATCTAGATGGTTACCGAAAGCTATATGCTCTGGAATTAAGCATTATGAAGTCTGTCACTTAATGTCCAATACTTCTAGACTTAACTTAAATTCAGTATAGTCCACCTTTTTATCTGGTTGCGGAGCTCCCCGGTTTCTTCCATTAGTCTGTTGTTGGTCTCCTCCATGGCATCCAAGGACCGCTTCAACTGGCCATTCTCCTCTTGAAGCTTTTGGTTGTTGAACTGCAGATCTGCTATGCAAGTGATCAAGTCAGATGTTTCCCTGGGTATTCAAGGAAAAAAGGCATGTTTCAGGCATATTTTCAATAACTGTCTACTGCAGTGGTTCCCAACCTTATTTTGACCAGGGACCACTTTGACCAGAGACCGCTCTCCAACATTAGTACCAAAAGGGTTACGAATCTGTTTTTGGTCAACTTTAGATTCGGCTTGGTTATTTGGGGGTGTTTATTCAGAATATTGCATCGGATAGACCACATCAGATCTAGTTTCCAATATGCTATCCAGTTGTTACCATTGGCTGGCCCACAGAACACCATATTTAATAAGCCTCGGCACTATACGATGGTTTCACGAAACCAGTTGTTCCCGTTGTAGACCATATTTTAGTTATCGTGGACCACTGGTGGTCCATGGACCACAGGTTGGGAACCACTGGTCTACTAGATATACAGTACTATGAACTAGACTGCCATTTTGATTGCTAGTTCAACTGCCATTTCCCCTTTATCCATATTTTCAATGATGCAAAGTCAACAGTAGGAACAACAGCTAATTGCAATGAATACATTTGACCACCCAAATCTTCCCTATGTGTCCCTTCTACTTTTTTCTTGCCAATGTTCTTCCATGAGTATCATGCCCTCCCATACCTGCAATTCCCAAATTCCAGATGACACACCTGTTGTGTCCACTGTACAAGCGTCTTTTCTACATCCCATTCCTTGACCTCTGTAGTCCTCTTATATGTTGAGCAACTGCCCTTCCAACTTTGTCAGGACTGACAAAGGTCAACCGATGGGTTTCCATGGTTAAGAAGGGATTCACACCTGACACAAAGTTTGTGTACATAGAATTATCTGAAAGCAAAGATGTCACTGTCTCAGCCACCCATGTGGATAATTTCTAAATTTGGAGTGTTTTGGATGTTTTAATTCCACATAAAGGATACTCAACCTGTATGTGACCAATAATGAAAGTTTCCCAACAGATCTACTTATGGAAGTGACCTGACAGCATCTTGAAGAAGCTGCCTTTTAAAAAACCTAATCGCTATTTTGGTGATGCAATGAATGTATCTCCATTTGCCACAGAGTGTAAGGACCAATACACATGCAATTCAATAAGAAACCCAAAACAAAACATAACACCAAACTGTTTCAGTTGGAGGAGTTGTTTGTTTGCTTTTGTTTGTTTGTGTAGGTTTTTTGTTACACATTGTTTGTCACCGCACTTGCTATCAGAAAATAAAGGGTGCTTACAGGTCTCCTCGGGACACATCTCCACCAAGTGCCTCTAGGCTTCCAGAAGTTACATTCATTCTCATAGGAGTCCTTCGAGCTGCAAATAAGGTATTTCAGGTACAGATCACAGAATAGATAAGACTTTTTACATTTATACTAAGTATTTTAATGTCTTCCTAGGTATCTTTGTCCAGTCCACATGACTGAGCTACTTCAATGTCTGGCCTACCCCCAATCTTTAACAATTCTCCCGAGAATATGTCCTTTCATGCCCAGGGTCATCTCAAAACTAAACACAGAATATTCTTTCGTATTAATTCGCTTGTGTTTTTTTTTTGTTCCCGTGTCAGGAGCGACTTGAGAAACTGCAACCTCTGAGGATGCTTGCCATAGATGCAGGTGAAACGTCAGGAGAGAATGCTTCTAGAACATGGCCACATAGCCTGAAAAAACTACAACAACCCAAACTGCAAGTCACTTCTGGTGTGAGAGAATTGACCGTCTGCGAGGATGTTGTCCAGGAGATGCCTGGATGTTTTGATGTTTTACGATCCTTGTAGGAGGCTTCTTTCATGTCCCCGCATGGGGAGCTGGAGCTGACAGAGGGAGCTCATCCACATTCTCCCCAGATTCAAACCTGTGACCTTCAGTCCTGCTGGCACAAGGGTTTTAACCGGGGGGGCTCCTCTAGTGCTATTAATAAAACACTTTCATCCCATACCCTGAGGCCTTTTACACTATTACACTATTATAATACCATGAAACTATTTTAACTGCCATAGTTCCATCCAATGGGTTCCTGGGATTTGCTTTTAAGGCAGGCATGCCTCTAATTCTCAGCCCTGCTACTTAGATGTATTTACTTTTTGATTTTTCTATAGAACACCAAGTAAGGGACTGAGCCTAGGAGGTTTTACAAGTGAAGCATATGCTCCACTTTGTGATCCCTGGCTCAAAGTTTATCTCCTAGTATGTCTTTCTCTAAATTAAGTCTTCCATAGCACATAATAAGCATCATACCTCCTGGAATGCCTTCTGTGGTTGGCTCTATCATTACTGTTTCTTCTCTGGGTGATGTTGTGGGAGAGAAAGAAAAGAGATTTGATGTTAATGTGTCCAAAACATAGACTTAAATTCAACTGTTTGTCTTTGGAGAAGCAGATGCATTTCATTGATTAGCACCACCGTTGACTAACAAAGTTCCCACTGATTCAATGGGTTGCCTCTGGTTGAGATTAAGAACTCAATCTAGGCCAAGTATCAGCAACCGTGGAAGGCAAGAGACCATGAGGGGTCCACATCACTTTGAACCTGCTTTTACAAAACATCCTCTAAATTGTGCTCCAAATGTTTTGGGTTTTTCCCCCTTTGCATTGGCTTTCATATTCTGACCCCCTCCTCTCCCTGCTACAGAGTTAACTGAATACAACCTACTTTTGCCCTTGAATTCTGTTTGCAGCAATTGAATTAAGCTGAAAACAAAAGTGGAGTGTAGGAGGAGGAAAAAGAAACTGGGACACTTCAAAAACAGCTGGATAAGTGAGATGAAACAGGATTGATCCAGACTGTTGCCACCAATTTGGGATAATTTGTGTCAAATCCTGCTGGTGTCAAATCCTCTTTATTTTCTCAAGCTTTGAATCATGTCCTGACAGTTGGAAGGTATGCTAGTGGAGGTGGTGAAATTATAACCTTCTACATGATGCTGAGCATCTTTCATGATGATTGATTGATGCTGATGGCTCCTGGAGTCAAAAATGTTTGAGGAGCACATAGGTCCTTCAACTTTCCTTCATGCTCTCTCTATGGCCCTCACTTTATTACCAGATACAATCATGGTTAAAAATGAAAATTACATGCATCACCCAGGAAAATATTCAAAGAGAGAGAGAGAGACTAGATAATAGGTTACAACATGAAACATGCTACAAATAAAGAAAGTTAGAGACTGGGTTGTTGTAGGTTTTTTCGGATGTTTGACTTGTGTATATGGCCATGGTCTAGAGGCATTCTCTCCTGACGTTTCGCCTGCATCTATGGCAAGCATCCTCAGAGGTAGTGAGGTCTGTTGGAACTAGGAAAAAGGTTTTATATATCTGTGGAATGACCAGGGTGAGACAAAGGACTCTTGTCTGCTGGAGCTAGGTGTGAATGTTTCAACTGACCACCTTGAATTTTTCAACAGAACGATTCAACAGACCTCACTACGTCTGAGGATGCTTGCCATAGATGCACACACATCACACACACACACACACACATATAGATATGCACACAAATATACACAGATTCACACAGATATATACACCCTTTTTCCTAGTTCCAACAGACCTCACTACCTCTGAGGATGCTTGCCATAGATGCAGGTGAAACGTCAGGAGAGAATGCCTCTAGAACATGGCCATATAGCCCGAAAAAACCTACAACAACCCAGTGATTCCGGCCATGAAAGCCTTCGACAATACAAAGCTAAGAGAGTTGCATCTCATAGGACAGATGGTAGAAGCATCTAAGGTGTGTACCAGAGCACTCATAGTGACTGAGAAAGAAAGCAAAATGTGTTAGCTACCCATTCCTTCGACAGTCTTCAATCCATTCCTTCATGATGGCATGGTAGGTTTCCAAGTCCATGGAAATGTCCTTTTGATCAGGATCAAGCATGTTACATAGCTCTTCCAGGCCGCTGTCTTCTGAGCCCCGGCTTGTTGTGTACCGCAGGAAGTCAACTAGTTTGGAAACAGGCACTTTGCCTAAGAAATGCAGTGACAATTCACACAAGTCAAACCAGCTGGGAATGGCATTTTAAGGCTCAGAAAGAATAAGTACGGCCTACTTATGGAGATGCTGTACAGCAGGAGTGGGCAAAGTGAAGAAGAAGTAATCCTTAAGTTGCTTCTGGTGGAAATGACCCACTCTTCTTGGAGGGCATTTGGGTGGGAATTTATTATTTTTAAATACAGCCCTCCAAGATCTCCTAGGGGGTTAATGTGGCCTCCCACCCACTGACGATTGCCCACACTTGCTGTATAAATAATATATTATGTCAAACTGGTTAAACCTTTAAGAACAGATAACATTCATGGGAAAAACTTTTAGCTATATATTATTTATTTAAAAAGGTAAACAAATTTGAAAATTTCAAAGCGGTGTCCAACAACAAGATATCGGCATTTGCATATCTGATTATTCACAGATTTGATTAAAATCTTCTCTCTATTAAGCTTTAGACCCTCCAGTGTAATTCTACAGTCAGCTTTCTCTGATCATGCTAGAAGATGTTGAGATTTCTAGAAAGAACATCTACCTAGGAATCTCTGGGTCCTCCAATGAGATTCTGTGGTCAGCTCCTAGCACAAGTTGATCACAGACCCATGCTCAAAGATCTAGAGCATCCAACAGACCTCACTACCTCTGAGGATGCTTGCCATAGATGCAGGCGAAACGTCAGGAGAAATGCCTCTAGAACATGGCCATGTAGCCCGAAAAAACCTACAACAACCCAGTGATTCCGGCCATGAAAGCCTTCGACAATATCTAGAGCATTGATTCTCAACCTGTGGATCCCCAGATGTTTTGGCCTTCAACTCCCAGAAATCTTAATAGCTGGTAAATTGGCCGGGATTTCTGAGAGTTGCATGCCAGAAACACCTGGAGGTTGAGAACCACTGACCTAGAATGTCCTGGACAGATGTTCTTTTGGATTAAAGAAATATACAGCAATTTCTTTATTCACAGGAACCTTGTGTCCCTAACTCTAGTGAATGCAGAGGACCGATTGCACAATATAGACAAAGTATATGAACTCTAATCTAATTATAATTGTAAAAGTATCCATTGGAATAGATAATAGGTTGAACTACATCAGAGAAAGCTTATAAAAGCAATACTAAGAAATTCTAGAGTATGCCTAAAACCAGAAGCAGAAATAGTCCACATAGTGGGCTTCATATGCCCAGTGATCAGCAGTAGGACATTATTTGAAGACTTGAGGTGCATATCCACTGTAGACTTAATGCAATTTGATACCACTTTAACTGCCATGGCTCAATGCAGTTACAGTTTTTAAAGGCCTTTAGTCTTCTCTACCAAAAGTATGCTGGTGCCTCACCAAACTACACCTCCCAGGGTTCCATTGCTTTGAGCCATGTCAGTTGTTTAGTTTTCAGGTGTACCTTATCCTTGTACTAGAGCAGTGGTTCTCAACCTGGGGTCCCCAGATGTTTTTAGCCTTCGACTCCCAGAAATCCTAACAGCTGGTAAACTGGCTGGGATTTCTGGGAGATGTAGGCCAAAACACCTGGGGACCCCAGGTTGAGAACCACTGTACTAGAGTCAATACAAATGCAGTGTATGAAATGGCTCTTGGTCTCTCTTTTTAAAGCAGTGGTTCTCAACCTTCCTAATGCCGCAACCCCTTAGTAGAGGTCCTCATGTTGTGGTGACCCCCAACCATAATGTTATTTTCGTTGCTACTTCACAACTGTAATTTTGCTACTGTTATGATTCGTAATCTAAATATGTATTTTCAGTCACTGGAATAAATTTGGCACAAATACCCAATATGCCCAAATTTGAATACTGGTGAGGTTGGGGGTGATTGATTTTGTCATTTGGTAATGCTGGAGTTGCTTGGATTTATAGTTCACCTAAAATCAAAGAGCCTTCTGAACTCCATCAAAGACGGAATTGAATCAAACTTGGCACACAGAATTCCCATGACCTAGAGAAAATACTGGGAAGGTCTGGTGGACATTGACCTTGGTTTTTTGGAGTTTTAGTTCACCTACTTCCAGAGAACACTGTGGACTCGAGCAATGATGGATCTGGATCAAACTTGGCACAAATACTCAATATGCCCAAATGTGAACAATAGTAGAGTTTGGAGAAAATAGACCTTGCCATTTGGGAGTTGTAATTGTTGGGATTTATAGTTCACCCACAATGAAATAGCATTCTGAACCCCACCGATACTATTGGACGAAACTTTCCACACAGAACCCCCATGATCAACAGAAAATACTATGTTTTCTGATGGTCTTTGGCGACCCCTCTAACACCCCCTCGCGACCCCCACAGGATCCCGACCCCCAGGTTGTGAAACGCTGTTTTAAAGTTTCTAACTACTACAGGAGATACTCTTTTAAAAACCTCTTCTTTCCACGTCACATGCAGAGAACATGGTTGTCAGTAGGTCTTCTTCACAGATCAGGCTTACGTCAGCGTCTTCATCATGTCCGGCCTCTGTTGACAGTTTCCATCCTGCAATGAGAAAGGACATGGGTAGGTGGGTGGCTTTCCTTCCATACTTTGAAGAATTGCTACCAAGGTGACTTGCAGTCAGGACACATCATCATCAGGTCTTGTACACTTCATGTACTAGAGATGAAACAGAAGTTGCAACCACTCCAAACAAGTTATTTTTGGTTGAAATCTTGACTACATCATATAATCATAGAGTTGGAAAAGACCTCATGGGCCATCCAGTCCAATCCCCTGCCAAGAATCAGGAAAATTGCATTCAAAGCATCCCCAACAGATGGGCATCAAGCTTCTGTTTAAAAGCCTCCAAAGAAGGAGCCTCCACCACACTCTGGGGCAGAGAGTTCCTGTGCTGAACAACTCTCACAGTCAGGAAGTTATTCCTCATGTTCAGATGGAATTTCCTTTCAATAGGAGAATACTGTCTAGATTGAGGGAAGTCATGCTATCCATCTCCTGGAATACTGTGTCTAGTTCTAGGCCCCACAATTCAAAAAAACACCACAAACCAGAACATGTCCAAAGAACGTTGACCAAAATGGTAAGTCTGGAAGCCAAGCTCCAAAGGAGTGGCTTGGGGTGCTTCTTGGAGAAGAAAAGGTTAAGAAGGGGGCATGATAGTCATGTTTAAATATGCGAAGGATGTCATGTTGAAGATGGAGCAGATTTCTTTTCTGTTGCTCCAAAGACTAGGACAAGGAGCAGTGGATAAACGGTAAATGCCAGGAAAAGAGATAGGAAGAACTTTAGCTGCTTTGAATGCCTTGTTTGGTTGTGGGCTCAATAAGTAACATCTTAAAGTGATGGACTCTCCTTTGGAGACATTTCAGCAGATGCTTGAAGTGTTGGAAAAGCAACAACTATTAAGACTGAAGAGTGAAGAATGCCTTGCAGTGGGCAAGAGTAATAAGGTTATATAGTTTCAGTGATCTGAAGAGTTCTCTCCCAATGTCTACCTATCCTGATCCTTTTGTGATGTAAATTGATATTTTTAGGGGTGTTTTCTCAAACTCTTCTCCTTCACATGAGTCCTCTCTTGACCTTCCAAGATATGGATACAGTAGAGTCTTGCTGATCCAACCTTCACTCATCCAACATTCTGTAGTCTGCCTCCTGCCCAGATCCACAGCTGTTTCAATGCATTGCGATGTTTTGGTGCTAAATTCATAGAATCAAAGAGTTGGAAGAGACCTCATGGGCCATCCAGTCCAACCCCCTGCCAAGAAGCAGGAATATTGCATTCAAAGCACCCCTGACAGATGGCCATCCAGCCTCTGTATAAAAGCCTCCAAAGAAGGAGCCTCCACCACACTCCGGGGCAGAGAGTTCCACTGCTGAACAGCTCTCACAGTCAGGAAGTTCTTCCTAATGTTCAGGTGGAATCTCCTTTCCTGTCGTTTGAAGTCATTGTTCCATTGCGTCCTAGTCTCCAGGACAGCCAAAAACAAGCTCCCTCCCTCTTCCCTATGACTTCCTCTCACACATTTATACATGGCTATCGTGTTCCGTGTCCTAGTCTCTAGTCTCCATAAATACAGTAATTACTACATAACGTTACTGTGTATTGAACTGCTTTTTCTGTATGTTTGTTGTAAAACATGATGTTTTGGTGCTTGATTTGTAAAATCATAATGTAATTTGACGTTCAATATTTATTATTATTTATTTATTAACTTCTTTTGTATACCGCCTATATCAGCCAAGGCGACTCTAAGCGGTTTACAGTGAAAACAACATTTAACAATGCAAGTGACAAACAACACAAACAAAACACATAACGTCATCGGCCTCAATAAAATCAGATCCAATCTCGTAGTCCATTAGCCATTCCTTGTTCAGAGTGCCATTCTTGTGAGTCTGATGTTAGTTGCCTGCTCATCCGAACGCCTGCTCGAAGAGCCACGTCTTCACCCGCTTCCTGAACGCCAAAAGCGACGGGGCCTGTCTGATCTCCATTGGTAGGGCATTCCATAGCCGAGGGGCCACCACCGAGAAGGCCCTGTCTCTCGTCCCCGCCAGCCGCACCTGTGACGCTGGCGGGACCGAGAGCAGGGCCTCCCCAGAAGATCTTAACATCCTCGCCGGTTCATAGGTAGAGATGCGTTCGGAGAGGTAAGTGGGGCCGGAACCGTGTAGGGCTTTATAGGCTAAGGCCAGCACCTTGAATTGTGCCCGGTAGCAAATAGGCAGCCAGTGGAGCTGGCTTAACAGAGGAGTGGTGTGCTCCCTGAGTGCCGCTCCCGTTAGCAACCTGGCTGCCGAACGCTGGACCATCTGGAGCTTCCGGGCAGTCTTCAAGGGCAACCCCACGTAGAGCGCGTTGCAGTAATCTATACGGGATGTGACAAGAGCGTGTACTACCGTGGCCAAGTCCGACTTCCCAAGATACGGGCGCAGCTGGCGCACGAGCCGAAGCTGTGCAAATGCTCCTCTGGAAACCGCCGAAACTTGGGGTTCCAAGCTTAGCGAAGAATCCAAAGTCACACCCAAGCTGCGAACCTGCGTCTTCAGGGGGAGTGCGACCCCGTCCAACACAGGCTGTAACCCTATACCCTGTTCGGCCTTCCGACTGACCAGGAGTACCTCTGTCTTGTCTGGATTGAGTTTCAATCTGTTTACCCTCATCCAGTCCGACACAGCGGCCAAGCACCGGTTCAGGTCCTGGACAGCCTCCTTGGTAGTAGGTGGAAAGGAGTGACAGAGCTGGACGTCATCTGCGTACAGATAACACCGCACCCCGAAACTCCGGATGATCTCTCCCAACGGCTTCATGTAGATGTTAAACAACATGGGGGACAGTATAGAACCCTGCGGGACCCCACAATTCAATGGTTGTGAGGACGAGCAGGTGTCCCCCAGTAACACCTTCTGGGTACGATCCTCCAGGAAGGACCTGAGCCACTGTAAAACAGTGCCCCCCAGACCCATTCCCGCGAGGCGTCCCAGAAGGATACCGTGGTCGACGGTATCGAAGGCCGCTGAGAGATCCAGCAGAACTAACAGAGACACACTCCCCCTGTCAAGCTCACGCCGGAGATCATCGACCAAGGCGACCAAGGCTGTCTCGGTACCATGCCCCGGCCTAAAGCCAGACTGCGCCGGGTCCAGATAATCAGTGTCTACCAAGAATGCTTGGAGTTGTGAGGCCACCACACGTTCCAGGACTTTGCCCAAAAAGGGGAGATTGGAAACAGGCCGATAGTTGACGAATTGAGTGGGGTCCAGTGATGGTTTTTTCAACAGCGGTTTTATAGGCTTTTCCTTAATCCCTCCTTATTATCCAACATTTTTGCTTATCCAATATTCTGCCAGCTCGTTTATGTTGGATAAGCGAGACTCTACTGTAGCTTAAGTAACGTTCCTATCTTAGAATGGAGGTCATACAATAAAGATTCGTTTTTTTTCTATAAGCCATTGGAGTATTTGCTCCTTAAATGAAGATCTCAAAACAATGACTATACTTTCAACAAGATGGTTATCTCCCTGTTCTTCGTGTATGGAAGAGGTCTAGATGGCCCTTGCAGTTTATTCCAGGTCTACACTTCTATGACCCAAGACAGCATGATAGCTGTTTGCCAGGAAAAGCCCAGTTCAACTGCCACAGAAGACTTCTAACTGACCTCTATCTTCCTATAGCCAATACATCCTTGAGTGAGAATTGCACAGTGAGCTTACCTTTGCTCTTACCCAAAGATGCCCTTTTGCTGACAGGAGACTGGAACACTGGTAGATCAGACTTTGCTTCCTGGTTAGACAAGTCAGGACTGGACGTCAAAAAGGCACATTTCTGTTCTGCGCTGCTCATGCCACACAACTGGGCAGAAGCTGGCCCCTCCTGTCTGAACAGATATGGTGAGCAACTCCCCATTTCTCCAATTAGGAGCCATGACTTGCGGGTCTTTTCTTTATTTTTATTGACTGTAAAAGTCTGTGAGCGGATATCAGAGACCCGTCTGTGAGTTGGTGTCACCATGGGTGGGAATGTAGGAGAGATGTCGTTGTCAGTGAAAGGGCTTAACAAATAGGTGTTGTTGCCTGTCACGTTGCTATCGCTGTCACTACTCTTCAAGGTCCTTTTCTTCAAGATCTCCTCCAGGTTTTTCTTTACGTTGCCCTGTGGGCTGTCAAAGTTTTTGGACTGGAACTTTGGGATCTGTAGAGCAGGGTTTGAGGTCTGGTCCATCATGTTAATAGCTTGGAGCTTCCGGCAAAGACTGTCCACTGGGTGATGGTGACGTTTTTTGGAATGGCTTTCGGAGGACTTCTTGCCCATGCTGTTTGGAAATTAGCTAGACAGAGAAGGTGGGCTAATTCAGGTACTTTATCACATAAGACAGGTAAGCAAGCATTCCCCATCCCACTGCATTTCCACTACCAACTGTGGTACAACAGATCCTTTCTACTTCTGCAACCAGAAATATGACATCTAGGAGCATGGTTGTCCTTCCTCTCCCAAACTCCTCCTTCACTATTCCCAAGTTGGCTGTTTTCCCTTCTAATCACCCCTCAACATCTAATCACCCCTCAACAAAAGATTGCTCCAGGCACTGTCAGGCCATCAAATGCTAATCAAGGTGGTCAGTTGAAACATTCACACCTAGCTCCAGCAGACAAGAATCCTTTGTCCTACCCTGGTCATTCCGCAGATATATAAACCCCTCTTTCCTAGTTCCAACAGACCTCACTACCTCTGAGGATGCTTGCCATAGATGCAGGCAAAACGTCAGGAGAGAATGCCTCTAGACCATGGCCATATAGCCCGAAAAAACCTACAATAACCCACTGTTTTCCCTTTATTATCTATATCTATAATATAATGTAAGAATCTGCACACACACACATCTTTGCCTTTTGAAATTGTACAATTACACTGAAATAAAAATAATAATTAGTGCAGGAAGGTAGGGTTGCAAGGATATTTGGAAGCATGATCATGAGACTACAACATAGAAAATTATCTCAATTGTGCTACCAAAGAGTGATACAACATTGAAGGTGCTCAAGGCGGCATCCATCCATTATCTATGCTATAGTAACTGTGTGGGAATAAGAACAAAAGAATTAACAATCAATAAATTAAATAGAATTATCAGTGACCATCCAATAGTGATGAGACACAGAAGAAATGCCCTCTAATACAGTGTTTCTCAACCTGGGGGTCAGGACCCCTGGGGGGGGGTCGCGAGGGGTTGCCAGAGTGGTCACCAAAGACCATTAGAAAACACAGTATTTTCTGCTGGTCATAGGGGTTCTGTGTGGGAAGTTTGGTCCAATTCTATCATTGGTGGAGTTCAGAATGCTCTTTGCTTGTAGGTGAACTATAAATCCCAGCAACTACAGCTCTGAAATGTCAAGGGCTTTCCCCCCTAAATTCCACCAGTGTGAACATTTGGGCATATTGAGTATGTATGCTAGGTTTGGTCCAGAGCTATCATTGTTGAAGTCCATAGTGATCTCTAGATGTAGGTGAACGATAACTCCAAAACTGAATGTCAATGCCCATCAAATCCTTCCAGTATTTTCTGTTGGTCCTGGGAGTTCTGTGTGCCAAGTTTGGTTCAATTCCATTGTTGGTGGAGTTAAGAATGCTCTTTGATTGTAGATGAACTATACATCCTTGCAACTACAACTCTCAAATGACAAAATCAATCCACACCCAACCCCACCAGTATTCAAATTTGGGCGTATTGGGTATTTGTGCCAAATTTCATCCAGTGAATGAAAGTACATCCTGCATATCAGATATTTACATTATGATTCATAAGAGTAGTAACATTACAGTTATGAAGTAGCAACGAAAATAATTTTATGGTTGGGAGTCACCACAACATGAGGAACTGTATTAAGGGGTCGCGGCATTAAGAAGGTTGAGAACCACTGCTCAATTCTTGTGCAGGCCAGGCATATGTAAGACGAGTGCTTCCTCAAGTATTGAGATCCATTTAAAAAAAAAATATCACCAAAAACTTGCATTCAGTCTGGACATATATTGGCAGCCAGTGAACTTCTTTCAAAGCTGATGTTATATATCTTAACAGCATTCAATTAAACATGCTTGCTGCTACATTCTTGTATTAGACTAGTGGTTCTCAACCTGTGAGTCCCCAGAAGTTTTGGCCTTCAACTCCCAGAAATCCTAACAGCTGGTCAACTATCTGGGATTTCTGGGAGTTGTAGGCCAAAACACCTGGGGACCCACAGGTTGAGAACCACTGTATTAGACTATAGCACAGTGGTTCTCAACCTTCCTAATGTCACAACCCCTTAATACAGTTCCTCATGTGGTGACTCCCAAACATAAGAGTTTTTTTTTTTGCTACTTCATAACTGTAATTTTGCTACTGTTATGAATTGTCATGCAAATATCAGATATGCAGGATATATTTTCATTCACTGGACCAAAATTGGCACAACTACCCAATACGCCCACATTTGAATACTGGTGGGTTCGGGTGGATTGATTTTGTCATTTGGGAGTTGTAGTTGCTGAGATTTAGACTTAACCTACAATTAAAGAGCATTCTGAACTCCACCAATGATGGAATTGAACCAAACATGGCACACAGAATTCCCATGACCAACAGAAAATATTGGAAGGGTTTGGTTGGCATTGACTATGAGTTTGGAAGTTGTAGTTCACCTACATCCAGAGAGCACTGTGGACTCAGACAATGATGGATATGGACCAAACTTGGCACAAATCCTCAATATGCCCAAATGTGAACACTAGTAGAGTTTGGGGGAAACAGACCTTGACATTTGGGAGTCGCAATTGCTGGGATTTATAGTCCACCTACAATCAAAGAGCATTCTGAACCCCACCAACAATAGAATTGGATTAAATGTCCCACACAGAACCCCCATGACCAACAGAAAATACTGTGTTTTCTGATGGTCTTTGGTGAGCCCTCTGAAACCCCCTTGAGACTCCCCAGGGGTCCCAACCCCCAGGTTGAGAAACGCTGCTCTAGCCACTATCCCCTCCCAATACTATAATTAGATAAGCTTTATACTCTTGCCTTTAATAATCCTAACACCATCTTTATAGAGCAGACACAGCACAGCTATGGCAATAACCCATAGAATCCTTGGAAGGATATGCACAATACAACCTGAAATAATGACATTAAAAATAATAATTTTACATTCAATACCTTTGCAATATTATTAGATGAAGCTTGCCAACAAACAGGGACCATCTGTCTAGATTGGAATTAATTGACCGAAAAGGATGAAGATCACCTGAAAAAAAATGCTGTATAGGTATTAAGGTACTAATATAGGTATGGAGAGAAATAATTATTGCAGGTCTGGTGACCCAGACAAAATAACTTTCTCAAGACTAGAGCAAGAAAGAAAGAAAACCCAAAAATATCTGTCAACAAATACAAAAAGTGAGAGTTTTAAGCTTCTCAACCTCATAACCAGAATGAGGGATGAATGCAAACACAAAAGGAAGTTTTTGGCTTTTCAAAAGAAGTCAAAGCTACCACAATTTTAAAAAATACTTTTAACTTCTTACTCCAGAAAGAAACAAAACCTATATCGATCCTCTCTTTTCTGGCAGTGACTTAAGGGAAAGGCAGCTGTAGAAGATCATCCACTCCTGAGCACCTGCAGTGCATTGGTTGCTTTGCAGGCAAACAGTATCTTCCTTCCTGACTTTCTCTTCCTTTTCAGGGTTGCTAGAATTGTGCAAAAAGCTTTCTGATATTGTTCAGCCTTCATGGTAAATTAGCCATGTTCAAATGCATTTTACTTACTTTGGAATTTATAATTAGTTCAGTCCTGTTCTTCCGGAATAATATTGTTTGCTTTAACAGAGTGATCTGGATAAAATTAGAAAAGCAAGAGGTTTTAACCTTTGGTCTTCAGGTAAAGAAGACTTTAGGGCAGTGCTTCTCAACCCTCCGAATAATACAGTTCTTTATGTTGTGGTGACCCCCAACCATAAAATGATTTTTGTTGCTACTTCATAACTGTAATTTTGCTACTGTTATGAAGTACAATGTAAATATCTGATATACAGGATATATTTTCATTCACAATACCCAATACGCCCAAATTTGAATACTGGTGGGGCTGGGGAGGGAGTTGATTTTGTCGTTTGGGAATTGTAGTTGCTGGGATTTATAGTTCACCTACAATCAAAGAGCATTCAGAACTCTACCAATGATGAAATTGAACCAAACTTGGCACACAGAATTCCCATGACCAAGAGAAAATACTGGAAGGGTTTGGTGGGCATTGACCTTGAGTTTTGGAGTTGTAGTTCAACTACATCCAGAGAGCACTGTGGGCTCAAACAATGATAGATCTGGACCAAACTTGGCACAAATACTCAAAATGCCCAAATGTGAACACTGGTGGAGTTGTAGTTGCTGGGATTTATACTTCACCCACAATCAAAGAGCATTCAGAACTCCACCAATGATGGAATTGAACTAAACTTGGCACACAGAACTCCCATGACCAACAGAAAATACTGGAAGGGTTTGGTGGGCATTGACCTTGACTTTTGGAGTTGTAGTTCACCTACATCCAGAGAGCACTGTGTACTCAAACAATGATAGATCTGGACCAAACTTGGCACAAATACTCAAAATGCCCAAATGTGAACATTGGTGGAGTTTGGGGGAAAATAGATCTTGCCATTTGGGAATTGTAGCTGCTGTGATTTATAGTTCACCTACAATCAAAGAGCATTCTAAACCCCAGCAACGATAGAATTGTGCCAAACTTCTCACAGAGGCGAAGCACAGTGGAGGAAAGATTTTGGAGTGGGGAGTCACTGTCTGTTTCCACAAAGGAAGATAAGGATGAGCAGAGAGATCTTTGCCTTCTCTGCCAAAGGGGTTCCTCAGACCATCAGAAATATGTTTTCTGGTGGTCTTTGGAAACCCTTCTGAAACCCCCTTGTGATTCCCTCCCCAGGGTTTCCAACCCCCGGGTTGAGAAATGCTGTTTTAGAGAAAGAAGACTTTACCTATGATGGTCAACAATAACTCTAGGATCTCAGTTCCCCAAATCTGGAAAGTGAAAGCTTGAGAACAAGCAGTGAAAGGTCAGGTACCTTTAAATGAGGCACCAGGAACATTTCTCTTTAAAACTGCTCCCATCTTTCTGATGTGTTTTTAACCTCTCCAAAGGACAAGCCAAATGTCAACAGGTGAAACTTAACCTCATGAGTTGACTTTAAGGAAAATGTGTAAGCGACATCTATTGAATTTTTTGCACCTCAGTGGAAAACATGGGTACTCTTCCTGCACCTCA